AGTGGCTCTTCAATGCTTAGAGGAAGACAGAGATGCAAGACCTACCATGAGTCAAGTAGTTGAGATGCTTCTGCATCATGAAAATAATTGATTGGAAAGGTGACGTGTTTATAATATATGATGGGATGTCTGTATGGTCTTGATTTTTCTTAAATCAAAATTTGCATTAGCAGGGAATGAATGTCGAATTTCTCAAAGCCTATCAGAGCAAGTGTGACATTTATGGTGTATTCAATTTAGATTTCTAAAGATTTCTAAAAAGTTTAAAAGTTTAGGTATATTTAATCATAATTTTATAGAAGTTTATACGATTCTAGGTGTATTCAATTCAAACTTTTTAAGTTTCATTCAAATTTGATGTATTCAATCACGACTTTAAAAGACTTCATAAAAGTTTGGGTGTATTCAAAAACTCATTCATTTTAAAGGTGTAGGGGACTCTTTTTTTAAAAAAAAAAAAAAAAAAAAAAAAAAAAAAAAAAAAAAAAAAAAAAAAAAAAAAAAAAAAAAAAAAAAAAAAAAAAAAAAAAAAAAAAAAAAAAAAAAAAAAAAAAAAAAAAAAAAAAAAAAAAAAAAAAAAAAAAAAAAAAAAAAAAAAAAAAAAAAAAAAAAAAAAAAAAAAAAAAAAAAAAAAAAAAAAAAAAAAAAAAAAAAAAAAAAAAAAAAAAAAAAAAAAAAAAAAAAAAAAAAAAAAAAAAAAAAAAAAAAAAAAAAAAAAAAAAAAAAAAAAAAAAAAAAAAAAAAAAAAAAAAAAAAAAAAAAAAAAAAAAAAAAAAAAAAAAAAAAAAAAAAAAAAAAAAAAAAAAAAAAAAAAAAAAAAAAAAAAAAAAAAAAAAATGGGCCGTGGAAAGAAGAGAAAATTAGGTGATTTTGTAGCTAATCTAAATAACCCACGGTAATTATCTTTTAAAAAAGTATTGGAAATTTAGGGCATTTTAATCTTCGATATATTTGTCCTGCTTGGAAATCAAGGAAAAAAATCAGATAATACATGGAGGGAGGTGATGCATGGGTGATTTAAGAGGAAAGTATTGTGCAAATATCATGGGTGGGATGTTTGACGTAGTATTTTACTGTCATGTGTCCTGGGTTTGACTCAATTGGGCGCCTTACCAAATTTGGTTTAAGCCAAAGTGCTAATCTAGAATCGGAGGAGGCCTAGCGGTCATCAAAATGCTTGTTTTGAAAAAATAGGAAAAGAAATGTTAGTAAAACGAAATTGTTTGAAATATTAAATATGGGTTAGGTCAGTTGGTAAATCTCCTCTGTTGGCCTCATTTCACCAGTTCACACTCATTCCCACCAATCAAATAGTCGGAAATCGTTATTTGTTTCACAAAACAAAAATAACAAAAAAAATTTGGAATGTGTTGGTTTTGGTAAGATGGGAAAGAAATTGCACTGCAACTGTTGCTTTTAACCTGTTTTTTTGTGGTAGTTTTGATGCTCAAAATGAAAAAATATGGGCCACAAAAGGGCATGAGAGACGTCAATAACAACCAACCAGTTGGACTCTGGAATTGGTAATGTCGGATAAACAAAGCACGCCCATTTCATAAGGGTTGCTTTTCCTTTGTAGAATCCCTTCTATGCTTTGCTCGGTTGCACTTGGGGCCGTACAAAGTGGAAAAATTCCTGCGGGCGGGCCATTAACAAAAATAAACAACCAATTATCCCTTTAGACACAAGGCACCTGCTCTCACCTCTGGTTTGGTTGAAGGGAAGGTAACACCCCGATCAAATTTATTCATATTAATTAAATTAAGAGAAAATTATTAATTGCTCTGGGTTAATGGTAATTTGGTCATTTTCTTATTATCGAAGGATTTTGGGGACCGAATGGTTGGTTGCGTAAGTGCGAATGAGACGGAATCCGTAGACAGGCGAGGCTTGAACGGAGATTTAACGAAGTTTTGGGCGAGAAATTAAGCGCGATGGCGGCAAAGGGGAATTAATTTGAAAAGAGTTTGGAGGTAAATCAGATTTTCACTTTAACCCTCACTCTTCTCTCTCTCTATCTCTCGCTCTCTTCTCTCTCTCCTCTCTCTCTCTCTCTTCTCTCGCTTCCTCTCTCTCTCGTCTCTCTCTCCTCTCTTTCCCACGTTCTGCTCCCTCTGCGTGAAACCCATTCACTCATTGTGCAAACGAAACGGAAACCCACCGTGCCGCCGCCGCCCACAGGCCACGACAGCCCTCGAGCTGACCCGTTCGGACTCAGCGTGAAAGTCCCGATTCAAAACCCACCTGTTATCCCAACCCCAAGGAAAAGCTCGAAATCCACCCCGGCCCCACGATATGACTGGTCAAACCGCAGGTTTTCGCACTACGCACCGCCGTCTCCACCATCCATTTTGCTGCAGAACCAGGGAGGTTTCTTCTCCTTTTTACGTTGCTCTAGCTGTTGTTGGGGTTAGATTGAATAGAACGAATTGAAGTTGGAAGTATTTTGGAAGCTAGGGTGTTGGCGGTTTTCAATTTGAATATCGGCCAGTTCCCGTGCGAAATTGGACCTTCGTGGTAGTGAATAAAGTGATCCTGACCTTGAGAAGAAGCTAGGGTAGGAAGGGTGAGCGTTGGTGTGGAGATTTTCTGTCGCCGGAAATTTCTCTACACACCACGCGCTGCCGGCGCGTGGGCAAGGCTGGTGAAGTTGCTTTTCATCTGATGAGATCCTAGGTTACACACGAGTGCATAGGATTTTAGCGGATCTCAATTTGGATGTCGTTTGACTATCGAACGGATTTCGCATATTGTGCGTTATCGGGTTCGATAGGTTCTACCGTTGGATCGTTTCCAAATTGAAGTATGTTGATTTAGGTACTCTTAGAATCCTATAGGAATTCGTGGATCGTGGATCGGAGCCCCGGATGTTCCGATTCAATAATTCGAAGTTTGTGGGATTAGCGATAACCGTAGGATGGGAAGCGATTCCCAAACCTGTAACGGACCTTAGGATATCCTATTGGACGTACACGCACCGGGAAACTTGGGGATTTAAGTATTCTCTTTTGTGAATTCCCGTTTCGAAGGTATTATTAATCAAGGTTCGTATCTCGAAATAGGTACTTCGGTCGATCATTCGCAGCAGGCAGGGCCCTCTCGGGGCGGGCAGCGTGGGATTACCTGTGAGTGGGACTTTGTTTTCAAGCATTTGCATGGTTTTATTGATAAAAGATTTGTGCATATGTTTTTAAAATGGTAAATGTGATTTATTAAGTATTTGGTTGATGGATTTGGATATTCATATACGTATTGGCAATATATTTTGGGTATGGCTATATTTGAGTATTATGGATATGTTTATATAGATTTTGGGATATCTGTCTGTATTGCCTATGTATGGAGTATGAGGAGTGTTGTTGTGAGATTGTGGAAAGATATGAGTTTGAGGGATGGTTGTGAGATGTATGAGTATGTTAGGTGAGTACCATTCCCTGGTTACTAGGCTTCCCACACACATCGTTGGCAGTGCCGGTGGGGTGGGAAGGCCATGAGATTGCGGGTCTCACACATGTCGTTGGCAGTGCCGGTGTGTGAGACACTTCCCATACGTGTCGTTGGCAGTGCCGGCGTATGGGAAGAGTATGTATATTGCTTAGTATATCACACATGTCGTTGGCAGTGCCGGTGGGGTGATGATACTGTCTGCGCGCGTAGGACTTGATATGAGATTTGTGAGCTACACGTGTCGTTGGCAGTGCCGGCGTGTGAGCTATGGAGTTCCGTCCCCCGGTTGGACTACTCATCCCTGGACGCGGGTTAGTGTTCGAAAATCCTGTTACCAGCCAACAATCCCCGGTTGGATTGTTTCCCCGGTACATTAGTATGGAGAGAAGTATACGTTATATTATAGATATATATACTTATATATGTATACATATGTATGGGTTGGTGAGAGTTGCATACTTTTGGGAATGGAGTTGTGGTTTGAGATTTTTGAGAGTTATGGGACTTTGAGATTTTATGTTTGAGTATTGGTTTATGGATGTGGAAACTGCATGCTTGAGCATTATTTTTACACGGTGGGGTTACTATGTTGTTTTAAATGCAAACTTTATTTTTGTCCACTCACATATTTCTGTTTTGCGCCCCCCAGGCAGTAGTGGCTTTTGGAAGCGTCGAGCAGGTTGCGAGCTCCAAACTTTTCATCTGTAGATAGGATTCGGGTAAATTCCTTCTACTCTACTGTTGTTGTAAACAAATCCTGTTAGATGCTCTGTTATCGCCCCATGTTAGGTGTTACTTGAGGCCGGAGGCCACTTTATTTTGAATTGGTGGATGGTGAAAGCATGCTGGCAGTTGGGAATTATATTATCTATATTATGGCATTTCACAGGGGAGATCTGCCAAATTTTGGTAGGATGTCTTGGGTTTTTAGTAAGTGGGCCCGGCATCGGTGTGATGTCGGCACCAAGACGGGATCTGCCCCGATTCAGGGAAATTCTGGGGCGAGTCCTGTCAGCGAAACTAAAACATCAAGGTCACCCTTCACTTGGAAGATGAAACCAAATTGGAGAATCATGCAAAATTTCCAAAATATTTATTATTATTTTTAAAACCCAGATAGTGATCATGTATATAAGATATGATGCATGTGGTTTATTATAGGGCCTACTTGTACATGAAATAACCAATATGTAATTGGTGTGCCATTACGTGTCAAATGGCACAAAGGGAGCTTGTTTGAGAGTGCTTCTTTCCAAAGCGCTTATGCCAGTAGCTTTTATGCTAGTACTGCTTAAGACATAAATGCTTTTACAAAGAAGTAGTTTGTCGTTTGGATGTCACATTTAAAAGTGCTTTTACACTATATAAAAGTGTTTTTGATATTTTTTTGAGTGTTTGGCTGACACAGTAAAAACGCTTTTAAAAGTACTTTGAAAAATTAAAAGAATCCCAAATATTATATAATAATATAGAAAATAAAAATTCATAGGATCCCAAATAAAAAACACGACTTCAAAAAGTATGAACTTCACCAAGTATAATTTTTAATCATTATGTTGTTAAATGATATCCTTCACAAGGTCCGCTTCAGTTGAACTCTGCAATTTCCCCATGCTTAACCTGTAACCCTCTGTAGGTTTGAACGTATTGTTTCATTAGTTAGTGGCTTCAAGTAACAGAACAGCCCTGTCCTTGACAAATATTCTCTATGGACGTAATTTAAACAGTTTTCTCTTTGTGGCCAATATTGACTACCATGCACCTGTGCATCCATACCCTACTCAATGTGCATTAGCGCAAGTTCTCTGTTTCCAACTATAGTTTAGGTCTGTTGGATATGCCTCCCGTTATTAGCTCATGTATGTTTTTCTGTTTGTTTTCATGTAGAGCTGGCACGACGTGACAAGGAGAGAAGGGAAATAAGACGAAGGGAAATAAGACAGAGGTGGGTCTGGGGCTCCATTGTTGTTGCCTTAACTCTTGGTACTGCAGCCTTGGCGCATACTCTTAGAGCAGTTCCAGCAGCCCCCTAGGGCTCGGGCTGCGGGAGGAAGAGAGCCCAAAACGAACTTCCAGCAAGGAAGGCTGGCCCGGGCAGAGTGGGGTCCACGTGCCTGGGCTGGCTTGAAGGCGGAGGGAGCCCGAGTGCGCGGCTGACGTCATCGCTGATGCCAACGTGACGTCAGCACGCGGTTTTAAATTTTTTTTACCGTTGGCGCGTGCAATGCACGCGCCAACGTTAAAAAAATTCAAAATCGTGCGTCAACTTTTCGCCCAACGGCTATGTGCGACGTGGCGGCCTCTCGTCCATCCGATTTCGCCTTGTCATCCAATCCAACGGCCTTGCATTTTTCAAGGCAAAAATTTATGAAAAAAAATCGTAATTTTTTTTTAAAATCCCAAAAAATACTGACTTTTTTTTTCTATAAATACCAATACCTACTCTTCAGTTTTAACAACAAATTCTCATACATCTTCTCCTTCTCCAACTATTATTCACTTTCTATTCAATATTTTCTTCACTTTTTACTCTAAATTGTTTCATTTTCAAATTTAATTTTTCTCTATCATTATGGCTTTTTCTCAAGAAACCGGAGGGGCATGGAGCATCATGGAAGATGTCTTGTTGTGTGAGTGTTGGGTCCAAATTAGTCATGATCCCATATCGGGTAATGAGATGAAATTCAGTCAAATGTGGAAAAAAAATTCTTCACGAATTTGTTGAAAGATCGGGTTCCACCCGTACGGAAAGCGCATTGTCAAGTCGGTGGAAACTTCTCAACAAAGAGTTGGGAAATGGAGAGATGCCCTCACAAAACGATGAATAACCATGCAAGCGGGGAAAATCTCAGCAATGAGGTAAATTATTTGTAATTTTCATTTTATTAATTTTAATGTCCTATTAATTTTAATTTTAATGTTTCTTGCAATTGGTATATTTTGTTAATATTTCTTGTATTTTCATATTTATTTAAATGTTTCTTGCAATTTTTATATTTTTTTATTATTTCTTGTATTTCTAATATTTATTTAAATGGTTGTTGCATTCTCTATATTTTGTTAATATTTCTTGTATTTTCATATTTATTTGAATGTTTTTTGCAATTTTATATTTTTTATATTTCTTGTATTTCTAATATCCGAAATTGATAGGGTGAAAATCTATCCGAAATTTGAAATTCAAATGAAATGTATATGAAATGTGAAATTCAAATGAAAAGTTGAAATTCAAATGAAATTTATCTGAAATTTGAAATTCAAATGACACGTGGCGCAATTTTATAGGGTGAAAATCTTATCCGAAATTTGAAACTCGGATGAAATTATCTGAAATTGAAATTCAGATGAAATTTATCTAAATTTGAAAAAAAAATTAATCTGAAATTTGAAACCGAAAATCTTATCCGAATATTTTATCAGAAAATCTCATCTGAAAATATTGTCCAAATTAATTGTTTAGGTAAACAATTTGTGAAAAAAACAAAAAATTGAATGGTACCCCCATTGCCATGGCAACTGCTGGAAGTGCAACTTACTTTTGCAAGGGCAGACACTATTCCTGTGAATAGTGTCAACCCTAGCCCCCCCTTGCCATGGCAACATTCTCACTGCTGGAAGTGCTATAATAGGAGACAAAAGAGAGAGAGAAAAAGAAAGAAAGGGTATTTTGGCATTTAAAAAATTAAATATTGGTATTTTCGGTATTTTTAAAGTTTCATTAAAGGGAGCCAAGTGCTTCTCTGTTTTTGTCCTGCAACGCTTTTAAGAAGAAGCACCTCTCAAGTGCTTCTTCCCAAATCACTCCAAGTGCTTTGGATCTCACCCAAAGCGCTTTTGCAATTTTTGCCAAACACCATTTTTAAAAGACAAAAGCTCTTTCACCCATTTAAAAGCGATTTTCGCTGCTCCAAAAGCACTCCCAAACGAGCCCTAAATTTTATGTTAACTTTTTTTGAAAGGAACATCTGAACCAGCATGAGAAAAAACCAAATGCTCAGGAAATTTGCTCTTTTCTTTTTTATTTTTTTTTTCCCTTCTTTTTTTTTTTTTTATTTTTTTTTTTTTGAAAGTGAGGAACATGGTGGGGTTCACTCTATTTTTGTTAATTATATTGATATTTACGTCCACTTGCTGCCTTAGGCATGCGGTGGTTATCCAATTCACCATATTCCCCTGTTTTTGTGGCGGTCCATGCATATAATGACAATGCTGTCATATAGCAGCAACCAACCAACCAAGGAGCAATGCTAACTGGGTCTAGTCGCATTAACTTGTAGATTAGTGATCTATGTTCGAACTCTCATGACATTTTAGTAGTGTGTGTGAGAAAACCCCCCTTCCCTTTTTCTTACTTTGGCACAACCACTACTACAAAAAGTGAAAAAGACGACCAAAAAAGACGACGGTAGAAGAAAAAACAGTCGTTGTATTTAAAAAGACGACGGTAACAAAAAACTGTCGTGGATAAGTGACTTAAACAACAACAAAACGGAGGTACTGTTGAATATTTTTTTATAACAACGCACACAAATAAAAAGCGTTGTCTTATTAAAAAGGTTTTCTTTAGAGTTAAAATCTGACCAAAAAACAATGACAGTAGTATGACAAGCGTCGTCTTTTAAAAATCAAGTGTCCTTTTTTTGGTAAAGACATGGTTGTTTTGAAAGAACGTCGTCTATTATATGTAAAGATGACGCTTTTTATAAAACCGTCGTCTATTATATGTAAAGATGACGTTTTTTATAAAAAAAAACCGTCGTCTATTATATGTAAAGATGACTTTTTTATATAAAAACCGTTGTCTATTATATGTAAAGATGACGTTTTTTATATAAAAAAACCGTCGTCCATTATATATAAAGATGACGCTTTTTATAAAAAAACCGTCGTCTATTATATGTAAAGATGATGATTTTTATAAAAAACCGTCGTCTATTATGAAGTAAAGATGACGGTTTTTTTTTAAAATGGTCGTCTATTATGTATAAAGATGACGTTTTTTTATAAAAAAAGGTCGTCTATTATATGTAAAAATAACGCTTTTTATAAAAAATAAAAAAAAAGGTCGTCTATTATATGTAAAGATGATGGTTTGTTAAATAACCGTTAAATCATGATTTTTCATTTATAACCGTCGAAATTTTTTGTCCCGTTACTTGATCTCTGAATGTTTATTTTTTTCGATTTTTGTTGTATATGATCTCGAAGTATAAACAAACAAGTTTGACGGTTGGATCGTTGAAACTAGTTTTCTTAGAATGCGTATGCCATCAAAACAATATATTCACTAACAATTAAGAGTTTATTTATACTTTCGTTAAATATAACATAAGATTTTGTGGTATCCACTAATGTAAATATTTTAAATTGAAGATCAAATTCAGTCATTGTATTCATATAGGGTCAAGGAGTGTAGCGGTAAAAAATCATCAAAATCGGAGTTAAAATAACCGTTAAATCATGATTTTTCATTTATAACCGTCGAAAATTTTTGTCCCGTTACTTGATCTCTGAAAGTTTATTTTTTCCGATTTTTGGCGTATATGATCTCAAAGTATAAACAAACAAGTTTGACGGTTGGATCGTTAAAACTAGTTTCTTAAAATGCGTATGCCATCAAAAAATATATTCACTAACAATTAAGAGTTTATTTATACTTTCGTTAAATATAACATAAAATTTTGTGGTATCCACTAGTGTAAATATTTTAAATTGAAGATCAAATTCAGTCATTGTATTCATATAGGGTCAAGGAGTGTAGCGGTAAAAAATCATCAAAATCGGAGTTAAAATAACCGTTAAATCATGATTTTTCATTTGTAACCGTCGAAATTTTTTGTCATGTTCCTTGATCTCTAAATGTTTATTTTTTCGATTTTTGGCGTATATGATCTCGAAGTATAAACAAACAAGTTTGACGGTTGGATCATTGAAACTAGTTTCTTAGAATGCGTATGCCATCAAAACAATATATTCACTAACAATTAAGAGTTTATTTATACTTTCGTTAAATATAACATAAGATTTTGTGGTATCCACTAGTGTAATATTTTAAATTGAAGATCAAATTCAATCATTGTATTCATATAGGGTCAAGGAGTGTAGCAGTAAAAAATCATCAAAATCGAAGTTAAAATAACCGTTAAATCATGATTTTTCATTTATAACCGTCGAAATTTTTTGTCCCGTTACTTGATCTCTGAATGTTTATTTTTTTTCGATTTTTGGTGTATATGATCTCGAAATATAAACAAACAAGTTTGACGGTTGGATCATTGAAACTAGTTTCTTAAAATGCGTATGCCATCAAAACAATATATTCACTAACAATTAAGAGTTTATTTATACTTTCGTTAAATATAACATAAGATTTTGTGGTATCCACTAGTGTCGTCTATTATATGTAAAGATGATAGTTTGTTTAAAAAGGGTCGTCTATTATGAAATAAAGATGACGCTTTTTATAAAAAAACCGTCGTCTATTATGTAAAGGTGACACTTTTTATAAAAACCGTCGTCTATTATATGTAAAGATGGCAATTTTTATACAAACCGTCGTCTATTATATGTAAAGATGATACTTTTTATAAAACCGTCGTCTATTATATGTAAAGATAACGTTTTTTATAAAACAATCGTCGTTTATTATATGTAAAGATGACTCTTTTTATAAAACCATCGTCTATTATATGTAAAGATAATGCTTTTTATAAAACAACCGTCGTCTATTATATGTAAAGATGACGCTGTTTATAAAAAACCGTCGTCTATTATATAAAAAGATGACGTTTTTTATAAAAACCGTCGTCTATTATGTGTAAAGATGACAATTTTTAAATAATAAAAAGCGTCGTCTTTTAAAACACGCTAAAAAATGGGTGCTTAAGTGAATTCGCGCTCGACAAATTTTCAAATTTTCACCCGTCTTTGAAAACCTTATCTCTCATTAACAAGCGTCGTCTTTTAAAACACGCTAAAAAAAGGCTACTTAAGTGAATTCGCGCTTGACAAATTTTCAGATTTTCCCCCGTCTCTGAAAACCTTATCTCTCCCTCCTTGAAACCCTCCTGCACTCTCTAAAACCCTATCATGAAACTCTCTACAAAATCATCAAAAAATCGATATCAATGAAGGAGTTGAGAGATTGAGGTCTTCGCAGATCCATAAGATGTAGAGGGATGTTCTGTATTTGAGAATCAAAGCTGGTTGAAAGGTTTGATTTGAAAGTCACCTAATCTCTTAATACCCTTCTATATCTTGCTAGTGAATTCTAGATTAGTCTCTTTGCGTTTCTGGTATGTTCTTTGTCTCTCTAATTTCAGATTTTGTCTCTCTTGATTTGTCTGGTTTGTTTACATATTTTTTTATATTTCTAGTTTCTTTTTAGATTTTCTGATTTGGTTATCAAGATATGAGGAGGAAGCTTGCAAATTTATAACTTTTTCTTTTGTAGGTTTTCTATGTGAGTCGTATGTTTTTTTGTTGTTGAAAATTTGCAGGTTCTCGATGGTCTTTTTTATGCCCATTTTACAAGTTTTCTATGGAAATATGGACCAATGGTAAAATTTCTCTTCCACTTTTAATTTTTAATATGTTTATAATTTTTTTTTTTTTTTTTTTTCTCTCTCTTGTCATTTTGATTTAATTACAGGGATGATGGAGGAGACTTCAGTTGTGCATCATTTGTATGTTTGGATGAGGAATGCTTGGATTAAAAGTACGAAGGTCTTGTTAGGAATTATGTTGTTGTAGAATAAAGATTGGTTAACTATGTAATAACTATTGAATCTTCAAGTTTTATGAAAGAAACTATTTTTGAGTGTATATATTCATTAATAAGCATTATGGTGGGTTTTCTAGTTAAAATCGTTGTATGGCATCATAGGAAATAAAAAAGAACTAAATGTAGCAGTTTGGAAACTTATTAGACGACGGTTTTATAATAAATCATGGTCTTTACAGATAATTAACGACGATTTTTATAAAAAAAGAGTCGTCTATTATATGTAAAGATGACGCTTTTTATAAAAAAAAACCGTCGTCTATTATATGTAAAGATGATAATTTTTATAAAACTGTCATCTATTATATGTAAAGATGACGCTTTTATAAAACCGTTGTCTATTATATGTAAAGATGATGCTTTTTATAAAAAAACCGTCGTCTATTATATGTAAATATGACGATTTTTATAAAAAAAAACCGTCGTATATTATATGTAAAGATGACGCTTTTTATAAAAAACCGTCATCTATTATATATAAAGATGACGGTTTTTTATAAAACAACCGTCATCTTTATAAACAATCCACGACGGTTTTCATAAAAAATCGTCATATTTACATACAATACACGACGGTTTTATTAAAAATAGTCGTCTTTTCTCCTATAATTAATGATCTTTATCTCTAAACAACGACGATTTTCTTTAAAAACCGCCGTCGTTACAGATAAACGACGGTGAAAAGCCGTCGTAGTTTGACACCCAAATAAATGTCGTTCGATTTCACGACGGTTTGAAAACCGAATACACAACGGTGAATTCCCATCGTCTTTTGCCTTTTTTGTAGTAGTGAACAACAACAAAAACAACCACAGAGCATCATCAAGATGGCCTTGCCAAACGAAGGATCCTGATCTAGGGACTGAAATGTTAAGGATCACAATTATTAGAATCCATAAGTTAGGGGAGTGTGTATATTTTGAAGTCAAGCCATCCATTATCCATCAAATCCATAAATGTATGGGCAATTGGGGCATCAATCGTGTATGGAGATGATGAGATCAAGGGTCCCCTTCAAATTATAAGATTCCAAATGGACAAGTTGGAATAAATCAGATGGTGGTGAGGAATATCTTGATTGGTTCCCATGCTCCTTAAAGCTCTATAAAAATTACGAACTGTACAAATCAATATTGTGTTCTGAATTTCTCTTCCTCCCCCCCTTGTGCCCAATTTCAATGGCTATTGGTCATCATGTTCGCTTGTGTTTTTGGCTAGCCATTGAAATTATCTCCACCACTTTGGCTCAACCCAACAATTATATCATCCACATGGACTCAACCATGATGCCAAAAGCCTTTGCTGATCGCCATTCATGGTACTTGGCCACAATAAACTCTGCACTGAGCAAATTTAGGCCAAACACCACCACAACCTCCTCTTCTTCTGCCCTCTCTTCTAAACTTATTTACAGTTATACTCATGTCATAAATGGGGTTCAGTGCAAGTCTCTCTCTTTCTGAGCTCGAGGCCTTAAAAACCTCTCCAGGCTACATTTCTTCAGTCAAAGACTTGCCAGTAAAACCAGACACAACTCACTCCTCTCAGTTTCTTGGCCTCAGTTCCAAATCTGGAGCTTGGCCGGTTGCAGATTATGGCAAGGATGTCATAATTGGAGTGGTGGACACTGGTGTTTGGCCAGAAAGTGAGAGCTTTAGTGACGATGGAATGTCAGAAATCCCACCAAGATGGAAAGGTGAATGCGAGAGCGGCACCCAATTCAACTCCTCTTTGTGCAACAAAAAGTTGATTGGGGCAAGGTTCTTTAACAAAGGGCTCATTGCCCAAAACCCCAACTTGACCATTTCTGTGAATTCAACAAGGGACACAGATGGGCATGGGACCCACACCTCATCCACAGCAGCTGGAAATTATGTGCCCGGGGCATCTTATTTGGTTATGCACCGGGCACAGCTAGTGGCATGGCTCCGAAGGCTCACGTGGCCATGTACAAGGCTCTTTGGGAAGAGGGTGCTTTGTCTTCTGATATAATTGCTGCCATTGAGCAAGCGATTATAGACGGTGTGGATGTTTTGTCCTTGTCATTTGGGCTTGATGGGGTTGCTTTGTATGAGGACCCTGTTGCCATAGCCACATTTTCAGCCTTGGAGAAAGGTGTCTTTGTGTCCACATCTGCAGGAAATGAGGGCCCTTTCTTTGGCACCTTGCACAACGGCATCCCATGGGTTCTCACCGTTGCCGCCGGCACAATCGACCGTGATTTTGAAGGAACTGCGCATTTTGGCAACGGAGGCTCCGTCACGGGGTCTACTCTTTTTCCGGGGAATTCATCTTCAACCCAATTCCCAATTGTTTTCCTTGATGCATGTGACAGTTTGAAAAAATTGAAACAGGTGGGGAAGAAGATAGTTGTGTGCCAGGACAGAAATGATTCGTTAGGCAAACAAGTTTATAATGTTAACAAGGCAACTGTTGCCGGAGGCCTTTTATCACCAACAACACTGACTTGGAGCTGTTCCTCCAAAGCTCATTTCCCACAATCTTTCTCAGTCCAAAGGAAGGCGAAGCGATCAAAGATTACATCAACAGCAACTCTCAGCCAACAGCAAGTTTGGAATTTCAAAAGACACTTCTTGGTGCCAAACCAGCACCAGTTACAACAAGCTACACCTCTAGAGGGCCATCCCCCAGCTTCCCGTTTACCCTGAAGCCAGACATTCTGGCTCCAGGGTCATTAATCCTAGCTGCATGGCCTCAAAATAACACGATAGCCGTGGTGAACAAAGAAAACTTGTTTGGTAATTTTAATCTGTTGTCAGGGACATCCATGGCGTGCCCTCATGCAGCCGGTCTAGCCGCTCTTCTAAAAGCTGCATATCCAAAATGGAGCCCTGCTGCTATTAGATCGGCCATGATGACGACATCAGACACATTGGATAACACTCTCAGCCCCATTAAAGACATTGGTGATGGTTACCAGCCAGCCAGTCCTCTAGCCATGGGAGCAGGTCATGTCAATCCCAACAAAGCCCTCAACCCGGGGCTCATATACGACGCGGACATAGAAGATTACATAAATCTCCTTTGTGCACTGAACTACACCAACAAGCAAATCCAAACCATCACCAAATCAGCCTCGAACAATTGCTCAAGTCCTTCCTTGGATCTTAACTATCCTTCTTTCATTGCATTCTTCAACGCAAACGATTCGAAGCCGGATGTACAAACCACTCAAGAATTCCGGAGGACAGTGACCTACATAGGAAAGGGACAGTCGACCTACGTTGCAAGCGTTACACCCTTAAAAGGGTTTGAGGTTGCAGTGGTTCCAAACACATTGAAGTTCAAGGAGGAGGGTGAGAAGCTGAGCTTTGTGCTGAGTATAAAAGGTCCAAGACGAACGAAGGAGACTGTGGCGTTTGGCTATCTAACTTGGGCGGAGAGTGGAGGTGAGCATGTGGTGAGAAGCCCCGTCGTGGCCACAAACCTCAGCTCAGAGACGGTGTCGCGGCAGAGCTAACTTGCATGCTCCAGCAAGCATGGGATCATTCCCCTTTGCTATAAATAAATTAAAGTTTATAGTTTATAAATCACATCAGGATCAGGCTAACAGCAGGTTGGTGGTGTTGTTACTCAAATTAAAGCTGGCAGCTAGCAATTTAAGATTATTGGGAAAGGTTTTGTGTGGTTGTTAGTCGATGGTAAGCAGCTTTGTTTAATCATACATGATTAACGTACCATATTGGAAGACATTATTTAGAGATTGTCCTATTGACAAAAATAAAATGACACTTGTAGTCCCTGTGGTTTCCAACTTTTACACTAAAGTCCCTGTGGTTTCAATTTCGTCACTTTTGCCACTGTGGTTTAAGAGTCCAAGCAATTCGAGGACACTTCTCAATTTCCGTAAGATTCCTTTTAGTTCTGTTAGGGCATCAGCACGTGCCTCTCACATGGAGGGGCATTACGGTCAAATCAGGGAGAAAAACTTTCCTCCTCCTTGGTTGTTTTTTTTCCTTTGTTCTCGTCTGAACTTTCAACCTCCTCCCCCTTTAAATCCTCTCTCTCCTCCGTCCAGACCAAGCTCTTCTCCCTCCTCAGCCATACCTCTGCTACTCTCCTCTTTTGTTGTTATGGAATACAAATTTGGGTTGTAAAACCCAAAGCTTTTTGTAACCCAAAAACACAAAACCCCAAGCTTAAAAGTAAAATACAAAATATTATCTGTCAAACTGTTGCTCCTGCATTTTGATTATGTTGGGCATCCCTGTTTTTGGGGCTTTTGTTTGTAATTTCTTCTTTTCATATAAAAAGTATCCCTTCCCCCAAAATCATAGGTCTCTCCTCATATTTCTTATGTCTGTATTTTTTCCAGTTAATTTTGATGGGTAATGATTCACTCTGAAATTGGTTTTGTTTTTGTGGCTTTCTTCCCCATTCTCAATTAGCTGAGAGTTCACCTACCATTGAAATTTTACAGTTATCAGCTCTGTGAGTTGGAAGAGAGACTTAAGAATTGAGATTAAAAAGGGAGGGGAGTGTTGAGGTTTTAGACCAGAAAAAAAGAAAAAACGAGGGTTGCAGGCCAGGTAGAACGCAAGGTAAGATGAATGTCCAAATTGAAGCTGTGAGAGGCGGCAGGCGCCAACAGATTTCAATATTCGATATTGTGTTGGTGAGGTCATTTGCTTGAAGATTGGAGATCAAGTTCCAGCTGACGGGTTGTTTCTTGATGGCCATTCATTACAAGTAGATGAATCAAGCATGACGGGGGAAAGTGACCATGTGGAAATAAATCAAGCCCAAAATCCATTCTTGTTCTCTGGCACCAAAGTGGCTGATGGCGACGCTCGCATGCTTGTTCTTTGCAACTTACTACAGAGCACTGCAAGGCTCTTCATTTTTTATTTTTTTATTTTTGTTATTATTAATATTTTACTGTTTTTGTAATTACAGGGGATTTTACCTTATGCCCCTCCACTTATTCAATAACTAACGGCAACAGCTGATGCCCTAACAGAACTAAAAGGAATATGACGGAAATTGGGAAGTGTCCTCGAATTGCTTGGACTCTTAAACCACAGTGGCAAAAGTGACAAAATTGAAACCACAGGGACCTTAGTGATAAAAGTTGGAAACCACAGGGACTACAAGTGTCGTTTTGCCATAAAAATAAACAGCTCAACTTTATTTGTTTATTTTGGCCGGACACACTATTTAAATGATTAATCATCTAAAATTAACGTGAATAAGGTTACATGATTATTATCCACCGGACTTGGACAAAAGTAGTCCTGCTTTATATAATTCAACAATTATTATCAGTACAACTTACAAAAACAAAACTACATAAATTAGCTACAGTGTCTCTGGGTCCATCTCCATCACATCCCTATAGATCTCTACCATTAAAATCGGTGCTTCATGAGCTTCTACTAGTGTTTACTTGGAAGTGAAATACTACTAAACTAAAAGACTAATTAATTAGTAAAAGCATGCATAAGTGCGTATAAACATGTGAAGCTGCCTTCAGCAAAAGGCAGAAGGATAATGTTGGATTGGAAGTGGGTGAAGAATAGAACCTCTTTTTAACATCAAAACTTTTTTATTTAAAATGACATGAAAATCATTATGACACCCTTGTATTTTTTCTGGATAACTTTTACTTCGGGTAGATCTTTTTTAACCCCTTTTTTCCCATCTAAAGTTGGGGTAATTTTCAGGCAGGATGAATATATAAGTCGTCTGTCATATTAATTACTGCCTGGGAAATGACTTTTTTGTAACTTTCTTTTTTCAGGTAGTGTTTCTATAATAATTAGAGTTGGAACTTGGAAGCAAAGAAAGGGTCTGTGTGTTTCATAGAACACCAGCAAAAAAGAAACAGAAAAGATGGGAATGAGAAAGTGACACGACCCATTAGCAACAAGCAAACTCACATGGGATGGGAGTGGGGATTGTCCCAATTTATCTTCATATATCTTTTCTATCTTTTCTTCACTTCGGCTATATATTTACCGCACTATGATTAAAATTGCTTGCTGCGTGAACAAAATTTAACTTTGCAAACCCTTATGAATACATAAGATTTAGTGGATATATTACAAGGGGTTTGTAGTTTAAGTAATTAATTAAGATCTCAGTTATCTCTTCACTCGATGTTCTAAGTTTGATTCTCTGTAATTCAACGATCGATAGCGTAGCTGTCATATAAATTAAACTGAAAATATAGCCATGCATTTGGCGAACTGATGGCGACTCAGTTTTCAAACTGCATCAAATATTTAAAAGGGTTGTTTTTCTTTTTGGAACTTGCCAGGCACGTCGTTTTTTGATTGAACAGTTTGGACTATAGCTCCATGAAATGCATGCAGTGCTCCAAAGACATGAAAAAGATTGCAGCAAATCGAGTCTCGTCCACTTAAACTATTTTGTAAGGTTTTTGGTAATATTATTATTTTGCATGAGAAAACAAAACCTCTCACAGCTGCGTAGTACTAATACTAATACGTTTTAAAAGTCTGGAACTTTTGATCCATCATTTTTGTCAGTTATGGCGATAAGTCTCTGCAACCTCTTCCCAATTTAAATTCCAATTAAGTCAACATGATGATCGAACCCATATCTCACAATCCTGTGGCTGCCCGTTGAAATGGAAACATGAATGGGCCATGATTTCAAGGACATGTTAGAAAAGATGAATGTTGCAATATGGAGTAATTCAAATATCAGTACAATTATCGTTCGTATAAAAATAAAATTTTAAAAATATCTCAGTATAATTTACAAATAAAATAGAAATATATAATAATACGATAATATGATCACGTATTATATCTTGTACACATATTATAATATGAGTGTGAACGACATGGTTTATTTTCTCCCTTTAGGGAATAGTATCAATAAATATTCACTTATAATACGTGTACAAGATATACTACGTTGTCGTACTACCGTAATATCTATAATTACCCAAGTTGACAAACAATTTTGAAAATTTCAGTACTTAAATATTTTACTTTTTTAACGTAAGTTTTGGGGGGCTCTGGAAGGAAACCAACCAAGCCAACATTAATGATTTAGCCCATTGGCAAGTTCATTCAACCCATGGGTCAAACTCAACCCACATTTATGATTTGGACGGTTGAACTGGCATGCCGACAAACAACGCGTAGCGGATTGTACAGCCCACGGGCTTTTCTTTTCCTTTCAATTTTGGTCTTAAAATCCTTTGTGGCCCAACATGTGTGTGTTGTTTGTATATATATTTTTTTTTTTTTTTTTTTTTTGTGATACAAGTGATGCGATATTGGGGAGGGGGAATGAATTAAACCTAAGAACTCAAATGCAAAAGTAAATACTCTTATGATGTGTTTACTAATCAGGAATTGGAATTCTCATCAGGAATTGAATTCCACTTATGGAGGATTCCTGTATTTACTTACATCAAAGAATTGAAAAGTTTGTGGGCCTACACAAAATTAGGAATTGAATTCTGATTTTTGAGGAATTCAATTCTTGGGTGGGAGGTGGTATTCTAATTTTTGAAAAACTAAACCCATTAGGAATTCATCTTTTTACCCATTATATCCTCACACAATTTTTAAAATTCTAAATTTGTCATTTACTTTAACCTAACAACGAGGACATTTTAATAATTAGTACCACTCCTACCCCAATTCCATATGATTAGTAAACAACTTCAATAAAAATTCGAAATCTAACTCCACGTAATCCATATGGTTTAGTAAACAACTTCAATAGGAATCCATCTAATTCTCCTCAATATTTATCCTCAATTCAATTCCTCCTAATTCAATTACGGATTAGTAAACATGTCATTAATCACTTGAGCTACAAGGGCATGATGTTTTGTAATCTTTACGTACTTCTTCTCTCAAAAAAATCAAATTTACTTAAACTCATCTCAGACCCCAAAAATAAGAAGAAGAAAAAACTCACACTCCACCTTGCTATCCAAAAAGGAAAGAACTACAACAAAATACAAACATTCTATTTTTGGCACTAAAACACTTTTCTATTAGTTAAAGGTACCAAAACACACCCGAAATTTTTGAGTTTGGGCCGAGCATTTATGGGGCCTTTTCATTTTCGAGCTGGATCAAGCCGACATTTCAAAGCGATCAGTCCGAGCCTAAGTGGGCTTTTTGGGGTTGGGCCACCCCATTCCTTTTGGTTATTATTTTATTTTATATTTTGCCTTTTTCCATTAAACATGAAGTAAATGCCTTGTCTTTTACTTTAATTTATTTTTATATACTTCATTTACTTATGTTTACGATGTAAATAAGTAAGTACCTCCCATTTGGATTCAATAAATAATACTAGAAAATCAAATTCCCAACAAATCAAACTATGAAAAATGCCAGTTTAGTATAAGATACAGTTTATACATATATTGATATCTCAATAAGTCAATGTATACTTTAGACTAAATCTTATAAAATCGTGTTTGATTATTTAAGTTTTAAGGAATATAAACCGCCAAAAATATCATTGAAAACATTAGTATTTCAAAAGTTCATTTTTCAAATTTAGTCAAATTATACTACCATACATGTTTTAAATGTTTTTATTTTCTAAATATATTTTCCAATTAATCTACCAGAGCATTCTCAAATCTGAAAAATGCAAATTGTTTTATTGTTTTCATTATCTGAAAATATTCTAAGGAAACATTCTCCAAAAACGTTAACAGACAGGCCCTTAATTTTTATTACTTCATTAAGAATTTTTTTTTTCTAAATTTTATTAAAATTCTTATGTTTTGGGGGGTTGAAGAGGAATATATTGGGCCTGTTACGTATAAAGAAGGGAGCTTTAGTTTTAAAACACAATATAGTTTACTAATTTGGAAATTAAGAATACAATTTCATCTAATTAGCATAAGGCCAAAGACCAAATGTGGCACATAATTTTACAAAAATATCACTAAAAAATATCAAAATTACACCACAATGCCACTCATTCTAAGATAAGCATATTATGCCACATGTCCATATCTAGCTAACCACCACACTCGTCACCGCCTGCCACCGTCTACAAGGGACAACTCCGTTGCCCTTTATTCACCTTTAAAAAAAAATTTTGTGTCATTGAATGGACTTGAACCTTGACCCTCAAAGGAGGAAGGCTCACTCACAAACCACTACACCAAACTTGATTTTGTAATATTTATTCAGTTATACATTATTTATATAAACAATCAACGGTTTTTTTATATAAAAAAAAATCAATTCAACACTTGTTCACACAAAAATACAAATAAAAACAAAATTGCAACAAAATAAAATGTAGATATCAATTATGTTTAAAAAAAACAAAAACAAAAACAGCTACAAAAATAATTGTAATTAAATGAAAACTGCAATGCAGTTTTCCAGTTTCCAAAAGTCCAATTTTGAGTTCCTTTGCTCTTGAGTAGTTCTACTCTTCTCTTGCCCACCCAATTCCTCATATGGGTTGCCTCTACTCTTCAAATTGGTGAGGTTGAAGGCTAAGGAAAGAACAAAATCAAATGGAAATTAAATGAAAACTACAATGCAGTTTCCAATTTCCAAAAGACCAATTTTGAGTTCCCTTGCTCTTTGGTAGTTTCTACTCTTCTCTTGCCCACCCACTTCCTCATCGGGTAGCCTCTACTCTTCAAATTGGTGAGGTTGAAGGCCAAGGAAAGAACAAAAATCAAATTGTAATTAAATGAAAACTGCAATGCAGTTTCCAGTTTCCAAAAGTCCAATTTTGAGTTCCCTTGCTCTTAGGTAGTTCTACTTTCTCTTGCCCACCAAATTCCTCATCTGGGTAGCCTCTACTCTTCCAATTGGTGAGGTTAAAAGCCAAGGAAAGAGCAAAATTCAATATGTAATTAAATGAAAACTGCAATGCAGTTTCCAAAAGTCCAATTTTGAGTTCTCTTGCTCTTGGGTAGTTCTACTCCTCTTGCCCACCAAATTCCTCATATGGGTAACCTCTACTCTTCAAATTGGTGAGGTTGAAGGCCACGGAAAGAGCAAAATTAATTGTAATACCAAAACTGCAATATAGTTGTGTGAAAACTACAATGCATAACCTATGTAAAATTTCACTGAACTGAAGCGTAAATGGTATTGCAAGATTTATATGACATTGATGGCATCAACCATTTCCAAATCAAGACAAATGCATAGTAAGTGAGCTTTAGTTGCAGCTAAATTAGATCATTGCCTGACCTAATTATGTGCTATATAAAACGACGTTTGTGCTATATAAAATAAGACCAAATTATGTACAACGAACAACGATCATAGAATAAGATGCGTCAACCTCCAAACTTGAGTGATGAGTACATACCCTAAATAAAAGGAGAAAATATATTTGAAACAAGCAAATGGCAAGTGGCAATCCTTGTATTAGAGCTATATCAAATTGATTTAATAAAAAAGAATTTCTAGTTACGTTCTTTGTCACTTGCCTGCCCAGCTGGATTACTAGTAACACTAAGCATGCTCATTGAAAAGACATTGGAACGTGCAATGGAAACATATCAAGGTAACATAAGTTCCTTCCATTTTCTGCGTTGCAATTTCTAATCAAGTTGCAACCACACTAACAAAAAAAACAAACCAAAAGGCAAAGCCATCATGAAAACAAGCAACTAAACAAAGTCAAAAAGACATATCCATTGATGACAATTGTATAATTTCCATTAACTTCAAAAATCATACCAATATCCAATGATAAAACAATTTAGCCAAATGTAATTAAATAGAAACTGCAATGCAGTTTCCGTTTTCTGCATTGCAATCAAAACAAATTACCACCAACAATCCTACCAGCACAACTCAAATTAATGATTTTAAAAGAAAAAAACAAACAACATACACAACATTACACAAGAACACAAAAATACAGTGCAGTGCAAAAATGTTGAAAATGCATCAGAGAGATTCCCATTAGACTGAGTCATCACCCTCCGAAGAGTGCAGATGTCCCTGTCTGTTTTATCGTCACTTGCAATCCCAATCCCATCCCAAACAATTCTCATTCTTATTATCAAAACCTTCACTTGCATAAAATCCAAACTTTCCAGCATAACAACTAAAGATAAGAAATTTCAGCAAAACCACGCAATAAATTTGCTGGACCAAGGTTTTGGGCTAAACCCAACTCCAAAGTTTTCTTCGGCTACATGAAAAAATCAACAATTTGGAAAAAAATTCAAAGAACAAGAACAAAAACTGTGCAGTAATCATAAAGCCTCATGCCTCAGAGTAAATTTGTTTCATAGAAATTAATCTCAAAGTATATTTAACACCATCACATGCATAGGTAGGCATACTTCTTAATACTAGACTTCAACAATGAAAACAAACACATAGCAAAACAATACAAGATGAGAAATGCTTCGCAATACTGAGAATTGGCTATTAATCTCAAAATTCAAAGTGACAGGTGAGAAACGGCATACAAGGAAGGTACAGAACAGGAGAGGGTTCTAGACTTCGAGGTTTCCACTTCTTTTCTAATTGAAGAGAAGACGAGCACCAAACACGTGACCTATGCCGTTTGGATTGAAGAGAGGGCGTCGTGACGTTGTCGATGGAGCGAAGAAGGAAGATGAGATAGAGGGGTCATCGTCAATGGAGTGAATAAGGAAGAAGGAGAAGAGAGGGCTGAGATATGATTTAAACAAAAGGGTAAAATTGTATTTTATCTTTATAATTTAGACAAGCCCAATTCATTGGGCCTCCTCTTGGGCACATCCAAAACAGAATTTGATTCATAGGTATTAAAACCCACAGAATTGATCATATGTATTAAAACCCAATAAAATATTCTATGTCTCAATCCTAATTAGTAAGGATTATCATGTTTAATACCTAATTTTCTTATAAAGAAACCTCTACTTAAATTTACGTAATTAAGTTCTAAATTAATAAAAGCACAAAATGGGCTTTTACTAAAAATAGAACATCAGGGGAGATGGGGCTTTTATCTGCAGCTCACCCAAGCTCATTCGAGATGGAGAGACAACGTTCATGGTGGACTTTGGGTTCGCTGTCCGGCTTTTCTTTGTGGCTTTGACTGGCTGCCATTGAAGGAAGTAACAGGCTTGTATCTGAGGTGGTTTTACAACTCTCTCTCTGCCTGTGAGTTTTTTCTTTCAAATTTGTGCTTTGTTTATACATTCTTCAGCATTCTGATTGTGGTTTTGGGTTCGCAATTTTACTTCTTTTGGGTAAGATGAGGTTAAGGGTATCTGAAAAAGAATTTCATTGATGCGAATTTTAAAGGCAACATGGTTCTAGATATAAAAATGTGTTGCTTTATACAGTATTTACATAAATTTATCGATAAGGAATAAAATAATCTTGAGTCCTGCACATGAATATGTTGTTCATATCAATTAGTGATTCATTGCCACGACAGGCTTGATACAATGTGGTTGTATTGATCTACCCATTTGAGATAAACCATAGGTCGTGTTCGGAGACGGTTGCTTTCGATCTCCAGCTCAAGCGAAAATATTGCTTCTGATGTCTTTTAGTGAATTTTAGAGTGTTAGGCTCCACTGCAATCCTCATTCCGCTAGGAACTTCCAAACTGCTCTATAAATTGATTTTTTATTTCCACATTTGTCACAACCCTGCTAAAGTTTTTAGCTCTTGGGAAGTCTTTTCCATCAAAGATGGCCATAAAAGAAGGGTAGTTTAGTTCCATAGGTGTGGCGCTGCAACTCCAACGCCTTCGTCGAATAACAGCCCTCATCTGCTTAGCATTGTACCCAAGGCCACATAGGAACTCAATATAATCTTGCACATCCATGTCATAGGTCAGTCCAGGGTCCATGGCCTTGTTTGGGTTGATGTGGCCAGCCCCAAAATCTAAGGGCGTGGCGGGAAGACTACCCCTTTGTCTTTGATGGTGGTGTGAGTATTGTCATCTGTGTATGCTGTGGTCATGATCGCTGATCGGATGGCTGCAGGGCTCCATTCTCGGTGAACAGCTTTCAGCAAGGCTGCCCACTCCAGCAACATGGGGTGCTGCCATTGATGTCCCTGACATCAATGCATAATCTGTCGCCAAATCATTGTTTTTTTACGCTAAATATGTATTTCTTGTTAGGTGGAAATGCAGCCAGCACATCAACCCCCGGAGCAATAATTTCTGGTTTTAGAATACTTGGATTGATTTGGTCCAGTCCTCTTGAAGAGAAATGGGCCACTTGTGGTGCTGGTTTTGCACCAAACTTTGTGTGCACAAAAGTCAGGCTCTTAACTTGAGTTGCGCTGACCTTTGTTACATGTTCTCTAATCAAAGCCCCTGTATCAAATGACAGAACCATAGCAGGAATGTTGAACTCTTCTGGGACCATAGTTGAGAGATTGGTCATGAAGATTCCAGCAAAAGCACCTGCCTTCTCTACGTGTTCCTTTGCTGTCCAACATCAAACTCCGTAGTGTTATCACATAAGACAACCCTTTCCATCCACTTCTTTAGGATCCAATGCCCCAAAGTCGCATGTTTGCTTTCTTCACATTTTCTTTCCCATAATACAATGGGCTTATCTGTAATGTAAGCGCTCACTGGGAAGTAGGATGTTCCTTCAACTGTCAAGTTATTATCTAGAGTCATTGATGCAGTGAGACTACGATCAAGCGTGGCAGCTCCTACTGTTGTGATCCAGGGTGCTCCATTGTTCATCGAATTGGAGTTACCCATCATTCCCAGCAGAACAGACGACAACAATACCTTCTCAAATCGCTGAAAGCGAAGCAATGGCAATGACATCGTCATAGTAAGGGGAGCCTTTGCAAGCCAATCGACAGCGATATGATATCAACGCCATCAGCAATTGCCTGGTCCATCCGGGCAAGCACATCGCTGCTTGCACTAATATGGTATCTCTGACCACAGACCTTGTACATGGCCACATGTGCCCACCCCTCTTGCTGTGCCTTTCGCATCGCATATCCAAAATGACTTGCACTGACTACATGATGGCCTGGCAGCTGTTGATGATGTGTGGGTTCCGTGCCCTAACGATTCTCTTGGTGGTCATAGTCATATCCCGAGATATTTGTCCTGCAGCTTGAGCCCTTTGCTAAAAGATTGAGCCCCAATGAGCTTCTTGTTGCATAGAGTGAGGTGAATGATGTTCCATTTTCGCACGTGCCTTTCCACTTTTGGACTGTGCATCCCTTACACTGAAGCTCTCACATGTGGGGTTACCCAGAAAACCAATCTCTGGCCAATCCTCCTGAATCAATAACTCCTATGATCCCGCCTTCGCGCCGTAGACGCAGCAGGCCACTAAGCCAAGTTGTGTTCGAACCAGAACATTGGGGCTACGTGTGTGTGTACAACTGTCCAAATAGACGTCCTGGGTGCGTGGCAACATGAGCCGAGATTTCTCACAGTTCAGACCCGCTGAGAGTGTGGTTAGCCTTGGTGCTGCAAGCCTGGGCATGACATGGTTGACCTATGAGTACATCAACATTTCACTGTCCATCTGGTTTGATCTGCTGTAGGTGATGTTAGGTGATTTTAGGATGACACTGTGCCATGACTCATGGGTTCAGAAAGATCATTTTTTTTGTGGTACGTTTTGTTCGATTGACCGTGTGGATTCGGATATAGTTTGCTTGTATCTTCATCCGGGGAAGAAAAAAAAAAAAAAAAAAAAAAAAAAAAAAAAAAAAAAAAAAAAAAAAAAAAAAAAAAAAAAAAAAAAAAAAAAAAAAAAAAAAAAAAAAAAAAAAAAAAAAAAAAAAAAAAAAAAAAAAAAAAAAAAAAAAAAAAAAAAAAAAAAAAAAAAAAAAAAAAAAAAAAAAAAAAAAAAAAAAAAAAAAAAAAAAAAAAAAAAAAAAAAAAAAAAAAAAAAAAAAAAAAAAAAAAAAAAAAAAAAAAAAAAAAAAAAAAAAAAAAAAAAAAAAAAAAAAAAAAAAAAAAAAAAAAAAAAAAAAAAAAAAAAAAAAAAAAAAAAAAAAAAAAAAAAAAAAAAAAAAAAAAAAAAAAAAAAAAAAAAAAAAAAAAAAAAAAAAAAAAAAAAAAAAAGTGTGCAAGCGATGGTGCATAAACAAGTAAACAACCACATATCCATATCATAAAACTGTTCCAGAATCCATAGAAACAGATTCAAATGCTAAACAGTGCCCCAACAAACAATATACATATTCATGTAACGATGAAATTTCTGGCATATTATAGGATATGAGAAACCATTGCAGTATGGAGAAGCAAAACACTACACATAGATGATGAGCGGCTCTCCTTTTTATTTATTTATAGTTTTTTTTTAATGTAAGTTATATATGCATTAATGAGGTGGTTATTTGGAGAAATACAAGAAGCAAGCTCAGGTGAAAGAGTAAAGAAAGCAGGGCCCAGCCCAGATATAGTCAACTATGTCATCATGGACATTTAACTTGCAATGTTCAACTCAATCTGTATTTTTATTTTACCAAATTTTGAACCGCTCTTCTTCTGGTCCTAGATTACTACTTTCTGTCAACAAGATGTTCTTTTGGTCCAAATTAAGTCTTTGGATTGGTTTAATAAGAAGAACTTGCATGTCACGGGAATAATACTGTTTTACTATCCCATCTGTCATGTGAAATCTTATCATATAACAAAACATGTAAGAATAGCAAAACAGTTTTATCCGTTATATACAAGTTTTTATGATGTTTCAGGCTCTTTTAGGTTGAAGTGTCAGATTGCTTGACATTTCAGATACGTCTGCTATTGCTAAAATATTATTATCTGCTAACTGATATACAGTGTCCTAGCTGCATGGCTGGCTTCACATGCTGTTCATGCTCATCATTTATTGTTTTGCGAACCCTATTTCCTATGCTTCATGACATATACATGAAATCACGCCTTACCCCTATTGCCTAATCTATTGCAATGTTAATAACTAAAGAGCTCATGCCTAAAAATTTACTGGTTGTTGGATTTCTTCATCGTACCGAAACCTAAACCTGAACCTAATTTAATTTATATTATAATTGTGTGGATTTTAAACCAAATTATATATTATATATGTCATGATAATGAGTGTGTGGAAGTACCAAACATTATAATTGGCAATTCGATTGTCACAAAAGGCATTGAGAAAACCAATTGGATGTTGTCTCTTGGCTTCCTTGTACAGATTTATTATATATTCTTCAGTAAATTCATATGTTTTTGCATTTGATTTTGAGCATTGCACAAGGCCCCGCTAAAAAGGAAATAGAATATAAGACAATAGTGTTTTACAAGATAAACCTTTCTTTTGGCCTTATAATCCTACTTTAAGGTTTAAAAGTGAGATTAGTCATCCAAGTATGGAATATAATTAAATCGAATCCAAGGCGATTAACGAAAACCTTGAGAATTTTAACAATAATTAAGCTAGAAGCATAAACTTCTTTTTCTTTTTTTTTCGATGGGGACAATTAAAGTTATATGATTCAAGTTTCTCGTGGAAATATTTTACTTCTTGGTTGAGGGTTCTTTATTATTTATTTTTCCTTTTGTTTGTCTTGGTCACGGGCATGAGGTGCAAGTATGTATGGCATATAAAGTAGAAGCGAGAGTCATAGCAAAGCATATGAATAAACTTTAATTAGCTTCTGATACTTACATTTCTGAAGTCTTTTCTAGAAGATTTAACATGTAAACAGAAAATTTATCGACCATAAATCACATGGATATAAGCACTAATTAAAATCACTTATAGCAAAAAGGACTCATTCGTGTAATGGTTTAAAGCAATTACTCCTCCATGAAAGGTCCTGAGTTCGAGTTTTAGCATCGTGTAGTGTGTGTGAGTTTAATATGCTATATCCCCTCTCAATAGGAAATTTCAAAAAAAAATTAAAAAAAATCACCAGTATGAAAGAAGCTCTTACCAAATACCCACATGTATCTCAACTGTCTTTCTTATCAGGTTGAGCTTCATTTGACTAAACAAGACTTTTCAATGCGTTTTATCTTAGCATAATGGCTATATAGATCAATGTTTTAGTTGGGCACGGCCCTTTATTGAAAATGCACAAATATTCAAACAACAAAAATGGATATTTGGTGTAGACTAGACATGCATGTGTGCCCTGCTCAGTGAAAGATTGAGCACGGCCCTTCATTGAAAATGCACAAATATTCAAACAACAAAAATGGATATTTGGTGTAGACTAGACATGTATGTGTGGCCTGCTCAGTGAAAGATTGAGCACACTAACCAAAAGTTGCCATAGCTTTTCCCCACACGCAAATATTATTGACTTTTTTTTTTTGTGGTTGTTAAATTAGGGTTTTTAACTTTTAATCACAATCTGTATGCTTAATTAAAGACTCATTTGGGAGTGATTCTGGATAGAACAAAAAACACTTTTATGGAGAATCACTTCTCTATATAATCAATGTGATTTTTATGTGATTTTATGGAGAATCATATAATCATAATCACTTAAAATAATTATATGGAAAATCACATAAGAGGTGTTTTTACCCATAAGTGATTCTGGACAAACCCTCAGAAAAGTGCAAAAGTATCTAACAATTAGTCAACTACATGTTACCTTAAAAATCATCTTATGCAAAGTCCTTGTTATCTTGTAGGTGTCGGTTACTTGTTCAATATATATAATCAGCCAATTCAGACTTTTGATGAGTTTCTTAAACTAATTACACAATTCCAAACTTAATTAGACTTTCAAGCCCATGAGTAGATAGATAGATTGCTACAATTTACCAAAGTTCAAGAACAAGATGTTGGTCTTGATGAAGATACTATAAAAATAAGCTTGCCCAGATTTTCTTTTTCGTCGGCAAATAAAAATAGGGTTTTGTAACTTTGTAACCACACCAAGCAAAAAACAAAGGTCAACTTCCTCATGCAGTTGCCTTGTATTTTAGTCCAAAAGTAGGATAAAACTGATAAATAATGTCCTGTACAGATTCCTCACCTGCCGTCCACTGCCCTCCACAAGGAGAAAAACTTAGTTGCAACAGGGATAGCTTTGCTATTTACGTGGAAGTGTTATCACGCATGATATAGCGTTATTAGTGGAAATAGTAAAATAGTGTTATCCCTGTTATTGAGGGTAAAACGTGAAAGTATATAGGGACCCAAAATCCCAAGGTTAAATAAGCTTTAAGTGTCTAATGTTATGCATACATGTCATAGACAAAGGTCAATTTGTTCTTGCGCATGTCTCTCAAGCCTCAACCAAGAAACATACAAAAAGAAACAATCTGGATTGGATTATATAAATATTTCTATACTAGTACCAGCCGCATCTATAGATTTTATTTAAACTAAATTATGAAGGCAAAAATTGTTAAATTAACCCAATAATTTGTAGCAAGAATCCTAGATGTTAGTAGTTAGGCCAAAGGCTTGCGGAGGAAGAGGATGAGGAAGAAGCCAATGACCTAATTTCATTTCAAAGCTGAAATATTCTGATCCCCATGCTTGGAATTTTCATGGAGTTTGGGCCTCACAGAATGTTTCGGCATGCTCATGGACTAGCCATTTGAATGATTGAGGTCAAGATGCAACATTTGTGCGGCTGATGACAAATTGCATCAGTTGTTGAAACAGCAACATCTGTTTCTGTTTAGTAAATATATGGTTGTTAGGGGGTGGCATCAAGTTGTGTTGGTGATATAATTAGATCATAATACAGTCTTAATGCAATAATGAAACCATATTATGCTTTTTATATATGTATTTGTCCCCTTCAAGCCCATAATGGATTTAAAATTTCAATTTTTTTTAATCAATGAGGCGTGGAGATTCGAATTTTAGACGTCTTCCAACATCGGGAAGAAGAGAAGTGCGCTGCTATACTAATAGCTAGTTGGTATGAATTTAAATTCCTAAAACGTGATTTTATAAGATAATAATGCACCTAATTATATTCCTTAGTATTTTCTGTTAACCTCCAAAGTTCTTGTGGCTGTGGCTCATTTCATTCCATTGAACAGTGCCATAATGACAATCTCGCATAATCACTTTATTATTTGTTTATAGCTTGTCCAAACTTATAAGTTATAATTGAAGGTGAAGTTCTTCTGTTTAGAAAGATACAGAGGAACAACTTCAGACCACCCCCCGCCACAAAGAAAAAAACAGACTGGCATGAATTGTGGCCATTGGATCTGTGAAGTTAGTGAGACCCAAATTTGACATGGGTTAAGTAGGCCCAACAACATCTTATGTTTTTTCGTTTGTCAAAGTTCACAAGTTATATTGACAAATATGAGTATCCAACCTTGCGTGTAAATGTTCTTAACCACTTGAATTCTAAGTTTGATATCCATGCAGAGGATCTGGATTAATTAGTACTACTTATAGATTCTCAATCGTATAATAATTTATAACATTTTCCCTTTGAATTGCTTAAAATAGATATATCAATGATTCTAAATTTGAATCCCTCCTCTCAATAGTTGATAAAAACACACTAGATACTGGGGATGACGAGATATTGCTCCAACCGATTTATCAAATGTGCCACATAGACATTTAACAGCTAGAAATAACATCTCACATCACTCCAACCGATATGTCAAAATTGATGTGGAATAAAGGCTGGAGGTTGATATGTTATTTTTGACATCCCAAAAGCAAGATGTCAAATGAATATTTTATTATTTTTTCTTTACTTTTCTTTTAATTAAAAATGAATCAACACTAAAATGTAATAAAATAATAATTTAATTTGACATATCGGGTGGAGTGTAAAGCTGTGTAAGATGTCAAATTGCCACATCAACCATCAAATTTAAATTTGATGTTTGGTATTTGACATCTCCCTTTGAGATGCTCTAAGATGCTCTTAGAGCATCTTCAACCGATGTGTCAAAAGTGTCACATAGATCTTTAACAGCTGAAATAACATCTCACATCACTCCAACCAATGTGTCAAAGCTGAAGGTTGAGATATTATTTTTGACATCCCAAAGTAAGATGTCAAATGAATTTTTTATTTTTATTTTTATTTTTTTAAATTAAAATAAATCAGCACTAAAATGTAATAAAATAATAATTTAACTTGACATATCGGGTGGAGTGTAAAGCTGTGTAAAATTTCAAATAGCCACATCAGCCATCAAATTTAAATTTGATGTTTGGTATTTGACATCTCTCTTGGAGATGCTCTTAGCTATATCAAATACCAAACATCAAATTTAAATTTGATGGTGATGTGGCAATTTGACATCTTACACAGCTCTACACTCCACCAAATATGTCAAATTAAATTATTATTTTATTACATTTTAGTGTTGATTCATTTTTAATTAAAAAAAAGAAAAGAAAAAATAATAAAATATTCATTTGACATCTTGCTTTTGGGATGTCAAAATAAGAGCATCTCCAAGGGAGATGTCAAATACCAAACATCAAATTTAAATTTGATGGCTGATGTGGCAATTTGACATCTTACACAGCTTTACACTTCACCCGATATGTCAAATTAAATCATTACTTTATTACATTTTAGTGTTGATTCATTTTTAATTAATAAGAAAGAAAAGAAAAAATAATAAAATATTCATTTGACATCTTGCTTTTGGGATGTCAAAAATAACATCTCAACCTCCAGCCTTCATTCCACATCAGCTTTGACATATCGGTTGGAGTGATGTGAGATGTTATTTTTAGCTGTTAATGTCTATGTGGCACATTTGACACATCGGTTGGAGATGCTCTAAGAAATTAGAGATTTAAGGGCCAAAAAGGATTGTCTTATAGCATTTATTATGAAGATTTCATAAGAAGGCATGGCTGAGATTAGATAAATAATTTGCCATGCCTACGATTTAAATAGTAATGCAGCTGTCCAAAAGTTGGCCTGAGGGATGATTCCAACATCAATTTTGTTGTTTGATGTTAATTTTATTTAATATTCGTGGTCCAACCCAAAATTCAAAAATCCTATCCTATTGATGACCATTAATTTTGTTCATAGCAAATTCCACGCCTTCCCAATGCAATCCACCACCTTGCCCATCACTTTTGTTAGATCTCCCTACAAATTTCAAGAGTTTTTTTAGGAGTATCAATATTGCACCATATTCTTCATCGAGCCATCGAATTGGTTGTCTCATTCATGTCAAAGCCCCTCATAGACCAAGATGAAAAGCAAATTGTAATTTTCAATTTTTTTAATGGAAGATCCAAATGACCTATATATGTTTTTGCATTTCGGACTCGTTTACTGCCTAGGATTGAATTAGATAAGTTACTAAATTAAGGTATGTTGAATAAGGAAATGAAGGCAAAGGTGAAAAATTTTCATTTTTTGGAGATTAAGAAGGATAAGTTATAAGGTGTTGTTATTACCATTTTGTGGAGATTAGATGAGACGAGTTTTCTTCATAAGTAATCCATCTTCTACCTTCAATATAAACAGTTTTTTAATGAAAAAAGGGGGAAGAACCTCAAACAAGAAACACACTTCGACAAAAAAAAATCATTTCTTCCTTCAACAAGCTTTAAATCTAAGAAGTTAGCCCATCCAATCAAATTCTAAACACCAAAAATAAATTAATATGCATTGACCACAATTCTACCTACTATAATATATATATATATATATATATATATATTATACAAGGAGGGTCTAGGCTCTAGCCTCTACCCATCCAACTTGACAACTTGCAGGCAGCTATTAGGTATATCAGAAATGGCTTTATATATATCCTATGGTTCTGAAATTGGGAAGGTGGGGAAATGAGATGGTAAATAATTTTGCTTACCGCCTTTTAACTATGGTGTAATATAATATTACCATTGCACACATTGAGTGGCAGCAAAGTTACAAGGTCCCAATGTCCCCCACACTCCCTAATAAGGCGAGAGTTGGGGGAACTCTCATCCATTCGCATACAGATCTCACCTTCGTGTGATAAAACATGCGGTATTATTTTGAGCATAGCAGCCACATAGCCTTTGGGACCAATATATGAAAAGGAATGCAATGCAAACCCGAAGGGTATATTTTTGGAGTCATCTATGAGATTCGAACTCGAAACTTATAGAATTCGAGTTTGAGAGTTTAAGACACATATATAGGTACAAATGTAAATTGGGCCAATGGATAATAAATAATAAAAAGTAATTATAATATGGTATTAGAGTAGGGTCGCGTGCGTAATCGTGTAATCGTGTTATAATTTCTATTGGTGGGGGCCTTATAAATTCACATCAAATTAATCAGGTGACAATTAGACGAATCAAATATTAAGCTGTCCGGTACAATAGTGGAGAAAACAAAACCCCGGGGAAGGAGGCTAATAAGAACGTGTAGATTCATTCAGTTCAGTCCCTAGCAAGGCAAACAAAGCCAGTAAGTCACAAAGAGAGACAGTGCCATAAAGCTCGAGGCCCAGATAACGCTCTGGTCCTTCGGCCAAAGATACTGTTGGATTCTCTTTCGCTTATACAGAGAGAGGCACGAGAAGGGAAGAAGGGCCCTCTGTTGTTTGCTTGCTTCTTTACTTGGTTACTAGTAATTTTGTTTCTTCTTATTCAGGCAACCCCACGTTCTCAGTTTCTCTGATTCATCGATAACCCCACAATCATCTTAGCTTTCCCTGGCCAAGGCTTATTTATTGTTGTAATTACCCAACCACTGTCCTCTACTATTTCCACAGTGATTTTTTCTCCTGATCCCATCTCTCTCTCTCTCTCTCTCTCTCTCTCTCTCTCTGTGTCTGTTTCTGCCTGTTTTCCAAGTGGGTCGATCTCTGAAATTAAGCGAGCTTGTTCAGATTTAGTTGATTTTGACTATTGGGTAAGTTGGTTCCTCTTGAAATAGACATGGGTTTTGTGTGTTAGATCAGAACCTGATTTGGGTTTTTCTCACTTGGTTGTGTGGTTCCTATAGATCTACCCTTTTTGTTGTTTAATTTGGAAATGTTGGTCTTGTTAGTTAATGAAGAAACTATTGCGTGGTTCCTTGTTCAGTGCTTGTTACTAATAATGGTTTTGGATCAGATTTTCTATTTGTCCAATTTGGTTGCAGCTTCACTTTCAATGCTGATTTTGTACTGTTTCCTATTATTTATTTTAATAAAGAAATGTCTTATGCTTTCCTTCATGTTTGGTTAAGGTTATGCTGTTGTAGTATGTTCTGCTCACTGAGCCTTCACTTTCAGGTTTTAAAGCATTCTAGATATCTGAATCGGAGCAGCCATTGCAAGATTTGATCCTGACACAAATTTATAATTGACTGCATGAGGTCTTCTTCTGGGTTAGGGCCGCATAACATCTGCGGTTTGCAGTTTGGTGTGTGAGAAATATTGCATAAGATGGTCTAAAGCCAGAATTGATAACATTAGGTCTTTTGATAAAAGGAAATGCCCAAGATGATCAGCAAACCGCTGGTACTGACTTATTTCTACTTGTTCATCTACATTCTGCTTTCGTCGGGCGTTATATTGTACAACAAGGTAACTCCTTCCTCCTCAGTATTTCATTTGAATATCTTGTCATTACTCATTACCGGTTTGAATGTTTATATCTATGTAATAGTCATCCATGTGTTACTAGCCAATGATTCTCTGTATGGTTAAACTGAAACTGGAACTTTAATCTCCCTATTTGTTTTATTGAAGTTCTTCTGTATGAATTTCTTTGCAGTGGGTACTGTCTCCAAAATACTTCAATTTTCCATTACCCATAACACTTACGATGATTCATATGGGATTTTCTGGACTCGTAGCATTTTTACTTGTTCGTGTTTTCAAGGTATGACCGACGTCTTTACTTTTGGATATGCTTTTATTTCTGTTTATTGTTTTTGACATCGGTGTTGAAATCTCTGTCAAGCCAGTTTAACATGTAGATAGGTAACCATTGTCTTGAATTTTCTTTTAGCCAATAGTCAAAATGATTGAATGTCATTTCCCTGATAAATTGTTTCCCACTGTTCACTTCTACCCAATTACCACACAAAAACACACGCACACACACCAACCATTTCGGTTTTGAATTTTTTATGACTACTTTAGTTACCTTAAGCTCTTGTCTGAGCCAGTATTGTTATTTCTGTGAGGATTCTTACCTCCACTGTTGGTTATTTCCTTATTTTGTTCTTACAAGTGGTTAATACACGAATGATCTCAAAACTGATGCATCTTCATTCAGTTCAATGCTTGAATTTGCATTTTCCGCATCTGAATGAGAAGGGGAGTGCCAAAAAGATAGTGGGTTAGATTAGTCTGTAGTGGGACACGGCATGCAACTGATGCCCTATATGGCTAGAGTGGGACAAGATTTATATTTACACTTTCTGACTGGAGAGCTTTATAACCCAATTTTGAACTTGCAAATTTAGTTTGTCAGAAAATGTGGGGAGGTACACATGCTGTGCAACTTTCGTTTCTTGGTTCATTTTTCCACTTTATGTGCCAAATTTGTAGTTTGTATTTGTAGTTTCTGTTATGCATGTGTGGCAAATTGCATCAATAGCTCCTTATTTTTATTGTTTTGTTCCTCTTTTATGCATAAGTGATTTTTTATCTTCATTTATTTCTCTGTATCTTGTGCAGGTTGTAGCTCCTGTCAAAATGACATTTGAAATGTAAGTGATGTAGGCTATTTTTTTGTTCCAACTCTTTATTATTCCTCTGTTTATCCAAGTTGTTTTTCTAATTGCTTTTCTTCATGTGGCAGATATGCAACTTGTGTAATACCAATCAGTGCCTTCTTTGCATCAAGTCTTTGGTAAGCACTGAAATGTAACATATTTGGGCTGTGGTTTTGCTAACAATGTGATCACCAATGGGCATGAATAGGTATCATGTGTCTGGTCTTCTGTTAGTGTTCAAACTCAGGGAAGAAAGCTTAAACGGTTCTTGACATATATTTGTAAGCTTGTGGTCAAAATTTGTAGATTTGATTATAACCAGGCTCATGCCTCTCAACACTGAAGATATAAAGATAGTACAATGCTTAGAGATTGCATGTTTCCTTTTGTCAATCTGTTTGCAGACAAATTTTTCTAAGCAATCTCTGATTAAGTGGTCATACATGGACTTCGGTTGAGATTCCTCGTTGTAGAATGTCGAATTTCCTCGGACTTGGGGACAAATGCAATACCCACATTTAGGAATTGCAGGGTTGTTGAGTTTTTCTTTGTGTAATTGTATCAAGAGTCAAGACAGGAGAGTTTCTTTTTTTTTTTTTTTTTTTTTTTTTTTGAACTTTTGTTTTTTTTTGTTTTTTTTTTTTCACAGGTTTGGAAACACTGCTTACTTGCATATTTCTGTGGCGTTCATCCAAATGCTCAAAGCTTTAAGTATGCACAGAGACTTGTGAATTCTATTTTACTTCAATAATGATGCTTTTAAATAAATGGCTGCTTATACCTACATTCCATGCTGCAGTGCCAGTGGCTACTTTTATCATGGCTGTTTTGTGTGGCACTGACAAACCAAGGTGCGACGTGTTCTCAAACATGGTGCTGGTCAGTGTTGGAGTTGTCATTTCGTCATATGGGGAGATTCATTTTAATGTAGTTGGTACAGTTTACCAGGTTACGGGCATCTTTGCAGAGGCTCTTAGGCTGGTCTTAACACAAGTCCTTCTCCAGAAGAAGGGCTTGACTCTAAATCCGATCACCAGCTTATACTATATTGCTCCATGCAGGTATTATATTGTGATGCTTGACTTAGAAGTGTCATATGAATTGCAATTTAGGCAACTGCCTGTATACTATATATGTTGAACACAAAATATGAATAAGTAACTCTTTAATCAATTGGCATCCTTACCAATCTTAATAGAGGATATTGATTCATTTCTAGAATTTAATTTTGGTGGTGGATGAGATTTATTGCTTCTTTTAAATGTCGATTTTCTGAATCTGTATGCTGAGGTTCATAATTTAGTGGATGAAACGTAGTGATCTTACAATCAGTGTATGCATGATCCATCTATACCATGGGATGGGAATTCACCTTTCCTTTATTTTTCACCCTTATGATGATGAAGTTATGCATCTCCGTATTGATGATGCATGTGATTTAACACAGTTCTATTACTCAAGTACTGTTTCCATTGATGCATGATTTAACACATGCCATCCCATCAGCATCTCACCATTAATTATTTTGCTTTTGCAGCTTTGTCTTCCTGTCTGTGCCCTGGTTATTACTTGAGAAGTCTTCCATGGAAGTTTCACAGATTCAGTTCAACTTCTGGATATTTTTCTCCAATGCTCTTTGTGCTTTGGCGTTGAACTTCTCCATTTTCTTAGTAATTGGTAGAACTGGAGCAGTTACCATCCGGGTTGCTGGTGTTCTAAAAGACTGGATATTGATTGCCCTTTCAACTGTTATATTTCCAGAGTCTATGATTACCAGGCTGAACATAATTGGTTATGCCATAGGTAGCTCTCCTTCCATATTATCTGGGGGTATCAGTTTACGACTGCAGTGTGTACACTTTTGAATTTAGAACTTTAGTTAACCCGTAAGTTGATTTGTCCTGCAGCATTGTGTGGGGTTGTCATGTACAACTATATAAAGGTTAAGGATGTTCGTGCATCTCAACTTCCTTCTGAAAGTATTCCGGAGAGAATTTCTAAGGTTTATTTTCTCAAGAATCTGATTACTTTCCTTATGTCTAGTGTTAATAAAATGTTTGGAGTCATTGAACCCCCTTATATTTGTTCTAAGACTTGTTTTTCCATGGCGGCCAATACAGGATTGGAAGATGGAGAAAAAGTCATCTGATATTTTTATCCCTAACAACAGTGGATCAGCCTCCGATATGGATGTCGATGAAGAGACACCCCTAACTCAATCAACAAGGCTGTCACATATTGGAAGATCGCAGGTTGGCAACCATGGTGCATGATTCATGAACTCACGTGTAGATTGATGATTGGAAGAGGAAAATCTGGAGATGGAGTATGCTGATTCTTTTTGCACTCTAGACCCTTTATTATTTCCAGGGAAGAGATTTTAACGCCGAAACCCAGGGGCAATATTGTATTACTTTCAGTATTAGGAAGTGAATGCATGATTTGCCTGTTGAAATTTGCAGATGGTAGCTTAGGACCCATAGGTCGGGTGAACAAGCTCACCATTAACTTGTCAAGGCTCTTGATAAGAAAAACAAGTTTTTGTCTTGACAAATGATGCATTTTTCCTTTTTATGGTCCAGGCAGTCCAGTTGAATCCCGGGTGAAAAACGTTTTTTTAAATTTTTTATTATTATTTAAAATTTAAAATTAAATTTTGTTGAGGGTGGTGGGTTTAGTAGTTAAAACATTAACAAGACCACACTTATTACAACACTTCTTACTTCATTTTGTGAGTTGCGCAGACTAAAATGCAAGTCGAGTATAAGTTCAGGACCATAGCTACTAAAAGTCAGTATGCAACGGGGCAAACTACTCACCTCCTCACCCCCGGTATTCACCATCCACCACTGAGACAAACTACACACTCCTCACCCGAATTCCAGTCGGAAAACCTCCACTAGAAAGCATAACTTCATCTTCAACTCCTCCCAACAACCTTCGTGTCTCTTGCATTTATTTATTTATTTAATAATTAAATTATAACAAGTACAAAGTGGTTGTGATTTCTCAGCTCCCCACCTCACTCTCAATCCCAATCCCAAAAGTTCAACAATGGCCTCTTCCTCCTCCACCGTCGTGCTCTCAACCCTCTTCTCTTCCCATCCTCACCAAACCCTAAACCCCAACAAGAACAAGAGCCCCTTCTCATCACATACAAACAGACCCTTCTCATCCCTCCCTCACCCTCAAAGTTTCAACCTTTGTGAAACCTATACAACCCCCTCCCTTTCACATCCCCCATAATCATCAAATTCGATTGTCCCGCCAATTTCGTGCCTACATCACCGTCAGAGATTCATTTTCTGAACAAATTAAAATAATAAAAAAATCAAAATTCTACAAACAATTTTATTTCACTTAAAAATATTGCATTAACACAAAAAAGGTTTTTTAGGTTTTAGACATAAAAAAAATTTCACTTTTGGAAAAAGCCAAAGTTTTTTCAAAAAAGACAAAAAAACCGCACAACTTTCAAATCAAAGACATGCAAATGTATTGGATTCCTTAGAAAATCTAAAAATAAATAAGGGCATTTTTGTCCATTTTTGCTTCTTTTAAAATTTTTCTCTCTCCTTTTGCTTTTTCCAAAATGTCCCTAACAAAAATTGAAGCAGCAGCACACAAAAAACAAAAAAAAACAAAGATGGAATTGATCTTTCTCTCTCTCCCACTAAGTACTAACTATTCGGACACGATCTCTCTCTCTCTCTCCCCCCAATATTAACTCTACCACAATAAGCCGTTGGATGTCAACGGTACTATTATCTGGGCCGTTGGATCTCAAAGTTAAAAGTTCAGAGGTACTACTTCCTTAATTACCACAACCGACTCTCCGAATTTCTCTCAAATTAAAAATAAACTAAAATAAAAGGAGTTTCCAGATTCAGTGAGTGAGATGCTCAAAGTTAAAAGTTGACAGGCACTAGTTGTTTAATTACCACATTGATTCCGTGAGTGAGATGCTCGCCAAGGAAACTTATAAATAGCAGTGACTCAGATGCTCTTTGTTCGCAACAACACTCACAGAAATTCAGACAAAAACTTCACTTCAAACTTGAATTCTCTTCTACTCTCTCTTCTTTTGTTCTTTCATTATCAGCAGCATCAAGCAATGGAAGAGTCTCTTGTGCCGTTCGGTTTTCGTTTCAGACCCTCCGATGAAGAGATTGTGGGTTCCTTTCTCTACCCCTTTTTGGTAGAGAGCAAGCCCTTCATGTCGCTATACAACAATTTCTTCCATGCCTGCAATCTCTTCGGCAACAACACAGAGCCTTCGGAGATTTGGAAAAAATACGGAGGGCCGCAACTCGTTGATACAGACTTGTACTTCATCTCCAAGCTCAAGAAGTTAACCCCCAAGCGGATGGATCGAAGGATTGGCAACGGGGGTACTTGGAGCGAAACTGAATCCTCCAAATTGGTTCATGAAAAGGCCTCTGGAAATCCCAACCCAAACCCCATTGGCCGAAAGAGAAAGTTTCGCTACGAGAATAAAGGTTCCGAGGATCACACAGGGTGGCTACTAGATGAATATAGTCTTTTCGATGGTCCCAAGAATGACTACAATCAACGTAGTTACGATTTTGATTTTGTCATTTGTCGGATGAGGAAGAACGACAGGGTCGGGATCAAGGCGACAAATCTAAAGCGTGGATCACAAGATAAAGAAGAAAAGAAGATGACCACAAACAAAAAGATGAAAAAAGATGATCAAATGGGATCAACAGAATCATCATCTCAACAAGGCTGCTCTTCTAGTCCAATTGGTGGTGATCTTGTGGGCTTTGATCAGATTGATCTGACAATCTTTGAGGAAAATACGATGGCCGACAAGGAACAAATACTTGGTGAAGCTTGGAGCCCAAGTAATTTTGAGGATGCAGTCTCTTATGATGTTGATCCGATTGGTGAAACCCAAATTAACTTTGAGAATGAGGAAAATACGATGGCCGACATGGAACAACTACCTGGTGAAGATTGGAGCCCAAGTAACTTCGAGAATGAGGAAAATACGACGGCCAACATGGAACAACTACTTGGTGAAGCTTGGAGCCCAAGTAACTTTGAGAATGTGGTCTCTCATGACGTTGATCCGATTGGTGAAACCCAAAGTAGCCAATTGTCTAACTGGTCCCAAGCGATATTAGATCAGCTCCTGGTTGGTGTATAAGGAATTAATTCTACCTGTGATGGCTGTAGCTCTCTAATTTTCAATGTGTGCAGAGAACTGAGTATTGATGAATATATTTGTACCACGATTTTGATCGGCTTTAGTTTCTTTAATCGTGTACCTTTTTGAGTTATCAATGAACTGATTCTATTTGTCTAGTAAAGTTACTCTTAATTTGTTAATTTTACCAAATATTGCTAGCTAGTTGTAACTTAAAATTGCTCTAATTAACTTGGAATTAGCAACTCTTCCAGTCTCTTAATTCCTAGAGCAGATGATATGTGATATAAAATAACAGAATAAAATGTAGCAAGTGAAGTGAGTAAAAAAGATCTTTTATTTCATTCAAACTGTAAGACTCGAACCAGACGGCTATTACTATATATTGTGATTACAAGGAGCCATCTGGCAAATAACCATTGTGCTGTCTTATACGACGCCGTGTGTTCACTGTGAATCTGTATCAGAATCACCCAAAGCACAAACAAAGGCAGAGTTCAAGTGGGCTCTCTTATTGCTCTCAAGCTCTACAAGAAAGTCTCAAACTTTAAAGAAGTTCAGATCGAAAATGTTCAAATCAAGATTGATCTTATTATTCACAACAGGAATTTTGAAAAAAAAAAAAGAAAAAAAAAAAAAAAAAAAAAGAATTGGGGGAAGACGGAAGGTACCCAATAAGGTGTGGCCTTTGTAGCGGGGGCTGCGAGAGGTCAACACATAGCATGCGAAGAATCGTCCTTCTTCTGCTTCTTCCTCCTCCGCGATTAGGGTTTCTGGGATTTCTGCTTCTTCCATCTCTCTTTTCAGGCGCATCTTTTTAAAATGCTGTCAATCCAATTCGACCGTTGGATATATTAACCCTCATCTCATTGTGCTAATATAATTGAGTCCAAACTATACTCGCTGTATTAAATTTTTTTACACGCTTCTAATTTTTTACATAAAAGAAATAGCTATACTCGATTTTTGAATTGTTTTAAAACAAATAGTATAGCCGCGCGGCTGTATTCGTATTGAATATGTATGTACATATTTATTATGTTTAATACAAGTATTTTTTTATAAAATTTTCAATAATACACCAAAATTCACAAAGTATACACAAAATTCTCACATATTATTGAGTACAAATAATGTATACGAATTGCTTCCCCTGCAATATCCATTCCCAATTATCTTCCTAACAAGGTGGAACTTTTCTTTTTTCCTGTTTCCTTCTTGAAGTTTCTAGGGTTTCAGATACCTGATTATTTGACTTGGTTCTTTCTTCATTTCTTCATTTTGAATTATTACCCTGCTTTTGGGACATTTTTTTAAAAATAAATATTTAAAAAAAAAAGTTAAGACCTTCACTACCTTCACTACCTTCATTGTCATTTTGTTTTTTCAGGATGTGCTGTAATAAATATATTTATTTGGCAACAATGCAGGTAGCACCTCTGTCTCCTGGGACCAGAGTATTATCTCCATCAGCCCCATCCATGTAAAGTAAATCTTGGTCAGTTTATTGCTTTGAAATTTTCTCTATTACTGCAGTATCAAAATTCATCTCTTCACAAGAAAAAAAATGTGTATAAACCTACTTGACTGCTTCATTTTTTGTGCAACTTGTATTGAGCATGAATAGGAGGTTCCTACTCTTAAAAGATTTCTCTTTAAATGTTGAAAATGGATCAGGAAGAAACATCCCACCTTGACAATCACCAATGGTTGAATCTTCCAATTTGATACCGTTCTGAACTTTTTCTCATTCAACTGATTATATTACTTGCTGGTTGCATTGTTCTGCCTGCTGACCTTAAGTGATTTCTGCATATCTCTCGGCTCCTTTCTCCAACTTGTTGCCTTTTTTGCAAGAAGATGAACGTCTGAAGGAGCTACCTAAGCTCTCTGTCAAATTGTTCCTTCATGCTAGTGGAAACATTGCCACAACATTTCCTTATGACCACGTATTCCTTCTATTTGCTTCAACAATGCTCATTTACAACTTGTCAAGTATGGATTGTTTTTTAACTTCAATTTTACCATATTTGATATTTTGCTGCAAAATTGTGCAGGTAGAGAACGTAGATCCCTTAGTTCACCGCGCTATTGCTGCTGCGTCTGTTTTTCGGGATTTTCTAGGCTCATCCATTCCTTCAGCAGCCACAGGCACAGAGAGCTATCATCCGATCCGAGTTTGTCAGCCGTCCTCAGCTCACAGCCACCACCTTCAATGGCCAGTGCTTCACTCAGCCTCTTCATCACGAAGGAGAATGTTCCGACTTGACTGAGGATGATTTGAAGGTATTGATTTCTCACATAGACGAGACCGATGACAGGGTTTTTTCTTATTTCTTTGAAAGAAATAGTATAGCCGCGCGGCTATACTTTCTTTTTCCCCAATTTTTTTTAAAGAACGGATCGGTTATACACTGTTATTTCTTATTTATTTAAAGGATTAACTACACTTTAGTACCCGGAGGGTTAGTGTTAGTATCGAAATTGGCCATAAGGTTTCATTTTAATCAATTTCGTACACAACATTTCGAAATATTACCAATTTACACCAGCCGTTACATTGACCGTCAAAGTCAGACGTTAACTGCTGACGTGGCAGTTGTGGAACCCACCTCATAACCAAACAGTAGTTAGAAAAGACGAAATGAAGGGCAATTTCAGAAAAATAAAAATAAAAAACTCTTTACAAATATTATTAAATAAAAAAAAATTTATAAAAAAAATCCCTACTTTCTCTCTCTCCTCCTATCTCCCTCCCAGTCTCTGCCCAGAATTTGAAAACCCAATAGACCCAATAACAGATTTATTGTTATGTTGTTTTTCAATATAGAACAATAATTCTAGAGTTATTGTGTTTGCGGAAATGGACGTTGGATCTTGTCCTAGCGGTAAATTCAAGCTCTACGACCAGTTAGAACTGCAGGAGTTTCAGGACAAGTTCGTGATCAAATCCGTCGAGGCTCCAGATCAAGGCTTCTTGATCGACCGTCGTGACTGGACCATTGAATTTGCTGAAATTCGGTGGCTTGAAGGAGAAGAACCACAGGCCAAGGTCTAGGCCCAACCCCTGCCCGGAGGAGCTGCCACTGCCGCCGACAACTGGTTTTGGGTGAGAGGGGAATTGGGGAAGAGGCCCATTGTTGGAGTGGTAGGTCCTCCTGGAGCTGGTGAGCGGGGACAAGGGTTTTGAGATTTGATGGTGGTGAAATCTAAGCAGACCTTGGATGATTCGAGACGAGGGTTTTGACATTGAATTTTGTTTTAGGGATTTGATTTCGGATTTTGAAATGAACCAGCTTTCACCAAATGCACGAACTTTACTTGGATCAATAACCAAAATCAAAGCTTTCTCTCACCTGCCCACATTCCCACCATTAAAGTATAAGGGTAATTTTCTTTGTGGTGAGATCGACTGCAAGAACCGCTCGAGATTACTCAAGGGATTGACAACGGGCTCAAAAGCAGGCACGGCGACGGGCTTGGGAGGGTCATCTGACACGACCATGTTCTCGGGTTCCCAGTTAGGGTTACCCTTGAGCGAAGGCGATTGGCTTGGCGTGACGTTGCTCTGAGCTCGCCGAAGTTGCTCGGCTTTCTGGTTCTGGTGAGCTCTACGGGCTCTGGCCGGGTCGTAGAATCGGTCTTCTCCGCGGGCACGCATGACCTGCAACCCCATACCCAACATCGCAATAACGCTGAATTAGAAACTTGCACGAGAACCCTAAATCTGTTGGGTTTTCAAGTTCTGGGCAGAGAGAGAGAGAGAGAGAGAGAGAGAGAGTAGGGATTTTTTATTATAAAAAAATCTAATTAATAATATTTGTAAAGAGTTTTTTTTATATTATTTTTCGAAATTGCCTTTCATTTCGTCTTTTTCTAACTACTGTTTGGTTATGAGGTGGGTTCCACAACTGCCACGTCAGCAGTTAACGTCTGACTTTGACGGTCAATGTAACGGCTGGTGTAAATTGGTAATATTTCGAAATGTTGTGTATGAAATTGATTAAAATGAAATCTTATGGCCCATTTCGATACTGACACTAAACCTCCGAGTACTAAAGTGTAGTTAATCCTTATTTAAAAGAAATAGTAAAGCCGCGCGGCTATACTTGATCTTTTGAATTTTTTAAACAGAAATAGTATATCTGCACGGCTATACTTCTTATTACTTAATTTTGCTTTATCAAGTAGTATAGCCGTCTGGAAATTGTACTCGCTTTTTTCAATTTTTTTTAGTCACTGCCACTGGTAATACAAATCCAATTCTCATGCCACATTATTCATTATGAATGAATGCGTCTTTCTTTGTAACATTGTTTTCAAATTTTAGTTAGGCCCTACGCAGTACCGTACAAGAACCGTTTTCGAAAACGTATCACCTGAGCTACTGAGGGAATTCTTCTGGAACGATGAATTTAGAGCCCAGTGGGATAACATGCTCATTCACTTCCAAACTCCCAGAGTTTGCCCCCAAACTGTCCACTGCCTATTTCAGTGAAACCTAGGAATGGAGAGCAGCAGAAAATGGCATCAGAAGTACTTCTGTTTCATCATGAAAATATAGGCGTGCAGGTTCACCAAATGGCAAAGGAAAATGATGGATTATGCACTTATGGCAAACATAACATAACCACAAAGATTACAAATTACATGTTCAACAACACCATTGTCTGAAATTGAGTGGCAAAAGATCATCAACTTGTAAAATCTTCAACATGACATTGATTTAGACGAGGCTGAAACTTATATATATTTGGCGTTCGATCATTGGGAACTGCATCAAATCAAAGCCACTCTTTTTCAAATGTCCAGTAAAATATTTTCTTTGCTGAATCAACTTTTTCAATTTAAAAATGAAAGAAAGGGAACAAAAAAAAAAAGTTAAAACACATCGAATAAAAGATATATGTGCTCATGTGAATAACAAAGAAACCAAACCACATAAATGCGAGTGGGCATCGGAATTTGTTCGGAGAGGAAAAGGAGGCGAAAGAATGGCTGAAAAGCCAGGCAGAATATCAAGCAAACAGAGGGGTTTTGAAGGAATCGTCCTCTTCAGTTTCAGCCATCAGACGGCGGCCGCGGGATTGTTTGTTCTCCAATGAATATCAAGGCCCTTTTTCATAGCCTGGCCTAATCCTCTAACGCAAGTTTGTGGGCTTGAGGTTTTTGGTCTGTTCTCTTGTTGGCCCTTTGGTGGGCTTGTTCTTTGGTTCTTCTTTAGTGAATTTGTATTTCTTCAAAAATGAAATGAAAGTATAACCTAACAGAGAATGGTGAATCTGTCAATCTATCATTCACAATGGTTTTTGCATAGAATAAAAGTTCGAATGGTAGAAAAATAATTTATTTGATTCTTTTTTTCTTTTTAATGCTTTTTAAAATTTTAAGGAAGATAAAAGGTGAAAATGCAATATAAAGGGAAGATAACCAATTATTTTTTAAAGTAGGAGAATATAGGCAACTTAGAAAACAAAAGGCATATATCAACTTAAATTGACAGATTCCTCCATCAAGTTCTCTTGGCAAATTTCCATGCGATATCTGTTTAAGAATATTGAAGTCTCACGTAACTAAATAAAATATAACATATAATCAATGGTTCTACTATTAATCTCGAGGTCTTTTGTATAAAACTTCACACTTGCTAAACATGTAGTTAAGTTTGGGACAATATCGATGTTGCTAGTAGTTGGTTACAAGTCCATTCTTTTGAAATTTAAGCAGGCTGGTTGATTAGGCCCGATTAAATTCAAATCAAACAAAACCCTAAATTGAACCAAAATCAAACAAACCCCAATTTTTATTTTTATTTTTTTAAAAAGGTGACCGATGTGGAATTTGTTTCTCGTGTGGCCCATTAAAGAGTTGCCCCACTTGAGGGAGAGTGTTGAAGAATATTGAAATCCCACATTGAAAACTTAACCAAATAAAATATATTCACATAATGAATAGTTGAGTGGATCTTTGCTGCATATATAAACATGAAACCAGTTGGTTTCTCCATACCTTGCATCCACATTGAAATCAACGTAACTTCAAAATGGAGGAAGCTAACAGTAAGTTGCCCTTGCTTATCTTCTCTCTTTCTTACAGACACTGTGAAATAAATTTTTTCATGATTTCATTCCCATGACTCAAGTTCTGTTGTATTTTTATTCTGCATCTTGATTTGTGGTTTTTCCAGGTGTACAAGATAGAGACAACAAGTTCTTATGGAAGGCGGTTGACGAAGCATATAAATATGTTGAATGTGGAGATGGGGAAGATAGAGACAACAAGTTCTTAAGGAAGGTGGTTGACGAAGCATGTAAATGTGTTGAATGTGGAGATGGGGAAGATAGAGACAACAAGTTCTTAAGGAAGGCGGTTGAAGAAGCATATAAAGGTGTTGAATGTGGAGATGGGGAAGATAGAGACAACAAGTTCTTAAGGAAGGCGGTTGAAGAAGCATATAAAGGTGTTGAATGTGGAGATGGAGGCCCCTTTGGTGCTGTTGTTGTGCACAATGATGAAGTACTTGTGAGTTGTCACAACATGGTCCTGAGGAACACAGACCCAACTGCCCATGCTGAGGTGACAGCAATAAGAGAGGTAATTTGAATGGAAATGATGACTTACCTCACATGAATTCTTCTCTTCTCATAGTGTTCTAGAAAGTAGCATAATCCTTACTAATGTTTTTGCTTTACCAGGCATGTAAGCAGCTGAAGCAGATTGAACTTGCAGACTGTGAAATATATGCATCTTGTGAGCCTTGCCCCATGTGCTTTGGTGCCATCCATCTTTCAAGGATCAAGGTTGAACAAGCTTATATTTTGAATATTTTTGCCCTGCAGTCATTTGTGGTTTAAGCGATAACGTGTATCTGTACTTTTATGTCTACCAGAGGCTGATGTATGGAGCCAAGGCTGAAGCAGCCATTGCTATTGGTTTTGATGATTTTATTTCGGATGCATTAAGGGGTACTGGTTTCTACCAAAAGGCTCACTTGGAGATCAAAAGAGCAGATGGCAATGAGGCTGTCATTGCAGAACAGGTCTTTGAGGAAACAAAGGCAAAGTTCCAAATGCACTGAACTTAGTTGCTTGCTGCTATCATTATTATATTTCTGTTTGCTTAGTAATGGCTTCTATCCATCAAGCTTGACATGTATTATGATAATAACCACGCTTGTATGTTTGAGCCACTACTATCTGTAATATGAAGCCGTATGTTTGCTCCTATGAAGTGTTTCGTTACCGCCGAAAGATCTAATGCTAAATCTGGTCAAGCAAAATACTTTTTATCCTTAGATGGCAGCACAAAATTTATAACAGAATCAAATATTTGGCAACTCTTGCTACCTCGGCAATATTTGGTTGCAGATTCTGCTGCTATGCCACAAGAGGATCGTGCCTACAATGTCGTGGCCTTGCACTATCACTTCAGTGCAAAATGCAGACATGCAATGCAATTCATCTAAGCAAAGAAGCTAAAGAAAAAAAAATTAAGTACTTAAGAAGTGGGAAAATGCATGTGGCAAAGGGTCGTGCTACAGTTGATTATTGATTAAGCCATAATTGGTTACTTTTATGTTGTGTACAATAGGAAAGTGTTTTGTCAATGAGGACATACCATAGTGGAAAAGTATGTTTGACCTAAGACCAGTGGTTTCAGGCTCGAAACTCCTAGACACCAGTGTGTGTGAGTAAACCTTCCATTTCCTACCTTTGAGGAAAAAAATGGAAAAAGGAAAGTGTGCTTGTACTTCCACAAGCATTGAACAATATTATTACATCAAGCAAGCAATTGACCTTAAGTAGTTTGTTTGATAATGATAAATTTAATGGCTAATTATAAGACACCTACAAGTTACCTATATACCTGAGATTATGGTATGCTTCAATATAGAATACTGCATGCGTATTATTTTAATACAAGCGATGTTGGAGGAAGAGGACTCGAAAACAAAAATGACCATTGTTGTAATTACCCAATTGTAACAAGGGACATTATAAAAAAAAAGAAAAAAAAAAAGAGGGATTTTTGGCTCGGTGGGCCTGTCTAGTGATGGGCCTAGACGTCAAGGCTATTATTGGGCCAGCCACTAAATTAAAGAGTTAGCGGCCTAATCACACGTGTAACGGAAGAGAAAACTTTTGGCGCTTGAGAGACGTTCATTTGTCAGAAAGGGCAAAATCAAAAAACCCAAAACCAAAAATACTCTGCACAATCCGAGTGTGTGATTCTTACTTTCTAAGTTTCTGTTCAAGAATGGCGTTGGAGGATGACGACTGGGACTTGAGTGCCGAAGAACTCGATTCTCTTGAACGAGACGCTTTCCAGAAACTCGCTCAGCAACGCATCAACTCTGCTTCTGCTTGTTCTTCCTCTTCTTTTTCTTCTTCACATAATCACCACCAGCTGCATCAGTCTTTTCCTTGCACTGTCAACAACAGTAACAGGAATTGCTTCCAAAGCTCCCCTGCGAAACCCATTCCCAATTCTCTTCCTAACAAGGTGGAACTTTTCTTTTTTTTCCCTGTTTCCTTCTTGAAGTTCCTAGGGTTTCAGATACCTGATTAATTGACAGTGTTCTCTCTTTTTCACTTTGTTCTTTCTCCATTTCTGAATTTTGAATTATTACATGCTTTTGGGACTTTAAAAAATAAAATATATATATAAAAAATAAAAGTTAACACCTTCATTACTTCCATTGGTGTGCCGTTAGTCATTTTCTTTTTTAGGATGTGTTGTTATATACATATTTATTTGGCAACAATGCAGGTAGCACCTTTGTCTCCTGGGACCAGAGTATTACCTTCATCAGTCCCATGTAAAGTAAATCTTGGTCAGTTTCCTCCTTTCCCATTTCAATTGCTTTGAACTTTTCTCTATTACTTCAGTGTCAAAATTCATCTCTTTCCAAGAAAAAATGTGTATGAAACCTACTTTGATTGCTTCATTTTTAGTGCAACTTGTATTGAGAATGAATGGAGGTTCCTACTCTTAAAATGTTTTTTTTCTTCATATTTAATCGTTTTCTTTAAATTTTGAAAACGGATCAGGAAGAAACATCCCACCTTGACAATCACCAATGGTTGAATCTTCCAATTTGATACCATTCTGAACTTTTTGCATTCAACTGATTATATTTCTTGCTGGTTGCACTGTTCTGCCTGCTGACCTTAAGTAATTTCTGTATAACTCTCGGCTCCTTCTTCAACTTGTTGCCATTTTGCAAGAAGATGAGCGTCTGAAGGAGCTACCTAAGCTCTCTGTCAAATTTTTTCTTCATGCTAGTGGAAACATTGCTGCAAAGTTTCCTTATGACCAGGTATTCCTTCTATTTGCTTAAACAATGCTCATTTACAACTTGTCAAACTCTTTGTTTGATTTATCGATTATGTTCTATCTTGCACCAGGTGCTAGTAGGTGCTGTCCGCAAGATCCCCAAATCCACATGGAATGCAAAAGAGAGGTATACCTCCCCAACTCCCTTTATCTTCATACTTTTGGTTCATTGGTTGTATCCTTTACAAACGCTGGACATGTTGTGAGTTGGAGCCTAATCCAGATGTAATAGTGTTGAAACTGCAGGTTGTGGATGTTCCCTATATCTTCTTTGTCACCAGCAGAAAAAATTCTTCATGAAACTTCTGGTGTTAATGTTGAGGTGATAACTCTTGCTCTTTTCCAGTTTCTATTCAGGCTTTGCATGATGATTCAGTTTAAATTAATATAAATTGAGTTTCATTGTATACACTGTTACCATTTATGTTTGAAGTTCACCAAATCTGGATTGTTTTTTAACTTCAACTTTACCATATTTGATATTTTGTTGCAAATTTGTGCAGGTAGATAACTTGGATCCCTTAGTTCACCGCGCTATTGCTGCTGCGTTTGTTGTTCCAGATATTCGAGGTAAATCGTGATTATGCTAGTATTAATGAAGTTCAGTTCATGCATAATGGAAAGAGCTGTCGTTTTTTAGTTTTCAATTTCACTTTATTTTCTGGTGGAATGCATAATTTATAAATAAAGATCCGAAACATATAATTCAGAGAAGAAAAAGAAAAAAGAAAGATAGTCAAAAAGCATGTCTTTGAGTCCTATAATTGGATGGTACACTCATGAGTAACAGGTTTTATCTATTTCAATCTCAATTGTGGTATCCTATATCTTTGCTTTGTTTTAAAGTAACAGGTTTTATATTTTTCAATCTCAATTGTGTTATCCTATATCTTTGCTCTGTTTTAAAGTAACAGGTTTTATACGTATTTTCACTTCTTTTTCTTTTTCTAACTTTTGCATCCTATTTTCTGAAGCTATTTTTTATTTCTTTACTGTCCAGACCAATATGACAGGATACCTAGTTGCATTGAATCAAAGCTCTTGCCATTTCAGCGAGAAGGTGTTAGGTATATTGTTAATCTGGAGATTTCTCCTTATTTGATGACTGTTGTGTGCTATTGAATGTATAATTATGCTTTTCTGATAATGTTGAGGATTTTTATTTATCTTTATTTTGTTCCCATAAAATATTTAGTCATTTTCTTAATTATTCATTTGTAACTTTTTCTGTATTGTTCTTTTTTTAGGTTCATCTTGCAGCATGGAGGGCGTGCTCTCCTTGCAGATGAAATGGGATTGGGAAAGACTTTACAGGCAAGAAATTCTTCATATGAACCCTTTCTGTACCTTCAATCATTTAAATGGTCCCAAAAAATCAATCCTGCATGTGAAAGTACTTTCTACAAGTCTCCCATTCCTGATCTTTTCCAAGCAGCTCCTAGTCTCAAGGATTTTGACTTTTTAGAACTTTATTAGTATGGTCACCTAAGAACACTAATGAAATCGAACCACATTAGGTGAGTGCTTCCTATCGTTATATGTATTATAGCCAATAAATGTGAGAAACTTTAGTAATCAGAAGAAATTTGGAGGACAAACGAAGAATACTTAGGGTTTCTATTATTGCAAGGAAACTAGAGAGATGGAGAAGAAAAAAAGAGAGTAGAATATGGAGGGCAAAGTATAGATAGAAATATCAGGGGACCAAGGTATTCAACAACACTTAATTTTCACTCATTAAAAGTCTGATTTGCTTTACAAGAGAGAGCCTTATAAGATTCAAAAACCCCGCAGACTTTAAGAAACTATAAAAGACTATCAAGAATAGAAGATTCTTGGAAAAAGTAAAAGATGATAAGTCTTTCTTAGACTCAATTGCATCAACTCTTAATAACTCTTTTATCTCTTAGATTGACTTTGTGGCTAACTCTTAAATAGCATTGAAAATAGACTCATTGGCGGACATCGCAAATTGGGTAATGCATATGATTATGTTGGGTTGCAGATGTCAGAATGTTAGTAACTAGAATAATTGATACCATTTCTAGTAACTCTAATAATAGGGAACATTGGTGTTATGTGTTACCAATGTGGTGGAATTTCCTCTAGCTTAGTCATAAGGGGATTTGTAACTAGCCCTCCATGGGGTTGAAATTTATATCAGCAAAAGCATTCCCAAATTCTGCCTTAAATTGAAACCTTACACTTTTTTTTTTCTTCAGGCTATTGCTGTTGCATCTTGTGTTCGTGACTCATGGCCTGTTCTTATACTAACACCATCTTCCTTGCGTCTACAATGGGCGTCTGTAAGTGCATTATCCACTTCTGTTATTGAGAAGGTTGATCTTGCCCAAAATGATGTGCTCTTCTGCTTTCTTGCAGATGATTCAACAATGGATGAACATTCCTTCATCAGATATACTTGTATGTCATCAGCTATCCCTGCATAAATGTTCTAGTCTCTTCTTGACTATGCAGCTTGAATATTGTTTACATTCTCACTGGTCTGATGTGTTATTATAAACTTGATATTTGAATTTCACTGTCACCAGGTTGTTTTGTCTCAATGTGGGGGTTCAAACAGAAGTGGATTTACAGTCGTATCCTCAAACACCAAAGGGACCATTCATCTTGATGGCCTATTTAACATCATCTCCTATGATGTAGTCCCTAAATTACAGAATTTACTAATGGCGTCAGAGTTCAAGGTGGGAATTGAAACAATCAGCTTAAAGTTCTTTTTACTTTCTTTAGTATACACAACACAATCTTATTATCTTGGATCATCACTTGTGTAAGAACAGAGACTATATAATGTTTTCCTTCCAAAACAGCTCAAGCTCTATTAAGTTAACAAATGTAAATGTGTGCCCAAAACAGAGTCATTAAGAAATCCTGTTGGTATTTGTTCCCGTTTTTTCCCACTGATTGCATATGCTGCTTTTTATGATATTTTTTGTTCAGGTTGTGATTGCAGATGAGTCGCACTTTCTAAAAAATGCTCAAGCAAAGAGGACAACTGCCTCGCTTCCTGTCATAAAGGTCTTTCTCTTGTGAACTGATGACTAGATTGCAACTGCTAACTTTTTCTCTCCGTACTTCTGAAACCCTTAGAGCAATCATTGTAGACCTGTATTTTGAGGTGTACTGCTCCTAAGGTTTCTTTCAAATATGGACTGGAGAAGTAACTATCTTTCAAAGTGAATTTAATTCTTTGAATGGTAAAGTCCACTTTGGTAAACAATGCAATAGGATGCAAACTCGGTAGGGGTATATTTGATCTCTCTCTCTCTCTCTCTCTCCTCTCTCTCTCTCTCTCTCTCTCTCTCTCTCTCTCACTTTGTCAACAATTACAGAAGGCTCAATATGCAATATTGTTAAGTGGAACTCCTGCTTTGTCCCGACCAATTGAACTATTTAAACAGGTACTTCTAAATCCTAATTGAGAAGCTGCATATATTTAAGTATCTGTATCTTGAACTTGATCATTCATTTATAATTTTCTGTGAACTTAACAGCTGGAAGCCTTGTATCCTGATGTATACAAAGTGTTCACGAATATGGTAATCGATATTGCAAAGGCGTAAGTCACTATTTCTTTACCTTGTAGATGTTCTATCAGGTCGTAAGGGATTTTGTTGGTTACTGTTTTGAAATTTCAGGGAACATTTGGATTGTATCAAGGTGCAAGTAACCATGAAGAATTGCATAATTTGATGAAAGCAACAGTGATGATTCGTAGACTGAAAAATGATGTTCTCTCCGAGCTTCCTGTGAAGCGCAGGCAACAGGTCAGTGTCTATGTTTTGTCAAATCTGCTTTTTCACCTGTGAGATGCCCTTAGTACTCCTTGTTACAATTGCTGATCTTTATTATGTCCTCACCCCCCTGCTGATCTCAGGTCTTCTTAGACTTGGCTGAAAAGGGACATGAAACAAATTAATGCTTTATTTCGTGAGGTAATGAAAGTAGGTAGTATGTTTATGTCTAACACTCTTTAGTCAAGTTGATATGTTGAGAATAAGTAGCTATTGGCTTCTTGAAGTTCCAACTAGCTGAACTATATTTTTGCCATTGATGCTGTTATCTTATATGAAGCCTTGTAATTTTGTTTCTCTACTTCCAATATCCTGGCCTTGGGCTGGAATCTCAATGGCACAGGTCTGGTTCATGAATTTTCAACTTTGGATTAAACTGGCAAGATGACAAGAGACACAAGTACTTAAAAGGCATCACCCATATTTGCACCAATGAATGTTTTTGAAGAGCATATGTGGGATTTGGAAACCAATTAAGTTATTGAGAAATTAAGTCAAGAAAACACTTTAGGACTCTGAGGAACTATTCCATCGTGATGACAAATATGCCCACAAATAGATTTGAAATACATTTTTACATTGGACTAGCGATAGCATTATGATTCCACTACTGCATGTTAGAAAAAATAATCTTGTATCTTCTAAGCCCAGTCTACTTTGATAGACCTGCAAAACTGCATAACCCTTGCTTCCACTTTATGTTGCAATTGGACCCCCCCTAACAGAACTCATAATTGCCAAAACTAAGGTTTCACATGAAAATACCCTTTTGTTTTGGTTATCTCCTTGTATCATGCTAAGATAGGTATTCTGATTCTGAAATTTCTTTTCTCTATCTTTTATCAGTTGTTTGATTTCTTGGCTGTGGCACCATATTCATTCACATCATTTATGTGCCATGTAAAGTTTGCTTGTTAGTCTGTTTCTCAAACTTAAGAAAAATTATAGCAGGCATAGCTGATGCTTATCATCTGTTTTGTAGTTGGAGGTGGTAAAAGCGAAAATTAAGGCCTGCCAAACAAAAGAGGAGGTTGATTCACTGAAATTTGCTGAGAAGAATCTTATTAATAAGGTATTCATGCAAGTTACGCTTATAGCATAGGCACATGGGGCCAACATGGTTGCTAATTTTGGCATTGCATTTGTTTCCTTTCTTCTACTGGGAATGCTAGCCACCGCATTTCTTATTCTTAGTTTTGATTATAAATTATAATTGGATAGCTAACTTTGAACCCTTTAACAACCTCACGTTGTGCTTCAGATATATACTGATTCTGCTGAGGCCAAGATCCCAGCAGTTCTGGATTACCTGGGAACTGTGATTGAGGTACTTCCTCTCTTTTGTTTTTTCTTAAGTGCTTTTGTTTCTTAAACATTAGAGTAGTCTGCATATTTTACATAACGGTTCTTGCAGGCAGGCTGCAAGTTTCTAGTATTTGCACACCATCAATCCATGATTGATTCAATTTATCAGTTTCTTCTGGTAAGGCCACATTCATTCATACTTTACTTGAAGATTGATCAATTCTTATAAGAACTTCCAAATTTCCAGAAGAAAAAAGTGGGTTGCATTCGAATTGATGGAAGTATCCCTACAGTGTCGAGGCAAGCTTATGTTACAGAATTTCAAGAAAAAGATTCTGTCAAGGCAGCAGTGGTATAGCAGTTTGCTTCGTTTATATAAATTGTTTTTTGTGTAATCTAACTGAGTTCTGTTGAAAGTTGGATTGTAAAACAAAACAAAAAAGAAAGTAAAAAAGTTGTACTGGAAATTTTGGAATACTCATCTTAGGTGTGATTCTGTGATTAAAGTCTAATATTAATCTTTTGAAATATCATCATGCAGCTATCTATCAAAGCTGGCGGTGTTGGATTAACTTTGACAGCTGCAAGCACCGTTATTTTTGCAGAACTCTCATGGACTCCTGGTGACCTAATTCAAGCTGAAGATCGTGCTCATAGAATTGGCCAGGTAAAGTTTATTGAATTCTGAAGCATTTATGCATAAATAAAAAATATTGACGTCTTCAACAATTCATGTTTCCAAGGGTGGTTGGTGTGATATGTTCTGCTCATGCTTTTAGGTGTCTTCGGTCAATATATATTATCTTCTAGCAAACGACACAGTAGATGACATAATATGGTAAGCTTTTACACAATTGTCTGTTTTCCAATCGGTTTGATGGTTTTTGTAACTCTAATCCTTTTCTCTCTCTTCAGGGATGTTGTTCAGAGCAAGTTGGAAAATCTAGGGCAGGTAATTTCATCCCTTTTTGGGGAGCTTCTTAAATACAGACAAAGCACTGCACACACCTTACGCCTTACTATTCTCTGATCCCTCTGATCCCTCTGCTGATCTCAGGGGCAAAACATTTTTTTTCCTGAATAGTTAACTGAACTCTGGTTTTTGGACAATCAGATGCTTGATGGCCAGGAGAATACGTTGCAAGTTTCAACCAGCCAGCCGCCGCGAAGCAGCCCTGCAAAACAGAAAACCCTTGACTCTTACATGAAGCGTTGCAACAGCCAGGAAGACTCTGAAAATCAGCCCAAGTTCAAAAATCCAAGGCACTGAATGAAGGCTGTTCAAAACGCTAACCTACTGGCATGGAATTTTGCCAGTTTGAAATGTCGAGAGCACAATAGAATCCGAACTAGTTGGGTTAATACAGCACCTAAGGCTCAGTTGTAAAACGCCACCATCTGGGTATATATACAGCAAGAACAAGAGGAATGATATGAAAAGTTATGGCCCAGAGTTTTCAACATTCCTGTGGTCACTTTTTTGTTTATATGTGCTATTATATCTTGCCTTGGTTTAACTAAAGTTAATGTAGACATAACAGCAAATTTGTATACCGTCATTCTGCATGCATACTTAACATAGACATGATTAATGAATAGATTTGGTGAATTTCCTTTAAAATATTAATCTTTTACACAAATCTAAACTACTCTGAAGTACAAAAGAGATGATCTAACTCTGGTGAAAGGGGCGGGCACACCTGCCTTATCTAAATGGTTTAACCGATATATGCTAACAAGATTAGTTGCTCATGTTCTTAAACTTGTCAAGAAAAAAAATCAGAAGTATGACGTCAAGGAAGGAGTTTTGAAATAATAATGAAGAAACACCAGATAATTATGACATTAGATAAATGTAATGATGATGAAACAGAGATTATGAAATATGGGAGTCGATTCTATTAATTTATTGGCAAACAGTACGTGAATATGAAATCCTAAACATTTAAGATGATCTCAAATCAATTATCCTACCACATGAAATAGTTTTAAATTTGAATATACAACTTTATTAAATTGCTTTAAAATAATTTAACTCTTCACTTTTTTGTTGTGATTTTTTTTTTGGAGTTAATTTTTACTCATACCTTTGTGATTTTTTTTTCTGAACAAATTAAAATAATAAAAAATCAAAATTCTATAAACACAATTTTATTTCACTTGAAAATGAAACATTAAATGAAAATGATGCCATAACAAAAATTAAAGCAGCAGCACACAAAAACAAATAAAACAAAGATGGAATTGATCTTTCTCTCTCTCCCACTAAGTACTAACTATTCGGACACGATCTCTCTCTCTCTCTCCAATATTAACTCTCCCACAATAAGCCGTTGGATGTCAACGGTACTATTATCTGGGCCGTTGGATCTCAAAGTTAAAAGTTCACAGGTACTACTTCCTTAATTACCACAACCGACTCTCCGAATTTCTCTCAAATTAAAAATAAAAGAAAAGAAAAGGAGTTTCCAGATTCAGTGAGTGAGATGCTCAAAGTTAAAAGTTGACAGGCACTAGTTGTTAATTACCACATTGATTCCGTGAGTGAGATGCTCGCCAAGGAAACTTATAAATAGCAGTGACTCAGATGCTCTTTGTTCGCAACAACACTCACAGAAATTCAGACAAAAACTTCACTTCAAACTTGAATTCTCTTCTACTCTCTCTTTTCTTTTGTTCTTTCATTATCAGCAGCATCAAGCAATGGAAGAGTCTCTTGTGCCGTTCGGTTTTCGTTTCAGACCCTCCGATGAAGAGATTGTGGGTTCCTTTCTCTATCCGTTTTTGGTAGAGAGCAAGCCCTTCATGTCGCTGTACAACAATTTCTTCCATGCCTGCAATCTCTTCGGCAACAACACAGAGCCTTCGGAGATTTGGAAAAAGTACGGAGGGCCGCAACTCGTTGATACAGACTTGTACTTCATCTCCAAGCTCAAGAAGTTAACCCCCAAGCGGATGGATCGAAGGATTGGCAACGGGGGTACTTGGAGCGAAACTGAATCCTCCAAATTGGTTCATGAAAAGGTCTCTGGAAATCCCAACCCGAACCCCATTGGCCGAAAGAGAAAGTTTCGCTATGAGAATAAAGGTTCCGAGGATCACACAGGGTGGCTACTAGATGAATATAGTCTTTTCGATGGTCCCAAGAATGACTACAATCAACGTAGTTACGATTTTGATTTTGTCATTTGTCGGATGAGGAAGAACGATAGGGTCGGGATCAAGGCGACAAATCTAAAGCGTGGATCACAAGATAAAGAAGAAAAGAAGATGACCACAAACAAAAGATGAAAAAAGATGATCAAATGGGATCAACAGAATCATCATCTCAACAAGGCTGCTCTTCTAGTCCAATTGGTGGTGATCTTGTGGGCTTTGATCAGATTGATCTGACAATCTTTGAGGAAATAAGATGGCCGACATGGAACAACTACTTGGTGAAGCTTGGAGCCCAAGTAATTTTGAGGATGCAGTCTCTTATGATGTTGATCCGATTGGTGAAACCCAAATTAACTTTGAGAATGAGGAAAATACGATGGCCGACATGGAACAACTACTTGGTGAAGATTGGAGCCCAAGTAACTTCGAGAATGAGGAAAATACGACGGCCAACATGGAACAACTACTTGGTGAAGCTTGGAGCCCAAGTAACTTTGAGAATGTGGTCTCTCATGATGTTGATCCGATTGGTGAAACCCAAAGTAGCCAATTGTCTAACTGGTCCCAAGCGATATTAGATCAGCTCCTGGTTGGTGTATAAGGAATTAATTCTACCAAGTGATGGCTGTAGCTCTCTAATTTTCAATGTGTGCAGAGAACTGAGTATTGATGAATATATTTGTACCACGATTTTGATCGGCTTTAGTTTCTTTAATCGTGTACCTTTTGAGTTATCAATGAACTGATTCTATTTGTCTAGTAAAGTTACTCTTAATTGTTAATTTACCAAATATTGCTAGCTAGTTGTAACTTAAAATTGCTCTAATTAACTTAGAAACACTTCCAGTCTCTTAATTCATAGAGCAGATGATACGTGATATACAATAACAGAATAAAACGTAGCAAGTGAAGTGAGTAAAAAAGATCTTTTATTTCATTCAAACTGTAAGACTTTAACCAGAAGGCTATTACAATATATTGTGATTACAATGTGCCATCAGGCAAAGATGACACTGAATTCCTCTAAAGTATTCGATAAAATCATCAAACATATATGTACAATTGTTTGATTGTTTGTAGTACACATGTACAACATTCTATTTTACAGTTGGATGAAATTGGGAGAACCAGTCAAGTCATAGGGGAGCTGGGGTTGTCAAATCTATTACCTCAGCTCCACAAGGCCGGAGATAGCTTCTGCTGGGAGACTGATCATTGTCTGCAACTATAGCTGTCGATTGTTCCCTTGCAGGTCGGCCCAAATCAACAATCATGTCATCAGAAGATCCACAAAAACCTATATCTTTAGTTACTTCTGTGTCAAATGAGGTAGTGCCATTTGCTCTGTACAATCCTCTCCTACCACTTCACTGCATCCATATGTTTCGTTAATTATCTTGCCAGTATCATCCTGCTGATCATCTGCTGAACTTTGAATTATAAGATCTGATCATGTTTCTTCTGTCATGTACCATCTTTCATAGCTTCATCACATTCCTTTCCATTATACCACTCATGTTTTCCTACTTCCTTACTGCATCCATATACTTCATTCATTCTAATGCCACTATCACTCTGCTGATCATCTGCTGAATTATGAGTCCTGAAGTCCAATAATGTTTCTTCGGGTAGTGTACTGGAATTCATATCTTCATCACATTCCCTTTCATGACACCACTCATCTTTATTTTCCAAAAGGTCATCAGATAGTTTAGTACAGGAAGGAAGCTCATCCATTGAGCAGACTTTGACCTTCATCTGTTCCGGAAGTCGTGGACAACCAGCAGAATGTTTGGTGTACTGGGTTGAAAAGAATTTTACAGTGATGTTCAAGCTGATGATACATAGAAACAATATCACTTTCCATCAATAACAGCAAAAGCATATGTATATATTCATCCATTCACAACTCACAAGGAAGATAATAAGATGATACCTCTGCCAAGGAGGGAGAGTGAGCATGGTGTATGCAAGTTTGATCTTACTGACAAGCCCTCGCAGTGATTTAAAGCTTGCAGCAGCCTGCCTAACCGCCTTCGATACAGTTGGGTGCTGCCAGGCCCATTCAAACTGCAAAGTTCCAAAGGGAACATTAGAAAGAAGGTCCCAAATTTCCAATTAATATCAATCCTAAAATAATAATAAAAAACCCTCAATCCCAATTAGCCAAATCTGGTGCCTACTCAAGACGGGTCCCAATCAAGCTGGAAATATCCTTAAATGACAGATAATTATCAGAATATAATTCTCAAGAAATTTGTCCCAATCAATCAAATTAAAGACACAAACAGATCATACAGAGCAATCCATAGACAAATTAAATGTAAAGAGAACAAAAGAAAGAAATGAAGAGACCTGGAGAGCAGAAACGTTAGTTGGGAAACCATAGATGCACAACACCATCTCCCATGGACGCTTCCGCTTCGTTCTCCAAGCACCTTGCGCTATTTCACCATTGTGCTGTCTTCAACGACGCCGTGGGTTCACTGTGAATCTGTATCAGAATCACCCAAATAAGCACAAACAAAGGCACAGAGTTCAAGTGGGCTCTCTTATTACCCCAAGCTCTACAAGAAAGTCTCAAACTTTAAAGAAGTTCAGATCGAAAATGTTCAAATCAAGATTGATCTAATTATTCTCAACATATTGGGAATTTTAAAAATAAAATAAAAAACAAAAAGAATTAGGGGAAGATGGAAGGTACCCGATATAGGTGTGGCCTTTGTAGCGGGGGCTGCGAGAGGTCAACAGATAGCATGCGAAGAATCGTCCTTCTTCTGTTTCTTCCTCCTCCGCGATTAGGGTTTCTGGGATTTCTGATCCAATCTTTCTTCTCTGCCCCATCACTCTTTTCAGGCGTATCTTATTAAAATGCAGTCGATCCAATTCGACCGTTGGAATATATTAACCCTTATTTCACTGTTTGAACTCTACGCCTCAGATTCCGTTTTCTACGGTCAGGTACTTGGAGAGTGGCCAAGTTTTGGCCACGTGGCCGGTTGTTTCTTGATCAACCAAAAAAAATATTGCCGCGTAAATAATCTTCAAACTCGGGTTTTCTGATAGCATAGAGGTTAGTGTGTGTGTTTCTCAATCTCATTTGTGTTAATATAATGGAGTCCAAACTGTATTGTTAGCAATTGTCGTCAAGTTGTTTGTATGTTGAGGAAATTAATTGTAGCCATCTATAACATCATAAATCATAATGGGTTATTGGGAAAACAAAGAAGCTTACTATTGGATTAAAATAAAATTAGATTAGAAGCATGCAAATCATTCTGGTTTCCTTTTGTGTGTGTACATTTTGTGCGACTGCAACAAGAAGAATCGAAGATGACATATTTGTAGACAAAATTCCTCATCAGACAGCTTTGTGTTCGGACCCGCTACACTTCCTCTCTATAATGAGAAGATTTCGGAAAGAGAGAAATTTTTTTGCAACAAGCCGCTCTCATATTCACTAGAAATTAAAATAGTCTGCATACACATTGAAAGGGCATACATCTCTATGCAAGTAGTTATAGAATAAAGTACATCTCTCTATACCTAAAACAATCTTGGAAAGATTACAGAAAAGAACCGTGCCCACCCAAACCAAAGCAAAAAAGGACTCGCATGTGATTTACATAGAGAATCACAAACAATATGCACAACTCAGCCAAGAATGAAAGTATAAATAAAAAGAAAAGACCGATCAATGCAATGTATTCCTCTGAGCTTCCTCTGCACCCCAAGAACACAAATCATAGTAACTATATTGGAAAAACTGAATCTGGTTAAAGAGGAGGAAACTATTCGAACTGTTGCAGAGTACTCAGTGACAAAAGCCTCCTTGCAGCAGGCGGTGCCAATCCAGGGATATCCCGGATGTTTTTGTTGCCAGGGTTCACAATCTGAAAGAGTAACACACACTCAAGTTAAGAACAGAGACGGGTGCGGCAATAGTGCTGGTACTAATGTACATGACATGATACAACGCAAAAAAGCCCAAGTTCACAAGCAGGACGAAGCATAAATGTTGGATCTTTTATTAGTATTACTACTATTCGACACACACTAATCCACTTTTCATGTTCAATAATAAGTGATCATCGTAGAGCAGCATCAAGGTTCCCAATAAATCAAACTCGTAGAAGTGACTGTATTTCAAAGATTCATAAGATGGTCATTTTTCAATACTCATCTCTCTTTGTTATTTCACTTTTTCGCTAGGAAGATTTTCAACACTCAATTCAGAGAATGAAAGCGTAAATCTTCCATGCATGACATCCTTAACTACCTAGAGGGAGACGAAAAGAGATAATAAGGTTCACTATTCACATTCCCCTTGTATTGCATCTCTTTCAATCATAAAGAACTTTCCAAACTCTTGCATCGACAGATTTCCTTTACGAAAAGTTCCTAAAATGCAACTTTGCAGATACCTTTGTAATTTCATATGCAACTTTTGGCTACAAAAACCTAGGGCAATATATAAATGAACCAAAGAGCATACCTTCACAACAATAATTGCTATTACACCAATTACAATAAGCAAAAGAAAAAGCATGATACACTTGTCTGTTGCCACCTGAAAATATTGAAAAAAAATTAGTTTTTCATAGAAAAATATACAGATAGAGCACTTAGGGGGAAGGATCTCAACTAACCTGTCTACCAATCTCTTTCACAAGCTGGGAGGCCTTCTTAATTGAAAACTGAATTGTGTCCAGCTCATTCACAATGCGGCCCATTTGTTCAGTCTGCAAGATTTTGAGTGAAACCATGTTAGGCTAATTTCTTGAAATGAAAGTTAATAGAAATGACAGGTGAAAATACTTACTTGGCCCTTTAAGGTAACTGCAGTTTGAGTTCCCACTTCAATTGTTTGCTCAACAACCTATCGGCCAACTAAAGAGTTAAGATTGCTGAAAAGAGGAAAAAAGAAGGGCAAATTTAAAACTAGTGTTATTTCGGATAGCTATTCACCTTTTTAGAGCGTTCAATGACCTGATCTGTCTCATCCATTGTTTTCGTCCCAGAATTGATTAGTTCTTGATTTGACATAGCTATCAGACATACATGTAAATTGAAAAGGAGGTCAGACAACTGTATTATTTTCAAATCAGGCATGAAACAAGCACAGATATAGACACAAAGTTCCAAGCAGTTTGATTTTTTCAAAGTTTGATTCACATCTACATTGTATTGATCAAAGGAGCACAAGGCTGACTAGCATCGGATAATCAAAAGCTAAAATAATGGAACAAACTGGAGGAGAAAGCTCATCTTTACATAATCAAACTAAGCTGATAGATATGCAGAAAGATAAGAACTTACCTGAAGCCATTTGAACATTGTCATCAGCAGTTGGTTCACTAACTCCTGCTCCCATATCAAAGAGTTCGACTCTCTTGTTTCCAAGGCTATTCATAAACCTGCAGTTCATCTAGAGTATGAATATCATTTTCCAAAATCAAGGGAACCCAGAACATGAAGAGTGAAGGGGGTTTATAGACTTCAAAAACTGTATTGTACAATAGTTTTCTATCTTTGGGGATTAACTTGTTTGTCCCATGAATATAAGGACTGAAGGTAACAAACTAAAACAATCAGATTCCAGCGTACATGAGCGAGTAAGTAAGTAATGGTCAAGAATACAAAATGCATAGCTGAACTTACGTTTTTCTCAATTGAACATATGAATTCAGCTCTTTGATCTGCAAAATGAAGTATTATAATTAGATGCAGTTGTTACAACAGCAAAAAGTAGAAGGAATCAAATGTGTGCCTAGAAAGATCTTGTGCGCTAAAATATCAATCCCCAGATTAGTTTCCTCACACAAAAACTATTACATAAGAATTGAAGGACACTGTTATAAACCTTTGTAATAGAGAAAAAATTCAATAATATCATTTAATTACATAAAAATGGCATATGAGAATAATCTGAAACAAATATTGCTCTCACAACATTTTCAATTCAAAAGTAGTAAGCAAGTTTGCAAGCATGCATGTGTTACAGTGTACATGTACACATTATGTGATGTGAAAAACAAAAGCTCATAAGAACTGACCATAGATTGCTTCTCATCATTGAGTTGTTTATTCACATCAGGAGGATTTCGGCTCTCCTCATCCTTGATTTCACGGTCAAACTCTTTGATTAGTCTGAAACAATGAATTTACAAAATCATACTCTGTGATTTAAGTAAAGGGAAAATCTCAAGAACTGGGATCAAAATAATTCCTATTTATTTTATTCTTTCATATGCCATCATGACAATCATCCCATACCTGAATTCTTCCAACATCCCCAAAACTGATCACAAATGAAGAGATGTATGGGAGTCTAGAAATAGGATGCAAGACTTGTATATTAGGCATGACTTATAGTCGCTCACATCTTGATCCCAGTTAAACTGAGGATGCTCTCATGGTTCTACTCCTAATTTCTCTTTTCCAATAAGTTGCTAATTTTTAAGGATGCCAAAATTGCCTAATGACATGGTGGTGCAAGACTCATTAAAGTGTAAAAATTGCATTAGATGTAGCAACATTTGTATTTCTGTCTTTTCTTTCTCTTCATATAATGTGAAAATTAAGAATGTCCAAAATTCTAAGTTTCTGAAAGTAGTCAGATAAAATTAGGAGTAAAAGCCCATATGTGGCATACCTTTTACATTCCCTCATCTTTCCTGTAAGTTCTTCCAGCTGTTTACTTTGTCTATTGGAGTCTTTGATCTTATCCAGCTTCTGGAAGCCATTTCTGAAAACAAAGAGGAAGTCACCGTAATTATAATAATATCACTCTATTATGAAAAGCAGGGAAGTACAAATATCTACTGTAACAACCCCACCACTTCCCCCCAACAAAAGAAACAGAAAAATAGTCTGCAATTACATAAATTATTCTTTTCTTTCAGTAACTACACCTTGTAGAAGAATAATAGGCAGACAGTTAACATATAAAATTGTGTAAACAAGGACCGTGTGGAGTTGGCAACACATAAACATATGAGAGATTAACACAGGCTACAGAACTCTGGTTCATGGTAAAAAAGAAAAAAGTGCACTGTGTCAGACGGAGGCAGAGAGCAGTGATACAACCATGACAGCTGAATTCAGTAACCACCTAATAACCGGAAGTTAAATGAAACTGTAAACAAAGAACAAATGCTCACAATGGCTACTATTGACTAACATCTCCCTCATTATCCATCAGTTTGTGGAAAGTATATCATGGTTGCTGCTTCCATGGGGTTTCAAGTAGGGATGTCAAAATAATTTTTAAGTAGATGTGGAAACAATGATGCACTTCTGGCATATATTGTTGCCCGTTAGGTAGTATGGATGTAAGTAGTGATCCATCTAGAACATAACCAAAAGAATTTTATTCATTGTAGTATTGGATCTCCATAAATAACCGACATCAATGCTTTACACAAACAACCAATAGAGCAAGTTGAGCCTTGAAAACTAGAAAATCTGTATACGTTTCTAAAGAGCAGCCAATGTTACTCAACACTACATGAAAACATTGCACAGATGTAAACTCTTACAGGAACAGCTGAGCAAGCACGTATACTCTTTAAATCGCCTCAGTAACTCTATCTATGGCAAGTTAATAATGCTTAACTACAGTTTACGAGCATCAATCTAACTTAAATGTGAATGAATAGGAACACATACAAAACAAACAAATTGATTATCAAGCAATACAACATCCTACATATCCTGACATCCCTCTAACTGAATTGTCTATCTTCAATTGCTAAACATGCTAGGATTCTGAGAAAACATCCTATCACCGAATTCACAATTCAACAATCAATGCGTAGAAAAGTTCAGGCACTTAAGAAAACGAAAAGCCATGATCTTTATTCAGTATGGATAAAAATTAAAATGCAACTGAAACACAGAGACATACGCGAGGGCTCGAAAATTATCGTGGATTTCACCATGGATCTGCTCCAACTGAGGACTCATCGGCAAGTTGCTGGCCATGGTTGCCATAGACTAACCCCTCCGAAATCGAATCCGCAAGAAAACCCTAACCTTTCCCCTTTCTACAATTTTGCAAAACTCCACAGCATCTGTTGCTCCGGATTGAGATTTGCTGGAGGTTTAACAACGAAACCCTAACTGCAATCCTCCACGGTGTTCTTCCTTGGGATAAAAATCGAAACTTTAATTTTCTCCAAAAATAACAAGAATTGAAAAAGATTACAGAAAAATTCAGGAGGGGAAATTGTGAGAAAATTGAAAAAGAAAAACTAAAAGCGTGGAAGGAAGAGAGAGAGGGTGAGAGAGAATCGCTGTCTGGTAATTGATTGTTGTCCAAAAAATATGTATTTTATTTTATTTAAGTTTCTTTGTTTCTTTGTTTAAGCACAAATTAATTAATTATTTCCCAGAGAGCAAACCAGGCTATCATGTCTAACATGAGCCGCTAATATGGCGCCGTTGGACCGTGAGTTAATGATATTTCGCGACAAATTAGTTACAAGAACTTAAGAAACATCTAAAAAGTTGTTAAGAATGTTCTGTTTGGTTGTTTTTGTTTTTTGTTGCATCTTATAATAATGCAATGGAAGATAACCTCCTTCAATTTGAGACTTGGTTTTCTTTTTTGGGATAGTGTTTTATCAACATACTAGATATGTCACGTTATGTTTTTTATAAGACTATTTTATTTTAATTCTTGAAGAATTAACATGGAAATTGGATTCCCAAATAACTCATTTCACGAACAAAAACTGAAATAATCTTCAACTAATCCTAGAATGTAATGAAATCAAGAGTCAAATAGAATAACATCACGTGTGGGGAACTGGATATCAAATGTTGATTAGTTGAAAACTTGCAAGTTAACAATAACATTCATCATTTCATTTGGAGAGTAGGCAATCTAACTTTTATATCCCCTATTTTCTGTTAATTTATTTGTGAATTGTACTTGTGTATTGTGGGGTTATTAGGTGTGATAAATAAAACGAGATAGGAGTAGAATTTATCGTGAGATTATAAACACACCCTTTCTATGCGGCTTACGTTAGCAGACAGCAAATGACGTACTGTGGGGAAAAAGAACATTTATGAATTATAATAATTGGAGAAATTAAAAACAGGCAGTAGAGTTGAGAATGAGGAGGAGGAAATTGGATTGGAAATGATGCGCTGTCAGTCTGTCTGGGTGTATCGTTGGGTGCCTTGGTGGATTTCGAACAGCTATCGCGCTCAAAAAAAATTCCTCGCATGTCTGAGTGAAAGAGCAATGATAAACCTACCGACCGAGGACCAATTTCTTGGACCCTCCATCTTTATGACCTGACACCTGGTAACAACTTTTTTCCTTCCCTCCAAACCAATGAATCGGATAACTTAAATAGAGGAATGAAGAAATGGAATCATATCAACTACTCACCTACTGATCTTATTCTGATTTTAAGATTATTCAATTACGGATTTTAACGTGGTATCTATATAGTTTTTTATTCTTATGTGTTAGTAATAGCAGGGGGAGTCGGAAACTGAAATCATTCAAATACTTATGTATTGTAAACATATGATAGTATGAATTGAAATCAATCCAATACTCATTCCTAATAAGCACTAGCGGACTTAGGAATTTTTTAACAGATGTGCAATACAGAGAGAGTTAAATATGAAAAAATAAAGATTATTAAAATAAATAAAAAAAGAATAAACAAAATTGGCTTTTGCTCAAGAAGAAAAAAATATGAATCCAACTTACTTTAGATTGGTGTACTCAAGAAGGAAAAAAAAAAAACATAGAATTCTTGTGATGCACGCACACTTGATAAAATTGGGTAATGTTAAATTGGTCCTTTATAAAGAGAACTCACAATCCTACTTAAATAAGGAATTGTGTAAGTCCTATTAAAACCCAATTAAATAAAGAGAACTCACAATCCCACTTAAATAAGGAATTATGCATACCCAATTAAAAGCTTAAGCAATGGCAGGTTTCCTGTAAAATTGGTCCTTTTTATTTAAAAAAAAAGGGATTGCGTGTTTTAAAAACCTGGTCCAAAACATAGCCAATATTTAAAAAATTAATAATAAGACCAGCGCATAACAAGACTTTTCTTAGGCTTTTCATCGAACACCTGTTGTGCAACTCCAAGGCCGAGGAGAGGTGCAATATGCATCATCTATGATGGCTTTTCCAGCGATGGAAGGTGCAGCTGCACCTTTTTGAGTCTTAATAGGTCCACCACTGCTAATAAGTAAACATGACGTTAGTGTGTTGCTATTTTTTCACTTCAAAGTACATTTTGATATTTTTCTAAAGTATTAGACTTGAAGTATTTTTCTCTATGAGCCTATATGTGATAGTCCTTCTTTTAACACCCAAAAATGTCAACAGAAAAAAGAGAAGAAAAAAAGTCATTTGTTGTTGGGCTGTTCTGGCCTCCTTTCTCACCAAGTAAAAGGAAAAAAATGAATTCTGCTTCATTTTCTTCAAGACCATTGGCATTTGGTCAAACATGTCTGGAAGAGCAAATAACAATAATTTGTAGTAATCACCTCCACTGGTTGGAAACATACATGTAAATTTGTTATTATGACAAACAAGCTTATGCAATCGAACACGAGAATGTATCTCAGTCTTGTTTACCTTAGAAGCATTTCATCAAACATTTTATTTTAAATAAGAAACTCATAAGCATTTGAATCAAATTGCATCATAAAATTGAAAAGAAAAATAAGTTGTCATGGCCAAATATATTCAATTTCTTCCACTTTACTCGTATAAAACTTTCGTTCTTTTTTCTCTCTCCTCACATGACCAATCACTTAAGATAAGAAGAATAATCAAATTTCAAATATATCGTTTCACTGCTCTAGTTAGTTAATACACGTACGCATAAATGGAATGGTTATTGAGAGAACAAGACTAGGTTATGAAACCAGACATTATAGTCTTTTGACATATGTGTTCCTTTTGCTTTCTAATCAAAATCTAGGTATCAGCCTTAACCACACAACCTATGTAATGCCCATTTTATGACAATTGAAAGCGCATAGTTTTCTTTTCAAAATGTATAAATATTAATTTGGCAACGGGTCTAACCCAATAGAAAATGACCTTAACTTACAAATTAAAGGTCTCAGGTTCGAATAATCACGAAATCATAGTTGTGTGTGTGTGAAAAATCCCCCTCCCCTGTCGTTTAAGTATTTCCTTTGCGGGATCCACTAAGTACTCAAGGGATGTATGAGTTTAACTTATCACATATTTGAAACATTACTAGACGTTGTATTATTAGCTTTTCGTGGGTTCCTAAGGATATAAGATCTTTGCATTATATTTATAGAAGTTTACAAATAACTTAACACATGATGAATAAAAAACGTATACGCAAGGGTTTGGATATACATCGATGCTACTACCATATTAGCTTACGCTTAATCATCTCATTAAAGACTAATTTGATGGCTTAATACCAATCCATTGTTTTTGTTCTCATCTATTAATTTAATCCAACTAAGATGCATGCATGCAACCAATGGATGAATATTGCTTAAATCAATTGATTGTACGCCTCATATTAATTAAGGCTGGAATTATGAATGGAGTTGGTATTGCGAGTTTTGCGAGTTTTTTTCGTACGGTAGGTTATCAAATATGTAGGGGGTGATCGAATTTCTTCATTGTACGCCTAATATTAATTAAGGCTGATTCAAAGTAAATTTGTTTTCGACTTTAAATCTTAACAAGGATGAGGAGGATAGGATTGAGAGGGGATGGAATTGTTGATGTCCCATTCGTAAAGAAAAAGGAAAGCTGACTAGTATACGCATCATACGATTGACGTTACTCGTACTAGGATATGATCTTCAAGCACTTGAAGAAATATGGACAAGAAATTGGCATAGCAAAATAGACCGTCATATTTTGTGTTTGTGAAAATCGAGCGCAGATTTGTTATTCGCGTCATTATCTCCATTTCGAACGAAAGTTCTCGCGTAACAGTTGCATATATACCTCTCTTGGTATTTTTCTTTGTTGGAGGCTCAACTGGAGTCTCTTATTATTGTCTTGTGGGCTCACCATAACTTTTGGAATTTTCTTAATCTTAAATCCTAAATCACAAACGTAACACATCAAATATGTTAATATTATTATAAAGAAACATATAAATTAGAACTAGAAAGTAATCTATACAGTTATGGTATTTTCTTTTTAATGTTCTCACTTCCATAAAGAGGAATATTCACTGTACCTCAATTTTATGATAAAACTTGACTAGTTTTAGTGTACTAAATTTTCACCCAATATCATTTATAGATATGTTCGATTCTTCCTTCTTCCAATATCGATGTTTATTTGAGTAATGCTAGGTTTACCACATTTTTCATACCACAATTGTACCACCTCTTTAATAGAGGTGGAACCCACCAATACAATGGGGCCCACCTCTATTAGAGAGGTGGTACAATTGTGGTATGAAAAATGTGGTAAGCTTAGCATTTTTGTTTTTCTAATACCTCCAGAACTTAAAATGCTTAACCTTAAATCCGAAAATGACCTAGGCTTAGATATATATACATAAAATCAAAAATATAAGTGGATTCAGAACATCCTATTTCAAAATTGAAAAAGTCTATATATTGATATTATCCACTCTGCTTGTGCCCGAGTGAGCCATGGTCACACATTGACATGAGCTATCTTTTGGTACAAAAATGGGACCATGGGCTCCTGGGCCCACCACCCACTCACACTGTTGCCTCTACTTTTTCACCTGATCCATCCAGGCCCGGTAAAAGCTGTCCATTTTGGCTTTCCCGCGAACCCAAAGGGTAAAACCCCTCTGCTCTGCAGGTGGAGATAAGGATTCATGTCCACGTGTCGAAAACCCAGCACGTCAGTCCAAAACGTGGCACGTGAGGACTCTCAGAACCACACCACCCATAGATACCAAGAAACCGAGAATCCGAAACCAGGACCAAACAAAAACGAAGCCTCAAAATCTTAATTGGGGTGAGTGTTTGTTCTCATGGTCCTCCTCTGGTTAAAATATAACCCTAGGGTTGAAATTGAAAGCAAAAGATTAAGACACCCATTTGTCCTCTTTATATATCGCGCATTTTGCATATTGTAATTTACAGAAAAACTCAGAGATTAGCTTTGGGAGGCTTTGGCTTTGATATCTTCTATGTCAGTGTTGCATTGTTGTGAGAGTGAGAGCCAGGCTTGCATGCGGGTGATTGCGCATTTCCAAGGTGATACTCGCTTCTGGGCTCGCTGGTGGAGCCATGGCGGTTAAGAAGGCCTGCGAGTCCTTCTCCAAGAGCTTGATCGACGAAGTGCAGAGATGGGGCTGTATGAAGCAGACGGGCGTGAGCCTCAGGTACATGATGGAGTTTGGGTCCAGACCCACGCGGAGGAATTTTATAATCTCCGCTCAGTTTCTTCACAAGGAGCTTCCCATTAGGATTGCTAGGCGAGCAATTGAGCTCGAGGCCCTCCCTTATGGCTTGTCTGAGAAACCTGCCGTTTTGAAGGTACTTTTCGTTTCTGTTGTTGTGAATCATGCGTTTTCTTATTTGTTTTCTTTTTGGAATCCAATGGGATTTGGTGGGAATTAATGATGTGGCTTTGAATTTAATTCCTTTGTCGAACAGAATAAAATTTGATTTATTGTCTTATTATTTTATTTGATTATACAAAAAGGTTTATGAAAAGTTTAGGCTACATGTGCTTTTAAAGGGTCAATCTTTTGCTTTCAAAAGCAAGAATGCATTGGAATTGTTTGCCAAATGATTCTTCAGAGTAACTGCATGCGAATTGCTTGTGGCTGAGATTGTTCTTTCTGAAAACTACTATCTGAGGTCTTGTCGAGCCCTTTATATTTCAGAAGAAGAAACTATCTGTTAAGTGCACTTGTTTAAGAATAATTTGGTTTGTTGGGCACGCTGGTGGTTTGGAGTTACAGGGTGATTAACTAGATAGCACATCCAGCATGAAGTTACAAGGATTTGAGGCATATATATACACTTTAGTATAATTTTTTTCTTTATTTTATATTCAGGTACGAGACTGGTATTTGGATTCCTTCCGCGACCTTAGATCCTTTCCTGAAATTAAGGATGCTAATGATGAGAAGGAATTTACACACATGATTAAGGCGATTAAGGTAAGACACAATAACGTGGTCCCAATGATGGCTTTGGGCGTTCAACAGTTGAAGAAAGGCATAAATCCGAGGATTGTCTACGAGGATCTCGATGAGATTCACCAATTTTTGGATCGCTTCTACATGTCAAGAATTGGAATTCGCATGCTCATTGGTCAGATTGCCTTCTTACTGTGATATTTTAGTTGGGTGGTTTTGCTAGATATTTCACTTTTCTTTCACCGGGTTCTAAAATCTCTGTGGAACTCAGGCCAGCATGTCGAGTTGCACAATCCCAACCCCCCTCCTCATGTTGTGGGTTATATACATACAAAAATGTCTCCTGTGGAGGTAGCACGAAATGCTAGTGAGGATGCCCGCTCAATCTGCCAACGGGAGTATGGCAGCGCACCTAATGTTAATATCTATGGGGATCCTGATTTTACATTCCCGTAAGTATATTTTGTTCTCACTTGGTTGGTCTGTTTCTAATTGATATCGATATTTTCTCCTTCCTTCTTTTTTCTCCCTTCACTTTGAACCTATTAGTGGTGGCTGGTGATATGATATTTTCCAACAAATGAAGTTTTGTTAGTTTCTGTAACAGGTATGTTCCAACACACTTGCATACCATGGTCTTTGAGTTAGTTAAGAACTCCTTGCGTGCTGTCCAAGAGCGGTACATGGACTCGGACAAAGTTGCACCTCCTGTTAGAATAATAGTTGCCGATGGAATTGAGGATGTTACCATCAAGGTATTGTTTAGTGTAATTTAGAGAATTTCATGATGTTTTCAATTGTTTACTACTTAAACAATGAAATGCTTATCAAGTTGGTCTGGCTGACTTCATAGGTATCAGATGAGGGGGGTGGCATAGCAAGAAGTGGACTCCCCAAAATTTTTACATATCTTTACAGCACTGCAAGGAACCCTTTGGATGAGCATTCAGAAATCTCTGAAGCTGATGCGGTTACAATGGCTGGGTATGGATATGGGCTTCCTATAAGTCGCTTGTATGCTAGGTATTTTGGAGGAGATTTGCAAATTATCTCAATGGAAGGATATGGTGAGTTGACTAATTCCAAAACCTGTTCCATTTAGATTATTCCAGCAGAACTTGACGATCAAAGTCTTTCCATTTGTTTGCACCTTTCTTTCTCCTTCTGAATTCTGAAGGGGTATTTTCTGGCATTAGCCATACGCTATCGTAATTAGAGAAAATACTTGTCTATGTCATTAGCTGGTCATCTGTATGTTTCACTTAGCTCTTGATCTCCTCTTTAAATCAGCTGTCATTTCCTTTTCCTTCGTGCACCAAAAGTTCGACACACAGTTTCATCCTCATTTTCAAGCCTGTTGCGTTCAGAATGTTATACATAATTAGCAAGGCTTCACAATCAAAATTCTTAAGGGGCAACTCCAGTAGTTGCCATGAATAGATAATAAATTTTACTTGTCTATGTCATTGGTTAACCATTTTATGTTTTACTCACCTGTCATTTTATTTTGCCTCATGCACTGAATATTCTGCACATTGCTTTATCCACATTTTCAAGCACGTTGCATTCAGAATATCATCAGTCTTCCAATTTGTTTGTAGCTTTCTTCTCTGAGTTGTGAAGGGGTAATCTTCTACACTCGAGTTGTATTATATTCTCTAAATCCGACTGTAAAATTGTCGTCATATATTTGACTTGCCTTTTGATCTCTCTTTAAAATCACATGTCATTTTCTTTTGCTTCGTCCACCGTGATTTTCTGACATGCGGATATTTGTGTCATGTATGTACAGGGACCGACGCATATCTCCATTTGTCTCGCTTGGGAGATTCACAGGAGCCCTTGCCATGATGAATCTGTGGTGTTTCTATGTGAATGAATCGATACAGTTGAATTTTCAAACTAATTCAGGGGAATATTATAAGTTAAAAGTGTCATATATTTTATTGTAAAGGAGATAAATTTGCTGTCAATTTTTTTATTGTAATGAAAATTGGCAGTTTTCTTTTGTCTTTGTCTGTGTGAGTCTACCTCACCAGGGGGAGGAGAATATAATACAATCAAGTCGTGTGGCGATCTTATGCGTAAAGACCATTCTACCGACTGTTCTACATAACTCTTTTCCATGTTAATCTAACACATTGGCCCCTTTAGCATTTCTAATCCCCCTGTGATATTAGTTTACGCCAATGTGTATCGCTAGCTGCTAAACCAATTAAAGTATGATGTGAGGAATAAATCCGGAGACAAAATGAATGGTTATGGAATTAAGAGTTCGTTTGGAAGTGATTATAGATAGGCTAATAATCACTTATATGGAGATCTTATTTTTCAATTCCTTGATGTGAAGTAAACTCAGGAATCTTCCATAAGTGGAATTCAATTCTTGATGAGAATTCCAATTCTTGATTAGTAAACATACCATAAGTGATTTTATAGAAAAACACATGAGAAGTGATTTTCCCTAGAATCACTTGAAATCACCAAAAGTGATTATATAAAAAAGCACATGGAGGTGCTTCTCTCCGAAAATGATTTTGGTCTAGCCCTAACTAATTCTTCATTGTAACACATAATTTATGAATATGCATTTATTAATAAATTCAGGAGAAGTCGGAAATTGAAATAGTTTCAATATTCATCCTAACTAACTAATCATGACTCAACATAAACTTCCATGAAACTGGCCGAAGAAGAAATCAACTACATATCATCAAAATTTGAAACTACATGTTTCTTCTATTGGTACAGTTACACATTAACAATATCTCTCTGATTTGACAGAAACCAAATATCTTTCTCTGATTTGACAGAAACCTATCAGCCTCCATGGATTTCCTTTAAAAACTGGTCAAAGTGAAAACATATCAGAGCCTTCTTTGCTTTGCACGCTGATACGACTTCTTCCCCTTTATCTTCCATTTTTCATTTCCAGCCGGCCGGTTTTTGTCTTCTATCTCACGCACTTTCCGCTTTCTAAAAGGTCATGAAACAAACAACAGCATAGTTAAAGGTTTGTTTGTATTTCATAGAGATACTCAGCTTTTCAGAATACTGAACTTTCATAACTACAGCATGAAGATACATTATAGCATAATACGCTGCATATCATATGATTTCTCCCAACTTCTTCAAATATTTATATCTAAATTTAAATGCACGTGGGATTATTGGCACTCCAAAACTTGCTACCACAGCCCCCCAACTTGTTCTCTCCAAAAAATTTCTTTTATAAATTGTTTTTGAGTTGAAGAGAAAATCCCTCGTCCCACATCCTCCTATCCCACACCACCCCCTTCCCTGCTGCCAGCTGCTGGGCATGACCTCTTCATGATCGGTAAATTTTAGGATTAACTACAGAAAACCCCCCATAGAATCATCCTTAAATCAAATGTATTGCTTCAGAATTTGGACACAGTGAATGTCTCTGGCTATCTCACCTGTAGTTCCCAAGGGTATGATCAGAAAGCAGCTCTTCTGCAAGGGTTGTCTTCCTTTCCTTCTTTGTAAGTCTGCCTGAGAAGAAATCTAACGGGGACTCTATCACCGTCCCTACCTGATGAACAACCAAAGGAAGAAAAATGTGACAACTATAATAATACATTCCTATGAATGGCTTCTTGTAATGTAATCAAGATACTATATTCTCACCTGGAAATACTTGTTAGGCTGTGAATTACCCTTCTTGTAGTGTCTCTTTGGATCCATAACATTCCTTAACTGTAACCATTAGCAAAACAAATCAGTCGACTAAACTTCCCTTTAGCATAAAATTCAGAGGTTAATAATTATAACAGTGATTGCACATGGATGACCCCTTCAAGTGAATGAATGAACCCTTCAAGTCAATAAGCTAATAAATTGGTCTGCATAACTCACACTAAGTTCAAAGAGATAACAATTGATATACTTTAACAATACAAACAATTTGAACAATAGCGGAATCATGGAAAATGCAAAAGAAGTGAATGTCGGATTTGATTCCAGATTCCAAGGAATTATCAGCTTGTTTAATGTTCCCACATACAAGGTTTGCAGCTGGACAAGAAAAAAGGACACTTACTATAGACTGTGTTAACATTTGAGAATGGTTCACTTTCGTTACAGCCAAAACTTGACAAGGACTTGGAATGATACTAAGGTAAGTGCACCATAAAATGCAAACTTCCAGGTTAGATTAGCTTTTATTAGGGTTTCTATACTAGAGATTGCTGTTGACAGACTGTCTGATGTGAATTACCTCCAAGGTAGTAGAAATAGATCCAATATGATTCACGGTTAACTATAAGTCCCAAAAATTCTAAAAACACAGGATCTTATAATTTATTTTATTCAGCTGATGCAGGAAGCCAGGAACCAACGTACAGGATTGGATATTTTTAAAGCACATACAGCTCAATAATGAGAGTAAAATTCATAATGATGCAAGCGCAAAACCCAGTAAACAAGGGATGTAGATTATTACAACTTAGTGCCTGTAGATGATTACAACTTAGTGCCAGGGAAACTAAGAACAGAAACAAAACAGGAGTTACCATACCTTGAGTAATTGGAGATCTTTCTGCAACTCTGGGGTCATGGTTGGTGCAGGCATGTCAAACCTACATCACATAAATTATCAGGGGACACAGACAAACATAAGAAGTTCAATTGTGAGTGAATTTCATAAGGGTTTCTGATAAAATCCAAGACTCAAAAGAAGCAGAATGAGTTGAGATGATGACATACCAACTTGTCCCAGCAGTGTCTTTGAGCTGCTTCTTAAGCAACTTGTTCAGCTTTGTTGGGTTATTTGGTGGAACAAAGAGGCCATCAACAAGCTGTGTGTTGGGTTTCCAAAGTTGATTGGTTTCGCGAGGTTTGGTACCAGACCCACCTCCATTTTTGGCTGCTGATGAAAAAGTCGGCAACTTTGGCTCCCATGAGAGACCAATCACTGCCTTGATTTCCGGCATCCTAAAACACAACTTTTGAAATCAAAATCAAAACAGCACCAACGGAAAATACATGCGTAATCTGATAAGCACAAAGCGATCCAAATTCATTGAAAAATCAGAGAGAAGAAGATGATAACATACTGGCGGTGGCTGAATCAGAGAGGGCAGGAGCTAACAGCGTTGCTGCAACGACAATGGCCTCGGAGTGGGAGAGTTTAGCGGCCGAGAGAGGAGAGACTGAAAAAAACTAGGCTTTGGTAGGAAGAGAGAGGCGTCGAAGAGAGTTGTTCTTTCGGCGTTCCACAAGCGATCAGCCCGGTAATAAGTTACTAGCCAAATGGGGCGGCCCAGACTAAAAGTAGCAGCCCAGTAGAGAAAACCAACAACAAAGGTCTAGGGTTTATAAGAAATTTGGAATGTGGGATTTTATCAAATTCTTATCTGATTTAGAAATTTGGGGTAATTGTTTTTCCATGTCCACCCAAAAATTTGATCATCACACCCAATCCATAAAAGAGATTTTCAGAATTTCCAGTTCTTCACTTTGAAATAATTAATCTATTTAATTGCATTTTTCTTCTTCGAAGTGTGATATTTTCCTTTCCTTTCCTTCGAAATAAATCCAACACCTTCATAACTCGTATTCATTCGCCACGTTGTCTCCCATCCCATGGCACCCATAGTCATTTTATTTATGGGTAAATTACTCAAATGGTCTTTAAATTTGTACGCGATTTACATTTTGAACCATAAATTAAATTATTAGTCCAAATGGTACGTAAACTATATTTTAATCGCTCATTTGATCCAACTGTCTAATTTTCTGTTAGATTTAACCAAATTTTAGGGTAAATATGACTTTTCATAATTAACAAATAAAATAGAATTTAAATAAATACAAAATTAGAAAAAAAATGAAGAAAAGGAGGAAGAACAGAAGAGGAAGAAACCCGGAAAAAGAAGCAAGCCATGCTGATCAGATTTCTGCACACGAATTTCGCGATTTCACTTTTAATTTTCTCTCCGGCCAAACATAGAGAGAAAATCCGGCGAGAAAAAGAAAAATTGAAAAAGCTGGGGGTTCCGCAAGCAATGGCGGTTGTGGAAGCGAGAGCATCGTCCATAAGAGACGCGCTGCACAAGAGCCAGACCATCACCGACAACATGGTCGCCATTCTCGGCTCCTTCGACCACCATCTCTCCGCTCTGGAGACTGCCATGCATCCTACTTAGGTACCTCTCTCTCTCTCTGTTTGTTTCCCGAGAAACCTCACGACAATGTCACGCTTCTTCATTATGTTCCCAAAATCTACTGCGTTTCGTTTCACCTCCTGTAATTTATGTCTCTTTCAGTGAAAAATCTCTGCTTTTCGCATTTCGCATATATGTTTATATGTAGCTGGAGCTTTTAGTGTGCTTTGTCAACTAAGGACCTGGATTGTGGGAAAAAAAAGAAGCAAAAGAAGAAGAAACCTAGAAGAAGAAGAGAGAGAGAGAGTTGGTGGATGAGATGACCAATTTGCCCTCATATTTGACGGCAACATTGACAGAACCTAACGGTTGGACCAAATGGGCGATTAAATAGAGTTTATGTACCATTTGGACTAATAATTTAATTGAGGGACCAAAATGTAAATCGCGTACAAGTTTGAGGACCATTTGAGTAATTACCCTTTTATTTATTTATTTAAAGTATTTGGAAAATATTTGGCCAAAAAAATAGTATTTGGAAAATATTGGTGGATGAGTCTCAGTGAGTTTGGCTAATATGATTCTAGAAGAGAAATTCACCTACATCATCTCATGATAAGCTGAAGTATACACTTGTTACATTTAAGTTTATGTCGTGGGAAAAGTATGATAGGGAGATGACCAGTTTGATGAGCAGTGCGAAGGTGATAATAGCGCCACGCTATGAAAATTGTGAATAAAAAGTGGTTAAGTAACAGTGATTCATCCATGACCTGCCCAAGTTACATTTTGATAAAGGGTCGAAGAATATTACATGTAAGGACGCCCTGTTTCTGTCAAGTAGTAACTTCCAAAACTAGTAAGGCTGGGATATAATTGCACAACTATGGCAGAGCTGCCTCAACACCATTACTTCTTGTGTTAGTCGAAGATCTACAAACTGACTAATCACTCATGTCATCATCGAAAAAGTTTATATCGCCATCCTCATCATCTTCATCATCATCATCAGTGGCAACACCAGCATTGGCAGGATTTATATCTGCATCAGCCAGAGTTAACAGCTCGACTGATCCGTTCCTAGTCTCTGCATTTCCATTTACACCTTCATAATCAACCATATCATTCTCGTATTCATCAACCTGTTCGATTTCATTGTAAAGGACTTCCTACAAAGAGAAAATAAAGAATTTGATTCAGACAATGTAAGGGATTTCTCGTAGTTAGCCAACTCAGCAAATTGAAGCTTGTAGTGCAATTGGCAAGTAACCAACCCACTCCGCAGGAAAAATAGAATCTACGCTTGAAATACCTCATTTTCTAGCATGTCATTTTCGGCGGCATCTACAATCCAGTCATCTAGCAAACGCTCTAACAGAATATTGTCGAGGGAGATTGAATTATCAGCCCTTCTTCGTAATTGTTGTTCTCTAAGACGCAGATTGTAGTGAACGTAGATGAGGTCATTCAATCTTTTTTGAGCTAAACGATTATTTCTTAAACTGTACAATTGATCGTATATACTCCAGTTATGCTCACAACCAAAAGATGAGCACGTCTGACTCAAAATACGGACAGCAATACGCTGCAGCTCTAAGCAACTTATCCCATGTTGTTGCCACCATGCAGCTAATAAGAGGCAAGAAAAGGAGAAATGTATCTGTAAGTAAAATAATGCTTGAGAAGATGTGGAATATGTCCAGAGACTCGATGCATGGGCATGCATATGCATATCGGAACTCTCAAATGAGTAGCATGACAGTGTAATATTATACCTGGATCAAGCTCAGTTCTTGTACTGATTGCCAATTCGGTTCCAAAATCAGCTTTAGCAGAGTTGTAATCAGAAATCTGAAAGAATAGGAGAATATAAGAAGATAATCTCAACATATGAAAACATTCAGGAAGCAAATAATGAATTCCAATAAGAAAATTATTACCTGCATAGATGCAGAAATCCTTCTTGCACTGTCTGGCTCCAGCCGAACAATGCACTCATTAAGTCCACGCATCCCCTCGGTATGCTACAGACAATTAACATCTAGGTTAGGAAAGAATTCAACATGATGATAAAATCACAAGCAGCCATTGTTCGTCCTACCGCCGTAAAATCAGGTCGATATCTGTATGATGGATTTAAGTAGTAAGCAGCTACATATACCGGGTGGTAGAACAACGAGTTCCAATGACTTTCTATAACACTCCAAAATGGTTCATATTTACGTACATTGTCACCATGAATGGTTTTGATTGCAAGCTTTGCCCTGTACATGTCATTATATATAGATGACATTGACAAGCAGTCACCAGTCTCAACCTTCTGAAGAACTTGCATAATTGGGTCCACTGAATTCCTAACAAACTGTAGCTTCTTCCAGAATGTAGCATTTAATACAATACTTTCCACCTCTTTTCCTTCACATGATTTGGAGCACTGAGATGAAATCCATTTGTTTGATTGAAACATTCTTCTAAGACCAGTCCTGTGGTCCAGCAAACTTTGTAAGGTGGCAAAGCTAGAGGCGAATCGGGTAATAGACAGTCTCAAAAGTTCCTTCCCCTGTGTAAAATCACTCTTCAGAAAATTTAACAACCAAATTTGGTTGTAAATGAGCTTCGTAATTTTTTGCCCCTTCTCCATGCACTCCGCTACACTTCTTATCTTCAAAAAATCTTCAAGCATTTGATCAATACAACTGGTGGCACATGGGGTCCAGAATAATTTCTTTCTTTTCTCTTCAAGCATATTTCCAGCAGCTTTATAGCTAGGAGTAATTGGAGTGATTACCTGCACAATAGGGGATTAGAAGCAAAGCAAAGCAAAGTTAGTAGCTGGTGGATGACAGTTTGGGATGGGGAACTACATGAGAAACAAAGAAAACCAAATACCTGAACTACATTTTCCTCACCCATCTCTTCAACCACTTTGTCCAGCAGCTTAAACAAATTCGAAGCATCTTCAACTATTTCAGTGGCATCAACTGAAGAAACAAAGTATACACCATTTGGGCCAGAAGCCAAGAAATTTATTAATATCCTACCCTCTGTGTCTCTCCAACTGTCTGCCATTATAGAACACCCGGTGATTGCCCAAGACGCCTTATAATCAGCCAGGTAGGTTTTAATGGTTGCAATTTCCTCTTGCAGAAACCGACCAGATATTAATTGGCTTGGAGGTGCTACCAGACCCTGGCCATATTGGCCAACCAATTCCAGCATCTTATGGAAGTATAAGGAGTTTGTTGCTTGTAGAGGAACTCCTGCATGGTAAAAGAATTTGCAAATTCCAGAAATAACTTCCTTGCGGGATATTTTATTTGACATTGTTCTGACCCTTACTTGTCTGTAAGAATGTGGTGTCAAACTCTTGGGAGCAGTCAAGAAAAGGGAATCTAGCCTTGATCTTTTAAATAATGGTTCAGAACCAGTACTGGGAGGCAATGCCTTGAATGTATTTCTCAAATTTTGGCCCAATCTCCTATCACCATCAATCAATCTTTCCTTGTTTATATGATGCAGAGCAGCTTCCATTTGGTCATCGTCTTGATCTTCATTGTCTGACTGCAGATCAAAAGGTGACATGTCCTTTGAATCGGGTTGTCTCTGTCTCCTTCCAGTACGATGCCATTTCATATTCTCTTTTATTTTAAGAAAAACTTCCTCAGGAGCATGTTTACAAGGTGCTACTTCTCCAGGAATTCTAGCTAAATGTTGTTTAAAACCGATTGATGCCACCACTAACTATTTTCTCGCAATAAATGCATTTCACCTTTTTCTTTTTCTCATCCTGAGCAACACCATGTTCCCACCCAGGGTCAACATATCCTAATGACCGAAGAGGAGTCAACTTCATAGCTAAATTCCTGTCACCCATCAATTGCTTTCCTTTGCTTCTATAACCAACATGCACCTCTTCTTCATCATCATTAGATTGGAAATTCAAATATGCTTGCCCAATATCTTCAGAATGCCTAGGTTTCTTATTAGAACGACTTCCTTCCATATTTGCTTTCATACTCATGTATACATCCTCTGGAGCCTTATCACAATAAGTAACTTCTCCAGAAACTCGGGCTAAATGTTGCTTCAATCTATATATTCCTCCACTAACTATTTTTCCACAGTAATTGCATTTAACCTTTTTCTTCCTCTCATCTTGAGCCATGCCATGTTCCCATCCAGGGTCAACAAGTCCAGAGGAGCGCATTGTGGCCGTCAATTTAAACCATTTAAGAATGTATATCAGAAACTACCCTTGTCTGATTCACTCGCTGTATCCTCAGCACTAACAGAAGTCAATATCTTTAATCTTGCAACGTTGCATGGTCTGACAATGACACTAGTAAAGAGGATGTTGGTGTTTACCACAGTGAGAGTTAGGCAACAGGAAATAGGAATCTGCAGGAGATGTTTGGAAAAAATACATTCGTTCATTAGCTTAAGGGCAGCATATAGGCCAAAGCATGGCGAGCACAAATGAGAAATACATAAGAATTCAGTACGAAAGACAGTAAGATGAAATGTTTTCAAGCTTAACATGGAGTAATAAAGACATAGCTGGCAAGATTCTTAAACGTGCTTGATACATTGACACAATATGAAAAAGGATTTCGACAAAAAAAATATGAAAAAGGACTGGTTACTAATGGAACTCTGGACCTAGCACACAACCAACTCAAAATAATTCACACAAATAAAATTGGGGTTTCACAAATTTATAATAGATGTTGATATTAAAAATATCATTTGACTCTTAAAATGAAAATTTCAACAGAAAGGGCAACTCCTTCTGAGCTTGGAAAGCAACAAATGGGTTTACTTGTTTCAAAAACTCAATCCAGCACTTCAAAATAATTTTGTCTCAGCATCCGAAGCAGCAGAATAAGATTTGAAACAACAAAAAGCCACAATAAATGGTACCAAAAAAGGCAAACATGGTACACAGGTAGCTAGCTGAGACCAAACAAGACTAAGCATGAGATAAAAATCAGACATATTGGCACTCACTTTTTGCAATTAATCACATAAAAACCACAGCTGAAATTTCCTAACACCCAAATTCTAACACCATAATATATAGAAAGGGGATAATCTAATTCCACTGAAAACCAGGTAAAAATACACAGCTCAGAAAACTAAATGGTTGCTTAAATTCTGCTTACCTGGGTTAGAAAAAACGAATGGCATAAAGAAATATTGATCTATCTGAAAATTCTTCGATGTGGGTCAGGCGCATTTGGATTTGGGATGATTGATACGCTCGAAAGTGGAGAAATTGATGGAAAGTTAGGTTTTTGAGGGTCAGATTGGTGGGAAAACTTGAAAAATTGGGTGAAGGAAGAAGAACGAGCTGGGATCGTTCGGAATCGTGAGTCGCGAGTGGAATAGGTTCGACTCGATTGCTCGACCCGCCGTTTTTTAGGGTTTCTGTTCTTTATGGTAAACATATTATTTATTTTTACTATTTACCACCAATGATTGATTGAGAAAAAATATAAATAAATAAAAAGAAATAAGGTTAAAGGTAATTTTGGCCTTTGGCTACCCAACACAAAGTTCTTTTTAGCTGTTTTTTTAATTTTAAATAATTTAAGACAAATATTTATTGCACAATATAATTGTGTGAGTTTGACTCAGTGAGTGCACAACTGGTTTGGTGAATCGTTGACAAAATGTCATTCACTCAATTCTATACAAACTGTTTTTTTAACACAGGGAAGAAATTTGAAGCATAAAATTATCGTCAAATCAAAGACAAATCATAAACTCATGTGCTAGGAAACCACAAAGTTGATCAAAATAATAACACAATCAAATGAATTTCAGTATTTGGATGAACCTATCTTGCTTACAGCATATCTTAAGTAAGATGTACAAAATCTATACAGCTGACCACCAGACAGCATTACCAGTAATCTTTACAAGAACACTCTCCCCTTTTAAAATGGTGAAAACGATTTCGATCCCTCACGATTATTTCCCGATCGAAAACCTTTGAGATGAGCTTGCTTGCTTGGTGGCAGTCTTTACAGACTCGCAAATTCTTCGATATACGAAGAGTTTCCCCAGGTTTAGTATTCAGTAGGCCAAAGGCAATTGCAAGTTTCTCACTGTGGTAGTATAGAGGATTCTCCTTTTCCTCCTCATCAAGATCATGCAACACTCCCTCTGTGTCAGGAACATAGCCTGCAGATCTTATACATTTCAGCATCTCATCAACCTTGGCATATATCTCTTTTGTCTGAGGATGAGCCCCTCCCCCCGCAATAAATTCATTAACAACACCTTCCAGTTCAATCATGGAAAATCCAGGAACCTTCTTCACTCCCCTGTCATTCATCAATCTCCTCACATTAGCGACATCTTCCCATCTGCCCACATTGGCATATAGATTGGCCAATAACACATAGCGACCACTATTTTCTGGCTCCAGTTCAATTACTCTCTTTCCTATGTGTTCTCCCAGTTCAACATTTCCATGGATCTTACAAGCTCCGAGGAGGGCACCCAATACGCCTACATCGGGGCTCATTGGCATCTCACTTATTAGCTTTCTTGCTTCCTCCAGCATCCCGGCTCTTCCAAGAAGATCAACCATGCAGCCAAAATGCTCTTTTCTGGGCTCAATACCATGGACTTCAATCATGGACTGGAAGTACCGTTGCCCCTCTTCAACTAACCCTGAATGAGCACATGCACTAAGGACATTAACAAAAGTAATGTTGTCAGGAGCTACCATGTCCCTTTGCATCTTCTCAAAAAGCTCAATGGCAGCCTCTCCCTTCCCATGCATTGCTAGCCCTCCAATCATGCAATTCCATGAAGAAATACCTTTATGGGACAAACCATTAAAAACTTCAAAGGCCTTCTCCAGGCAACCACATTTGCAATACATGTCGATGATTGTTGTTGCAAGTTTTGAGTCCAATTCAATCCCACTTTTCTCAATATATCCATGAATCCACTTCCCTTGTTCCAGAGCACCTAAACCTGTACAAGCCGATAACATACTAGCCGCCATGAATTTATCCAATTCCACCTTCTCCACTCGCATTCTTTGGAACAAAGCAAATGCCTCATGAAAACGATCACTCTGGACATAAGAGGAAATCATGGCATTCCAAGAAACAGAGTTCTTCTCAGGCATCAACTCAAAAATTTCAAAAGCCTCATCAACAAAACCACACTGCGAGTACCCAGTAATCAAAGTGGTCCAAGACACAGCATCCATCCGGGGCATCTTGTCGAAGACCCTTCTAGCTTCTTCCAAAGACTGAAACTTCACATACATGTGAATCAAATTATTCTGACAAAACCCATCAGCTCCATACCCCAGTTTCACAACATGGGCATGGACTTGTTTCGCTTCTCCAATAGCATCATCATTGCAACAGGCTCGTATAACAGAAGGGAACGTGTACTTATTGGGAGTGACAGAGTCTTGCAACATCTGCGAGTACAAAACAATGCAATTTCTGGGTAATTGGCATTGCAAGTAGCCTCTCATTACGGTGTTGTAAATGAATGCATCCGGGTGGAGCATTGTATCGAACGCTTGGAGAGCATAACCCAAATCGCCATTCTTGGAGAGGGCACAGAACTTGATGACACGACCCATGGCATCGTTGTCGGCTGCGAGGCCGAGCCTGATGACTTGGGAGTGCAACTGCTTGAGCTCGGCCATGGTTGAACATGATTCGATGCCACGTAATGGTGAAATCTGGGTCTTGGGTGAGCTTAGGTGGGGTGGGGTGGCTTGAAGGACTTGGAGCGAAGTCATTTGTCTTCACTTTGGAGCGAGCGAACCTTCATACTCACCCTATTTTTCAGCACCTTCTACTTTGTTCACCGTTGATAAGATATTGTGGGTCCCCAAAAATGTTTTGTTTTTTAAAAACATTTGCCAAAATATGTATTTGCAAATACAAAAGGTTGACCGTAAAATTTGCATGAATGAATATGATATAATATGGTGATTTTTTATATATATATATTATAGACTCAGTCCAAATCTCTTGGATTACAGGAGTCCAAGAGATTTGTGTTACTCACCGTTGGATGTAAATTCAACGATTCACTTACTCTTGCACTCCTTTAAAGAAACTTTTTTGAACAATTGGATTAACATCCAACGGGGGATGACCACAATTTCTTAGACCTCGAGGCTGATTATAGACTATATAGTGATAAAGATTTAAATATGAATGAGTGTGTGTTATAATGATCTGTCACGTCAACTTGTTTTGAAATATTACTGTCATGTCAACTTGTTAGTGCAATATATGTAATGTTTAATTTCAAGAGTAATTGGGTTTTAGAACTCTAATTTAGAACATTCGAATAGGATTTGTAATTATGTGAAAAGAATATAAAAATTAAAAAAAGACAAAACTATCATCCCATCTTCTAAAAGCCTAGATATACGTAGAGAAATCACAGAGCTTTTGATTGATATCTTGGGCCACAACAGAGATTGCTTGACTTGAAGGTCAAGTAAAAAATGGATATCGTCCCTGTAAAGATAGGGTGCATGCTAAAGGGAGGGAGGGAGTAGGGAAGTGAACTCTGTTGTTGGTAGGTTTTGGTATGATCATCAAGTCCAAAAAAAGACAGAGGCAATGGTGAGCAGGAACTCATTCCGGAGAAATTGTAGGAGATGATGATCTTATATATACACAATAACTAATATAACTGTCCCTTAACCACCACCACATTATGGGAATTTTTGTCCTAAGCTTCACACCATCTACCTTGCTCTTATTCTAGACAAGGCCTTCAAAATCACCCCTAAATTTGGACAGCCCCCAATACAATGCATGCCTTTTTGTAGCTGTATATATATAACATATATACATGATCTCCATGATTTAGAACTTCCATTTCTTCACCAAAATCAGATATCAGAAACTAAATTATGGAGAAAAAAGGCAAGCTGGTAATAGGAGGAGTTTCAATTGTCCTTGTTGTTGGCGTCGTGATTGGTCTTGTGGCTGTGGTTTGCACTAGGAAGAGTCACAAGGACCAACTTTCTACAAGTTCTAAGGCCGTTGCTGCAATTTGTGAGCCAACTGATTACAAGGAAGCATGCATCAACAGCCTTAGCAAAGTTGCGAAAAATGAAAGCGCCACGGCTAAAGACCTCATCCAAGCAGCCATTGATTCCACCATTTCAACAGTGAAGTCTGCAATAGACAATTCTGGCAACATTGCCAAATCATTTAGCAATCTCAATTCCACAGGAAAAATGGCAATGGATGATTGCAAGGACTTGTTGGAATCGGCAATTGCTGATCTTCAAGCTTCGTTTTCATACGTAGGGGACGGTGATATGCACACAATGCATGATAGAGAGGATGAGCTGAAAAATTGGTTGAGTGCTGTGATATCATTCCAACAATCATGCCTTGATGGGATTCCTCAAGAAGAGCTCCAAAAACAGATGAAAGAAGGGCTTCTCAATGCCACGCAGCTGACGAGCAATGCCTTAGCAATTGCTTCCTCAATTTCTGAGATCTTACAAAGCTTCAACATCACTTTAAACAAAGATTTAAGGAATCCAAGCAGCTCCCGAAGACTTCTCGAGCACAATAATGATGAGCAAGGCCAGTACCCTAGTTGGTTTCGCGCTGCAGACAGGAGGCTATTGGCAAGTCAGAGCAACGGGCAGGTTAGACCAAATGCGGTAGTGGCAAAAGATGGAAGTGGACAATACAAAACAATTGGTGCGGCTCTTGCTGCATACCCTAAGGGACTTAAGGGAAGATATATCATATATGTGAAGGCTGGGATTTACAATGAGTACGTTACTGTTACCAAGGACCAGGTCAATGTGTTCATGTATGGAGATGGACCCCGGAAGACCATGGTCACTGGGAGTAAAAGCTGGGCTGATGGCATCACCACCCAGAACACCGCCACATTCGGTGAGTCACCCGTTAGATATTACTTCTCCAGTTAATAATACCATACCAATAATGCTACGGTCACCAAATTTATTCACTAAATAATGCTTTATTTAAACTGACTGAACCTGACATATATTTACACACGCATTATATGCTGAACAAATTTGATGACCCTAATGCTTTACAGAAAACCAATTTCCATGAGAAGGATGGATTGGCTGTTATGGTAACCTTGTAATAGATACAGCTTATAATCACATTTTCTTCTTTATAATCACAGCCGCAATTGGAAGTGGGTTTCTAGCCAAGGCAATGGGATTTCAGAACACAGCAGGCGCCCAGAAGCATCAGGCAGTGGCACTCCGAGTCCAGTCGGAGATGTCAGCCTTCTTCAACTGTAGAATGGATGCGTACCAAGACACATTGTACGTCCAAACGCATCGCCAGTTCTATCGCAACTGTGTCATTTCCGGCACAGTTGACTTCATCTTCGGTGACTCACCAACACTCATCCAGAACTCTTTGATCATAGTGAGAAAGCCTATGGACGGCCAGCAAAACACTGTGACTGCTCAGGGAAGACAGGACAAGAGGGAAACCACAGGCATTGTCATCCAGAACTGCAGGATAGTCCCCGAACAGGCTCTGTTTCCAACGAGGTTCAAGACTAAGTCATACTTAGGGAGGCCATGGAAGACATACTCAAGGGCTGTGATCATGGAATCAGAACTAGGAGACTTCATACAACCAGCAGGGTGGCTAGAATGGAGTGGCAACTTTGCACTTGATACTCTGTATTTTGCAGAGTATGGGAACCGGGGTCCGGGGGCTGTGACCAACGGAAGGGTGAGATGGAAGGGATTTCATGTGATCCGGAACAGAAATGAGGCTCTTCAATTCACTGCAGGTCCTTTTCTATTGGGTGACCAGTGGTTGAGAAACACAGGCGTGCCTTACTTCACTGGTTTGAAACATTAGCTCATGATATCCCATTTCAGCCCAATTAACTACTCATCATGAGACATGAAGATGAGGAGGATTAGCTGCCTCATTGATTTGAATTGAAATAAACAAGTTTAATCTGAAGATGGATGGATGGATGTTTGGATGAGAGAGAGGATGGCGCTGTTGATTGTCACCCCCCGCTAGTGATAACAGATAAGGAGCCCTTTTGTCCCTGCGCATTGTTTGCATATTGCTGTATGTATCTGTACAGTTTTTCAGTACCTTTTTGCATAGCATTTTTATGTACCCAAATGCCCTTTCTCTGTATATACATTTCATCATAGTAAACACATATGCTTTGCTTACTTATCTTCTTCCCCATGGAAGACACATCCTTGAACTGATATAGGCAAAGCACATTGTTTTTCATTTTTCTCTTCTTTCTTGTAAAAAGGAGGCCAAAATGAGAGTTAATTTTTTTTTTCTTGGTGAGATCCAGGATTTTATATTTTAGGGCAAAAATGTGGTGTACAAGTAATAACCCTTTCAGTGAAAAATGATTGAGCCATTTTGTTTGTCAGCAAACCCATATGACATATAGTTCGACCAAAAAGAAAAACCCTAATCGGGCAAATATGAAGCCCTGCTATATTCCAATATTTGTTTGGTCAGAAACCGGTAAAATTCAAGACTTCATTGGCATCTTTTCTCCTTTTCTTCTCAAAATATTGCCATGCAGAAATGCCCTTCCTCTCTCTAATTGAAAACTTATTATATTATATATATGGTGGACGGAAGCACAGGGATGCATGCAGTGCACTCGTGCATATGACATATCCTTCGTGTTAGGAAACTTGACAACTCAAAAATAAAAATAAAAGGAAACGCAGGGGTGGCTGGGAATGCGGCTGCGCAAAACTGAAATTTGATGACAAGATGAGCATCATGGCACAGAGCATAGATTAGGCAGGAAACAGAGAAACCATGGAAGATGATGTAAAAGAAGGTTCAACTCAATTGAGTTTTGAACACTCAGTGATGTAAAAAGGAACATAGGTCAATTCATCATTCAATCGGCCGCAGATCAAACGACTTCCATAATACAGTCATGTGAAGTTGTCGGCATGCACACACAGAACTCTGCGCAAGAATAGGTTTTAATCGAAACCTTACGAATAAGAACCATATAGCAATTCCGACCAAAAAAAAGAAAAAAAGAGAACCATACAGCAATGTAATCTTGAGCTTTAACCAGACAAATGGGTTTGTAACCATGAAGTTGGCACAACAGAGCATAAAATTTTAAGCTTTATGCAAGCACCTACAAAATGAACTAGAAAGAAGAATGTTTTGTATAACTAATAAAGATCTGGAAGAGCACTGTAACAAGAGAAAATTCTGAATGAATTGGAACCATAACAGGAAACCCAAAGTCATATCACTACCTGATATGTCTTTCAGGAACTTGACTCAATAAAGCATTAGTAACAAGAGAGTTATCATTTTGCATTCAAAACAAGACGGCAAAACTTGCAAGATGCAAGGAACAAGAATTAGACTCATTTTAGGTCAGTGTGTAGATGAAACACCAACTTTGAAGTTCTGATAAACATGTCATCTTTCTAGCATCTCCTTGAATAGCACCGAAATCAGGACAAAATGCATTTGCACACAAGCAAGCAAGGCCATCACACATATTGGGTAAAGCTTCATAGCCAAGGAACCACAAAATATCTCATGCTAATTGGGAAACGAAGTGTATGCAAGGGGAGAAAACAGAGAATTACAAATGCAATTTCTGATTATGGCAAAGAAGGACAATGTAGATACAAAGGGGCCCAGAGAATCATCAGCTTGGGAAAGTAAACATCGTCTCTGCAAAAGTTCAAAGGGCGGCCGCGTAAAAATTTAAAAAAAGAAAAACCAACAGCAACTAACAAAGAGACTCACAGATTGCCAGAAGACTGTGTAGAAGTTCAAGCTGAAGCTAAATAGCAAGAGCTGAGCATCATCAAATAATGAAAAGAAACTTAACCTACGAACCCATGAAGAAGCTCAAGCTCCTTCCTTCATCTCAAATCAGTCTTCTTCCATAGGATCCGCATGACTGGTTTTCAACCCATTACTTCCCTCAGGCTCAGAAATCTTGGGCACCACTTGAATTGGCCCAGGACCCTCCAATTTGGGCTTCGCGTTGAGGCTCTCAGGCGCCGAAACAACGCCTCCACTCTTCGAATCCTTCTCCTTTTCCTTATTGACAAGAGACGTGAGTCGTTCCAAGGCCTCTCTGGCCTTCTTTTTCGCCACGACGGCTTCCTTGACCCGGCGCTCGGCGTCAACCCTGGCGGCGACGGCAGCTTTGGTCATCAAAGCCGCTGCGATCCTGGCGGCGGCAACGAGGGCCTTGGCGGCGTCCTTGTCGATGACGACTGTCGTTTTGGCATCTTGTCCATCGTTTTGGCGGGTGAGGTTGAAGAAGGAGAAGGTGGGCTGGGAGCAGGGAGGGCACTGGAAGCTGCGGAAGGAGGAATTGGCTGCGACGCAGGCAGAGTGAGAGATGGAAGGGCACCGGACGCACATGACCTGGTCACGCGCCGGAAGGGGGTGCTCGAAGAAGTCGAGGCAGATAGGGCAGAAGAGGCCTGGGTTGTTCTTGAGGACGCAGTTGGTGCAGAGCTTACGAAAATGTCCTCTGTGGCGGACGTAGTGGAGGAACCACCGCTCTGTGGAGCCGCAGACGCCGCAGAGTCGCTTCTCGAGGTCGGGTTGGTCTCGCTTCATTGCCATTGAACTCGCATTTGAATGTGAGATTGGAGGGTCAGGATTATTGGGTAACGGTAACCCTAGGAGGAGGAGGAAGAAGAAGAAGAGGGAGGTGGAATTTAGGGTTTTTTTTGGGTACGAAATGGGGCGAGGAGAAGACGAGGTTCAGAGCCGAAACTTAATAGCAGCAAATTCTTTAGGAGGCTGGTCAATAAAATCATCGATTGGGTTTTGGTTTTTAAGTCTACGAGTGTTTGACACTTGACTGTTTGCGTTTGAATGCAAATTTGGCAAAACTCCAAAAGCAAAAGCCCTTTTTCTGCTTTTGCATTTTTCCTTCTTCCTTTTAATGCTTTTAATCCCATCCTGCACGCAAATACCAGAAAGAACAGAACTAAAAATCCATAGCATGACAAATTGATTCCATTTTCTTCTTTTTTGAACCTTTTCTTCTGTATCTTGCAACAATTCATTTGAGTTTAGAAGCCTCTTCTATTGGAAAAGTATCAATGCTTTTCAACTGGTTCAAAGCACAACCATGCTAAGTCAACAATTTCATGTCAGCCACATTTATTTCAAAACATGGTTCCAACAAAAAAAACCATTGTCGGTCAGTATTCAATTCTGAGGTTGAAATGAACTCAATTATATAGATATTACAACCTCTGCGCCTGCATTCCTCTAACAAAATCAACTTTAAAGGAAAAAAAAAAACATATTCAACACCCTCAGACAGGTCTTTATAACCCTAAAGCCAGCATGCTCTTTGCATCATCAAAAAGGACGTGACCGCAGTGTAGTCAATTAGGCTGAACAAAACATCCTAGTTCCTCACGGGATTTCAGATTACACTCCTGCTTAATCTGCCACCATGAATGGATCTACCTCTCCAAGATCAGCAACCAGTGGTTCTAACTTGGTTGCATCCTCGTCCTCCGGAGCAAAGTAAGTTGGAAATGGTAGCAATGAAATATCAGGTTTCTTGTAGAAAGCATCTCTTATGAACACAAAGTTCCCTTCAGCACCTGGGACCTGTGAGAATAGACAACATCCATTTGAGTAACACAAAACCAGGATTAACAATACAACATACTGACTTCTGAAGAGGATTAAGACCAATAATCGTATGGCTTTTAAACTGTGCAGTTGTGAATGTGTGTATCAGCAATTTCATTAAACCAACCAAAATCCTCTACCCGGCACAAAACCCTTCATTATACATTCTTTTCCCCTGAACATTATTAACACTTATGAAGACCATTAAGCTCATGAAACTACTGTTGAATAAGATTCAAAATGCATTCACTTAAGGTCATCAGTGTGCAGGTAATTGAAGAGGGCCGTGGATAACCTCCTCCTTTTCCATCCAATTTTGAGCACTTAATTCAGAAAAGTAAAGTTTGTGAGGAAATCTTACTTGGCCTCTCACCCACATCAAATTCCTTGCAGGATCAATTTTGTAGACCCATACATTTTTTACTGTCCTCTGTTTCCCACCCATGCGCCCAGCCATCTTTTTGCCTTTAAATACCTGTTCATACAAACATATGATTGTCACAATTACAATTTACAACCTAATGGAACTAGAATGCATCTGGAAATATTCAGAAATTTTGATTCTTGAAACATAATTATAGCAAACCAATGAAGAAATTTACAGAAAACATTTATTGAACTTTCCAGACCACACAAATGCGACAGTGTTTACTCATATAGGGGGAAAAGATAAACAGGTTAAACACAATAGTATGTAGAAAGTCAATGCAATGTAGCATTCCGAGAACAAACAAATGAGCAACAGATTATTTGACAAAATTAAGCCATCTCATTTGAAGCCAAAAGATTTGGTTATACTGATTTTCCAAAAGAGTTCATGGGAATAGTTTAAGGAGATTTGGATCCCATACAAACCTTTCCAGGAGCATCCCTCTGACCTGTAGAACCAATACTTCGGTGTGACAAGGATGCACCATGAGATGCTGGCATTCCTTTAAAACCATGCCTTTTCATCCCGCCCTGAACACAGAAAATAAAAATGATACATAATATTTCATCATCTAAAGAAAGTATTACTTTTTTTTTCACTGTAGTAGATTCATAGATTGGATTCTTAATACAAGGATTTTCTTTTTTTTGCTTGAAAAAATATATACAACCACAGGATAGACCAAAAAATGAGGATTAGGAAATTAGTTCACCTGGAAACCTTTCCCTCTCGTAATTCCTGTGACATCAACATATTGGCCTGGAACAAAATGGCGAACACCAATTGACATACCGACAGGGAGAAGTGCATCCTTTGTTACAGGAAACTCCTTCAGTTTCCTCTTAAGTGGAACACCTTGAGCTCTGAAATGACCGACCTCAGACTTTGTCAAATGTTTTGCTTTCTTCTGTCCGCAACCAATCTAACTAGCACCACAACAGAATACCATCCTATAATTAACCCGTGCCCTTGAATTTTTTTGAAAATATAAATTTTCCCTCTGTTTAATTACCAAGAAAAAATCAATATGATCAATGTTGGCAAAACAGAAGAAAAAGAAAAAACAGATGCAAGAACCAAAGGAAAACACTTCCAAAAAAAGCACTTGGAATTTCAATATAAATTTTGTTGCGCTTCTATCAAAAACACTTTCAACTAAAGCACTTCTAAGCAAAAGTGGTTCCTACACTATCACTGCCAAATTGGCCTGTCATATAATTAACAAAACAGAAGGAAAACAAATCACAAATTATGCGCCCTCGGTGACAACGAATTTTGAAATTTATGAGCATCCCATTCATAGAAACCCCTTTTACTGTAACAAAACTAACAAGACCTTTCATACATGCCCGGCAAGAGATGCGTATAGCTTCAAATTGTAAAGCACAACTGAAGCCACCAAATAATAAACTCCAGATGATCTGACTAATGATAAATTGCCAAGTAGTCTGGTCTCTAGACAGGCTTTTTGCAGATTTAAAACCGCTAAAATGGAGTAAATATTGCTTTAGTTGAATAACAAAATCATAAAATCAGTGTGTGCCCAAATGTTAAGTTGTATCCGCTCCAGAGGACTGAACGCATATCGTCTCTCCAAACTCTGAAAAATCTAAACTTTGGAAATTTCATAACCTATAGAGCTACAGGGATATTATAAATCAACCCACGAATACAAAAAAAGTTTAACAAAACAGTAACCAGACAAAATCAAAATGAATTCGTCACAAACAGAGCAAAATGAAGAGAAAAAAGGTTACCTGTAGAGCAGGGAAGCCCTCTTTCTCGGGGGTCTTGACCTGAGAGACGATATTATCATCGACCCAAAGCACAGTGATGGGAACCCTAGCACCCCATTTGTCCCAGCGCGCAGTCATCCCACACTTGACGGCTACGAGCCCAGTCCTCTTTGAGCTTGGGCTCATCGCCCCAGGCTTGGCTTCGATGACGCGGCTCCGCTCCTCGGCGACCTCAGCCGCATCAACCAAGGCCTCGGAGCTGAACCATCTGTAGAAATGGTACTGAGTTTGCGTAAACGACGTCGTAGCATTAGCATTAGCAGCAGCAGCAGCAGAAGAGGTGGTGGTGGGGTTAAGGGAGAGAAGGCGAAGGCGAGAAATGAGGCCTCTTGATAAGGCCGACATGGCCGCAGTGAATCTAACAGTCTTATTGGATTGATGGGTTTGATGGCATGGCTGATTGGCTGTGAAACCCCACAAGAGGTTGCAGAGTTTTCGAATGGGGGCTTTGGCTAGGGTTTAGGACTTGAGGGAGAGAGACGGGGTATAAGTTTCACTGCATTCGAGTCCACCGTGTTCCAGCAAGCGTATCTTGACACGTGTATCACATCAGTTTAAAGGGACGACGTCGTTCTTGTCCATTTAAAGGCAAAATGTAATTTTCAGTCCTTATAGTTCACATGTTTTATTACTTTGGCCTATGTAGTTTTAAATATCTCGCAATTCAAAGACGCATTATAAATTCTATCAAATTCATTAATTAATTTTGTCCAAAATATTTATTCACGTCAATGACACGTACTTAAGGCTCGTTTGAGAATGTTTCTGTAGAAAAAACTTCTATTCATAAGTGCTTTTAAAAGTGTTTCTACTAGAAAAACGTCAAAAAAATTTATTGAAAATCCAAGTGCTTACGTTGAAGAAATATTTATAAGTATTTCTACTAAACGCTATGTTTTTAATTGTCATGAAGCACTCTAAAACAGACCCTTACTCCATCATAAAATTGAACGGAAATTTAAATGTGTTCTTGAATTGAACTATAGGGATCCAATTGAGATAATTTACATCACATGGATAAAAGTGAAACCACCAATAAACTATCAGGACCAATAGTGACTTTTTACAAGTTTAAGGAGGATAAAGTTGATAAAATTACAAGCATATCCTTATATTGTCCTGCTCACTGTCTGTCTACTTCTCTTTACCTCTCCACCACGAACAAAGCAGAGACATAAGCATGGAGCTTCCATCTATGGAGCTTTACTGTCCACGTCATCGTCTTCGTCTTCTTCATCAGGAGCCAATACCCAAAACCCATCACCGTACTGTACGGATAGTCCCGGGTACTGTGACCCTGCAGAGATGTTGTACTCAGCGAATTCGAAGACTGGGTTTCTTGAAAACTCGGTCGTTTCTGCTGGAACAGACAGGAGGGAAGATGGTGGTTGAGCTGGTGGGGGCATTCAACGAGCTCACAGAGAGGATGGGGATGCTCTCCAGCAGTGGGTCCCAGTTACTCTTCAAGGCTCTCAAGCTCTCCATTCCTCTGCTTCACGCTTTGCCTCTAACCTCAGATGGTCGGTCCTCGCTCTCCAGGGCCTTGTCTATTTCTCTCCTTCTCGCAGACCTTCAGGTATGGACTTTTTTTTCAATATCTGGACCTTCAGTTATGTAATTTTGATGATACCATTAATGGGTTTTCAGTGAATTTGATTGTTGCAGATGGATGCTGAAGTTATCTCAGCTGGGATACTCAGACCAGTTGTGGAGGCTGGTGCAATTTCGATTCTTGATGTTAGAAACCAGATTGGTACTGGCACTGCCCATTTATTGCATGAAAGCTTGCGGGTCATGAAGGTCCCTTCTAAAGTTGATGTCTTGGATGATGGCAGTGCTGTTGCGCTGAGAAAGTTCTGCTTGACGTACTATGATATGAGGGCTGTGATTTTAGATTTGGTCCTCAGGCTTGACATGATGAGACATCTTGGTTACCTCCCAAGGTATCAGCAACAATCGATTTCTCTGGAGGTTATGAAGATTCACGCACCTTTAGCTCACGCTGTTGGGACCAATTGGCTGTCACTGGAGCTGGAGGATCTCTCGTTTCAGTACTTGTTTCCCCATTCCTACCTTTATGTTGATACATGGTTGAAAAGTCATGAGAGTGGAAGTAAGCCTCTGGTTGATGTTTACAAGGAACAGCTCTTGCAGTCTTTGAGAGTTGATCCTTTGTTGGCAGGCATGGTTGTTGATGTTTCAGTTGATGGTCGGTATAAGAGTCGGTTTAGCACCATGAAGAAGCTGTTGAAAGATGGTAGGAAGCCAGAGCAAGTACATGATGTGTTAGGATTGAGAGTCATTTTGGAGCCTAGGAGTGGCAAAGATATGGCAGAAGTAGGGGAAAGCGCTTGTTACAGGACGCGTGAAGTTGTTCGATCTTTGTGGAAGGAAATGCCTCATAGGACAAAAGATTACATTGCCAGGCCCAAGACAAATGGGTACAGGAGTTTACATATGGCTGTTGATGTTAGTGACTGTGGCAAGAGTAGACCATTGATGGAAATACAAATAAGGACTAAGGAGATGGACATGTTGGCAGATGCTGGAACGGCATCCCACTCCTTGTACAAGAGTGGTCTTACAGACCCAGAAGAGGTTGTTTGATATATGCCCTTTATGAATGCTAATTTTGAATGGTTGTCCTTCGCATTAAGCTTGTAAATGTACTTGAAATGGTTTATATTCGCCTGTTATGTGACTTACAATCACTTGTTGATGATGATCAGGCAAAGCGACTCAAGGCCATAATGATGGCTGCAGCTGAATTTGCGGCATTGCGTCTTCAAGATATTCCATCCATGAATCATGAAGGTATTGAGACGGAGCAGAGTCAGAGCGATCGAGTATTCCACCTTCTTGACAAGAATGGAGATGGTAGGATCAATATTGAGGAACTTATGGAGGTGATGGAAGAGCTTGGTGCCCCAGGGGAAGATGCACGTGAGATGATGCAGCTCCTTGATGCAAATAGTGATGGTTCACTTAGCTCAGATGAATTTGATTTGTTTCAGAGACAGGTAAAGATTGCTGTATTTCACATTCAAAGTAGTTAGCCACGAAAACTTGTATTAAAAGGACTATCGGATTGATGCGCCACTTCTTCGAAATTTTTTGGTGGACCATTATTTTGTACTTTATTTCATGTTTATGGAACGCCTTATCTACATTAATTATCTGAACTACAGTTAGCTTCTTGCCGTTCACATTACTTGTTAAAGACATTGATTCCTGTAGGCAGTTGTATTTGAATGATTTTTTTTTTCTTCCTATATATGCAGGTTGAATTTATGCGTAATTTCGAGGACAAAGATGAGCTGTACAAGGCCGTATTGAATGAGAAACTTCAAATTGCCGACAGTAGCAGCTTGATCCAGGTGTCTGGTGAAGATCTTAGCAGAAGGCTTGGAAATTAGATCTGCTTGCATCTGGTTGAAGAGATATCTGTAGTTACTCTCATTCACCATGTAAATAGAAATATTTGAACTGTATATACCAAATTTCTCTTGTAATGATGTAAGATATTATTGTTCGGGGGGTCTAATGTTGTAGAACCTGTTGGTTCCTAAAGAAAGAATAGCCAGATATAGTATCCTAGGTGTGATGTATATGTAATTAGCTATCCAACATGGCATTTTCTCTCGTGATTATAATAAAGAATGTATAGCATCCTTACAAGCTATTGTCTTTGTGTTTCAGTAGAGAAATTTATTAGATGGTCCGTTAGTGAGTGATGGAGTCAATTATGGTGGTTGTGAAACTAGTCGAAAGTGGTGGAAATAGCAGCAATCTTCATGTTTACGTTTTCGGAAATTTTGAATTTGTGTTGATACTTCTCTCCAGGCCCTACTATTATTAGCAGAGCCACCCAAAAATGAGTGAAAACTCTGGTCAAGCTGCTCAAGAGGTCTCCTCCGTGGAGATGGAGTTTGACGACCTATGTCGTGAGCAAGATGTGCAAGAAGCAATCAAAAAACTAGCTGATCGGCTGAACAAGTTCCAGGTAAATGTATACTAGATCATGTCTTTTGAAAATTTGTTCTTTGAAGAGATTAGACAACTCTAATGGGGCCTAAAGATTCACACTTTCCTGAATTGAGCTTACCAAACACAGGACCCTTCATTACTCTGCAAGATCTCAAGCTCTCCATTCCGTTACTCAGCACCTTGCCTCTAACTCGAGATGATGCAGAGATGGTTCTCTTAGCTCAGATGAATTTGATTTGTTCCAGAAACAGGTAAAGATATCTCTCATAATGGAAGTACTTAACCACAAAAGTCATATAGAAAGTTTTCTCTTTGCCTTCTTTTTCTTTGCGGATCACCTTGTCTACACCTTTTTAGGAACCTTCTCTACATGTATTATTTGAACTAATGTTAGCTTTTTCCCATGCGCACCACTTGTCAAAGACATCGATTTTCTGACAGGTAGTTTAGTCTGAATGATCTTATTTGTCTTCCTATCTCTGGCAGGTTGAATTTGTGCGCAATTTTAAGCACAGAGATGAGCAGTACAAGACCGTGTTGACCGAGAAACATCAACGTGCAGACAACAGCAGCTTGATACATAGTGGAGATCTTGACAGCAGCCTTGCAAATTAGATTTGCTTGCATCTGGTTGAAGGGTTATTCGTAGTTACTCTCATTCACCATGTAAATAGATCAATTCCACTGTATATGCTAAAATACTTATGTAGGTTATCATTGTCAAGAGGTCTAATGTTTTAGAACCTGTTGCTGATCCCAAAAAAATAGCCAGACGTCTATAAAATATATGAGGTGTGACGAATCTATACAAACCTCATAGACAATAGTTGTTGAGTCAGAAAATAATAATGATTACTTAGAAAATTTGAGTTAGCTTTTAAGTTTTTTCCTTACAAATACGAAATAACTCGGACTATTTATCTAGTGGTTTTTGTCTTTCTAATGTTGGAAGATGTTCCAAGTTCGAATCTCTCATTTCCTGTAGATGAAAAAATAAAGTATCAAATGATTCTCGCAATCAAAAATATATTTCACATCTAGTCGAGTCTTACATATTAACACTAAATACATCCAAAACTGAAAATTTACATAAATCGTAATATAGGATTCTATACTATCTACATCTCTCCAAGGCTTAAATACCATGTTGTTTGACTTTGCAAAGAACATGGTTTTCACACTTGGCTAGTCAACAACCCTTGGCTTGCGGGAACACCTAAATCATTTGATAGCTTTTCACACAACTGCACATAGCAAAAGAAAATGATTTTAATTCCTGAAATAAGAGAGAGACGGGGGACTTGCAGATAGGACTGTAAACAAGCTGTGCACCATTCAGAAGAATATATACCTGTCTATATGCAGAAGAATCACCATATGACTTTCTTATTTCTACAACAAATAAAGATGGGCTTATCTCAAACACCTGATGCAATTATGGAGACAACTATCAGTTAAAATTCAAGTTATAAAATTGTCACAGAGGAAGGATTAAACATTGAAAGGGAAAGTTTATGTGGTTAGAAATTAATTAAAATGCATGCCAGGCACAAATATTTTGTCAGGAAGAAAACCCTCCAAGAGTTTGAAATGAAATACCTCTGCTGCAACTGATAGACTACCCATACTTCTCTCCCCTTTGTGCTCTTGCATCACTTTTAACTGAAATGTTGGACATAAACGAAACCATATTTCAGTCAATATTGCATTGACGAAGGAAACATAAATTATACCAGTTATCATTGCAACTTTAATATTTCAGGACGTGAGTCGAAAATGAGGATATAAAGCTACTAACCCTTCCATTTTTCTTCTGGACACAATATCCCATCTCTAGTACAATTTCTTCAATCTTTTCAAGCAAATCTTTTTCAGAGTGGTTGGATGTAAATCTGATCTTCCTCTCAGACACATCCTAAATTAACCCACAATCAGAAAGAGGTTTCAACTTCAGTAATAGATAATGAAATACTTAATGCCAAACAAAGAAGACAAAAATCGTTTTACAAAGTAAGCTTTTGCCCTCACCTCTTTCTCAAAGAAGCCGGAGAGGTCTAGACACGAGGACATTCCAATCAACTGAAAGGCATTTATATGGGTGTGCGAGTGCCGGGCGTCTGGACTCCTCTCCCCCTCAGATGGCTATACCAAAAGGTAAAAGAAACGGTTCACAGTTAGCATAAAAGAAATTGAAAGATGTACAAAAAAAGAACGGGTAGGGAATGGACATGAATTGCATATTCATACCACTTCATTTATTGAGAAAGCTTCATCATCAACGTTTATATCTTCTTCTTCATCATCGGGATTCGCAGGAGAGTAATCCTGCTTGAACCATGCATCTGACTTGATGCCTGTCATTGTTATTCTGGTAACAGGGTTGGGATCAAGAATCTTTTTTATCAAGTTCTTTGCACCAGGTGATAGCCATGTGGGTATCTGAACTTCACCCTTCAAGATCTGAAATCCCTCTAAAAATGTTAGCATCAAAGTGAAGGAAATGCAAATAATAATAAAAATTCTTCATTCCTAAAGCCATACAACAAAACACAAGAAAATCAAAGAGAGTTGTTGTCAACACCTTTTGATAGAGAACTGCAAGATTTCTATCATCGAAAGGGAGAAATCCGGTAAGAATGACGTATAAGATGACACCACATGACCATATATCAGAGGTGGCACCATCGTACCCTTTATTAGCAAGAATCTCAGGAGCAACATAGTTGGGGCTTCCACAGGTTGTATGAAGCAACCCATCTTCCTGATATATCAGACAGAATTAAAGGGTTAAGTTATTAGATACCAAACTTATCACTTAAAAAAGTTTGGTTTGGAAGAGTAATGTACCCTAAAATGCTGGGGCAAAGCACTGAGGCCAAAGTCTGATATCTTTATGTTCCCCTTGGCATCAACAAGAACATTTTCCAGCTGCAACCAAAAACATACAAAACTTGTCATGCAAGAAAGAGCGAGCAATTGAAAACCATCTGCAGCTTTTTGCTGAGTCCTTAGTTTCACAAAGTTTTTCTTAAAAAGAAAGGACGTACCTTCAAATCCCGATGGAAAACGCCTTTGTTGTGGCAGTAGCTCACACCATCAATCAACTGTTGGAAGAGCTTCCTGCCTTCAGCTTCTGTAAGTTTTCCCTTGTGTGCCTGAAACACAGAGTAACTTATTAGTATCATCAACTATTCAACTTCCTGCCTTGTGAAACAAAAAGCTGTGCATTAGAGTAAGAGCTCCTTACAATTTTGTCAAACAATTCTCCTCCAGTAACATATTCTAGGACCATGTAAATCTTGGTTTTGCTTGCCACAACCTGCAAGATAAACATAATAAGCAGGATTAATACAAAGCATTGTTGTCCATGGCATTGAAAGTCCTAATACCAATGATGAGAACAGAGAGAGAAAAAAAATCTAGTTCACAGTTTACAGCATGGTAAATAGATCAAAGATCGAACCGATAACAGCACTAATTATGCTAATGGTTGGGATGTGATTTTTATTTTTATTTTAATTTTTTTTATCAACGACACCCTTAATATTATTTACAAGGTACTGTTTTGTTGAATACCAAACAAATTTGATGACATTTGTTGACCAAGGGGACACATTGAATTGAGTTCGAATGCTTTTACTGAATCAAATCAAAATGTGTTCCATCCACCTTCGTAGAAAGGCAAACCAAGACCAGTTCTCTGCATCAACAAAACCCATATTCTAAAACTCCACATATATAATTCATAGTCATCACCACCATCCTTATCCAAAATTATCACTTTCCATTCTTCTTTCTTATTAAAACTATTTTTTTTTCCCTAAATATATTATATATTTCTGTCTATATGACTGATTCATCCTACGATTCTATTTAAAGAAACCCTAATGGATGCTAAAATTAATTAAGGTGCTTAATGAATATACCATACGCAACTAACTTGAAGAAATCATTTTCATTTTAGGGGACAATTGACAAAGGCATGGCCCTCCCTTGGTGACCACAATGAAGACCATATTAATTATCTTAGTCTTATCCACCAAAATGGTATCATGGGTGGGCCCATTCTTAATATATGCTTGTTGAAGTGAGGTCAGGTCACTAAGTCCATGCAAACTGCAGCAGAGATAAGGTATATATACCATTACTATATACACGTGGCTAGGTTGGACTGGTTGATGGATCCCCTTAACAGAGTCATATACACAAGAAAATATCTCAATAACCAAAAAAATTTTTTTTTTTTTTTTTTTTTTTTTTTTTTCCCAACCAAATTTTTTTTAATTAGGGTAAAAGTATATTAGGGTGATTGATCAAATCATCCCGAGTAAGACCTCATGAATAAAGCAATCCGTGCAAACCGCGACATGAACAAATAAATCAAAGTTAATATATCATAAATATCGTGTTCGAATGTGTGGTTCAGATTCAGCAGATCGCGTAGAATAGAACGGTAAACGAAAATCTAGAAAGTGTTTTTGTTATACGCTACCTTTATTTGAGGAAACGATAAGCAAAATGGGGTAGTATGTGTCATGTGACGCGTTATTGAAGTGATTAGCCAAGTAAAAAATTAGAAAAGTTACCACAGTAAAAAACAACTGGTGCTTGCTAGCACCAATCCCAAAACAAAACAAAACAAAAACAGCTCCATGAGGTTGTCATTATTAGAAATTAGTGGGAAGAGATTATGGTAATTATAGTGATAATTAGGGGTCATGATTCATGGATTAGACAGTAATGGACAAACAAAAACGCTGTTAATAATAACAGAGCTCTAGAAGCAGCGAAGCAATGCATACCTCGTGTAATCTGACAACGTTGGGATGTTTCAGGAGCTTCAAAGTGCCAATCTCCCTTTTTATCTGCAATTTTTTTTTCTTCTAAAATTGTGTTATTGTGTTGTTCAAAACAAAACAAAACGTCCAAAACTCAGAAAAATTTTAAAAAAAATTCATGAATGTCAATTTCAGTTTGGATTGAACACTGCCCAGAAAACCCCATTAATGAAAGATTAAAACTCTGAGGAAAAAATTAAACAATAATGAATGGTTGAAAGAGAAAAACGGAACCCATCAATGAAAGATTGAAACTTTGGGCAAAAAGACTGACCTGGTCTGTGATCTTGAGATCAATGATTCTGGTTTTCTCGAGGATCTTAACAGCGAAGGGCTGGCCAGAAACGACGTTCTTAGCAAATTTGACTTTGCCGAAATTGCCCTCACCAAGAGTCCTTCCAAGCTCGTATTTTCCCAGTCGCATTCCCTTGTTACTGCAATTGCTCGCGTTCTTCTTCTTGTCCACCTCCTCCTCTGCACCTTTTCTTACCATCACCATGTAATGACACGTTTGCTCTGGTTTCCGTGAAGGAAGAAGAAGACCACTTGCTGCTGCTTCTTAATTTTCTGTCTTTATATATAGAAATGATGGCCTCTTGGATTGAAACGTTTGAATTGAGAAAGTATCAACGATTCGAAACGTAACGCAAATTCTATAAAAACTATAACAAAAACAAAAAGTCCAAGTCCAACTGGGTGAAACAGAGACGCACTTGGGAATTTGCAATCAAATAAATGAGCTCCCTTTTATTTCTAGGCCACGCCTTCTCTCTCTCTCCCTCTCTCTCGGAAGCCTCTCTATCTATATATTTATATATGCAAAGATAATGAGTTGAAAACCTCCACTTAATGTATGTACTAATAACACATGTGCATACATGTATAGGAGAAGACAGAAGGAGGTTGGGGTGGGTTGAAACTGTAATTAGGGTTGACCGTGGTTAAAACAAGTTGTTTTCATCCCCATAAAAACAAAGCTTCACTGTGAACTGGAAATTCCACGGTTTTTTTCGATAATCGGCTTTATCTTTTAGAAGGTAAACTTCCTTTTCATCTACATTTCGGATTTCCTAACACATGTTATGTTTCAGTTCGAATCTAAATTTATCTTGTGAGTCGTGACCCGACTTTGTTGCGTTGTTATTATTTAATTAAGATCAAATTAATCCTGGTATACATATACGTAATACATCATAGTCAAACCATTAATCGTAGTATATATTACTCAAATTTCCGGTTATAATATTTGAATAAAATATAAACATCCAAGGTGTTTGGATTACCACGGATGTATGCGTGTATGGATAAGGGGGACATGACGACCATAATTTTCTTACCTTTTTCAGTCTCCTTTGCTATTAGCCACATTTTTTTTTATAGGCTTCTCAATGACCATCGAGGGGTCCATTTTCTCATATCATCTTTCTCGCCCACAAAAGCCTCCCATGCATTCTGAAGCCACCACGGGCCTCTAAGCCTTAATTTTATACCACAATTTCAACTATATATTACAAGAAAAAGTATTACAACTAAGCATTTTTATTAAAGTAAATACGTGTCAGGTGTGTAGTTGCGTCAAGCCGATCATGTGAGCATGGACCCTCTACTTTTTTGTTTTTTTTGTTTTTATCTAAAACGTTATTTGTGATTTGTAATTTTTTATGAATTAACTACATTTTAGTCCCCAAAAATTTAAGGTCAGTATCGAAATGGGTCAAATACCAAAGCTTTACATTGAGTAAATTATGGGTAACAATTACATGAAACGGGAATGATATTATTTTGTTATTTTCAATCAATCACAATATGTCACGTATGATAACTTTTTCATACGATACTCTATAATTGGTAAGAAATAACAAAACAGCATTATCCCTGTTTTATAAAAATATTTCTCTTATAATTTAATGTATTTATAAAAAGGTGTTGAGCTAAGATGGTTGAAATTGGCGGTCTATATTTTTGGACTGCCCTTACGTGGCTACGATTTTTGTCACTGCTTAAAAACTATGACACTCGTGTTTTATGTATGGCTGCTTTTTACTATAGATTTGACGGGTTACCTATCTACTTTAAATTATGAATTGACTTCCTGTTTTTAGTGTCAATAATGGTAGCTGCTGGGTCATATGGCTCAACGAAAAGCATCTTTACTTTTTCCTATATACGAAGAAACCAAACATTTCGTGCTCTCACAAGGTTAGCTATGATTTGGTGGGGAAATTTTTAGTGTTATTGTAATACTGTTACGTGGTGTTATCAATTCATTTATATTATAATGAGAATAGATGGAAATAAATTTATTGATATTATAATACGTGAATTATTAACATCACATGACAATTTTGCAGTCCAATAAAATAATTTTTTGATCTCGACACAACTTAATACATTAAGCAACAATTATTGACAAGATCAGATCTTGACCATAACAGGATGAACAGTTGTGATGGAAACACTTATTATAAACATATCCATGACATGATCGTTTTCCTCCCAAAATGTTAGTATATTGAGAAAGAGGGGGAAAAAATAATGAGAAAATTGTTGTGTGTGTTTAGGATGTAGAAGAAGGATCCGAAGAATAATCAAAACCTAGAAAGAAAAGAACATGTCTTTTGCGTGTACTCGGCCAGCCACCCGCCCAATTGACATAATAATATGAAATCAGATCAAAATCATGAGATCATATGCCAGTTGCTTGGAAAGATGTTGCATACGGTAGGTGGAAATGGAAGTCATGGGGCTCACACCTTTATATGATTGGATTGGCATATATATAATTACCTAAATTATAGGTATGAAGCCATTGGGAGAAAAAAACAATACATAAACTTTTAGATTTCTTTTGGAAGTGGAAAGAAAAAAATGCACTCATTTTCAAATGATTTTATTGTTTTTTATATATATAGAATTTAATCTTATTTGTATGCGTCGTTTAAAATGAATGTAGGTATTGTACTCAATTACTAGTGTGGTGGTTTGGAATAATTGCTCTTCCATGCAAGATTCTGGGTTCGAGTCCTAAGATCCCTGTTATGTTGTGTGTGTGAATTTAGTATATTGTATTAAACCTTTTTCTAAATTATTTATTCCAAATCGAAGGTTGAAATTCAACCAACCAGAAATTATTTAATAGAGTACCACGTTTTGTTTTTGTTTTGTTTTTTATTTTATTGTTTTTTGAAAAAGTCATTTAAAAGATTAATAACTATTAGAAATTTTCTTGGCGGTTTCTTATTTTATTTATTCCCTTGTACATAAGGAACGTGACAAGTGACGATACTTCTGGTCCTACACATGTCAAACAACAATTTCTTTTTTTCTGTTCTTTTCTCCGACGGACAAGTTACATTGCACCACCATATTTGGTCTGTGCCGACCCACGCGCATTTCTCATTGTGGTTTGGTTTTATTTGAAAGCAAAAACATTACATACCAGAATAAGCATATATAATTTTCTTTGTCGCAGAGTTAAGTTATACTTGTTTACGAGGACAGTGAATCTATTTGCACTTTGTGCACTTCCACTCTTTCCTTTTTGCTTTTAGACTCCAAAAACAAAACCTTACAAAGGACAAGTTGTCATGGCAAGAAGTGACCAACGAAACTGGGCAAGCCCGAAGACAAGACTTGTATGGGCAAATTGATATCATGTTGACGTCAGCATAAAGTCAGAGACCAATTTAAATACTAAAATGGAAAAGAAAATCTTAAGGATTCGTAAACTAAACTAATTAAAGATCTTGCACATTTTCCTCTCTAATATGTCACTTCATTTGTCCATGCAGCTTTTGTTTTGTGTTCTTTTTCTCTTTTATGTTTTCCCATAATTCAGAGTGTAACATCGTTGGGGGAACTGCGGGTAAGCCGTTCTTTTTGTTTGTTAGCCTCAAAAGAGATAGCATAAGCTTTTCAGTCCAGAAGAATCGTTGCGTTGTTCAAGCTATGAGACAAGAAATATATTCAAAGCTAGCTCTCAGTTGAATAAAGAATTTCCGGATGCGTGCGGCGTGTTATGTATGACTTGGATTAAATCAAATCCAAAGGAACACGTTTGAAGCGTAATTTACGCATGTTTTCCATGGCAATTTGGCCTGCACATCATTTTCTTCACGACAAAATCCTCACAACTCTCACCAATAAATGGGATCCCAACAAAACCATTGATGCTTTTATTTATGATCGGGCATCTCTTTCATTGAATTATTGAAGGACTTTTTAGGAACTTCATAATTTATTCTATATTAGACAAAATATTCACTATAAGAAGTTGTGTTTTTACGGTACCAAATAATAACCTTTTAGATTTTTTTAATCTCAAATATGCATTAAAATACTTTTTTACTGACCAAATATGTTACATATGAAACTGTGATTTATTTGTAAGAAAGAATGACTCAAAGTATTATCAAACATGAAACTGTTACGTATAAAGACCGTAAAAATGCCCATTTAATCATTCTTATGTAACAATCTAATCATGGTGTATAGAATTGGGCATGAATTGAGCCACTAATGTCCTTTCACCCATTTAGTGAAGCCATCTTTGTCCAAGAAAATGCCATATACTTTCTTAGTTCACGGATCATATTCCAAGTGATTAAGAGCACTTCTAGCGCTACAAGTCAATTTGGGCAGAGGGGGCCTTATGCACTTCTAGTGCTTATGTGACACTTGGAATTGATGGTATAATGTAGGAAATAAATAGAAAACTCATGGAATTGACGGATTTATGAAGAGTACACCTAGGTGAAAAGGACTTATTATTTTTCAATGCTTTCGAATAGTTTTGATGAATTGGTTGAATGTATGAATGATTAGATGAATTTTCAAATGGTTTTAACAGTGGGGTTAGTATGTTGATATTATATTTTGCAAAACTTTCTTTTGTCCACTCACATTTTTAATGTTTTGCACCCCCAGACAGTAATCAAGTACCGGAACATCACCATCGGGCATTCATCACCCACCACTCATCTACTTCCATTATGTATGATATTCTATTGTAACCGTACTATTTTTGTAAATTAAATTAATTATTAGGCTATGATATTGCCATAGGATTTCTGTAAGGCCTGAGGCCACACAAATTTGATGTTGAATTATGGGTGCTCTAACATTGTGCATGTTGAACACTTGTAGATATATGAATTACATTTTGTACAGGAGTAAATTTTGGAAAACGAGCAATTTATAGGGGAGACTCTGCCGATTTTTTGGCAGTAGTCAAACCTTAAAAGAATGTTTGAGTTTGGTTTAAAGGGCAATTTGGTCAAGTGTTGTTGAAGGAAAGTGTGATCCTCCCAACATAATTTCACCATCACTAATTAATTAATGTGGTTTTATTATTTTAGGTTCGACCCATTCGAGACGTAGTCTCTTAATTACAATCTCTTACTTCAAGGGAACACCATTTAATTTTATCATAAAGAAACAGAACGTGTGTATTTGGTTTTGCGGCTGCTCATAAGTCGAAACTCAGGGTGCCTACGTATCCCCTGGGGGAATCAAGCCACTCGCAGTTCAAAGAATCGCAATGGATAAATGACTCATTTAGAAGGAAATTTGATTTGAATTGTATGGAGAAGCGTTTAAGTGAATTTAGTTTGAATAAACCAGTGATTCGATATGGAATTGTGTTTTGGACAGTTGCATTTAGATTGAATCTCTAGATTGCCTACGTACCATTTCAAAGGGATCAAACCAACATAGTTCGGATTTGATTTGTGTGAAAATAGATATTTGATTTTGTGGGAATTTGGTTGATATAACCAGTGATCCAAATTTGGTTGCGGTTGTGTCTATTGAGATGCTAGACTATTGTAGGGGACTTTTTTCTTCCTGCAGCTAACGGGCTGGGCTGCTGCAAAAGGTGGACTGAGGAGATTGCCCCTTTTCGTTTAGGTTCGAAAATTAAGCCTCAAAATACCTCGAAAGGGCAGCGAAACCTTAGGAGATATTTTGAGTAATCTTCACCAATGAGAATAATAGTGACTTACAGATAATTTTGGCATGCTTTCAGATGGTTTTTAGGCTCAGCATGAGTGGCATGAGGCATGGAGAGCAAAACCAACATGGGTTTAGCACTAAGAGAGAAATTAGGCTTGGTTTATGAGGAATGAAAGTGTTTAAGTAAGGAATGGGGTGTTTTGTGAGGAATTTTGGCTAGAGAAAGAGAAAAAGAGAGACAGGGTTCTTCCAGCAGCTACCAGAAGAACAAATTGGAGAAGAAGATGAACAGTGCATGAATCTAAGTTTTGCAAGATAGAGAGAAAAGCTTGCTCTCTGCAGGTTGTGAGTTGTGTTTGTTGGGTAGGGGAAGGCTCAATTTATAGCTGCCGGAAATCACCATTTTTCAAGAAACCCTAATGGCTCCTTCCTACTTTGGCTGAGCTTTTCTTCCTTTCTCCTCCCCTTCTCTGACTTCCCTTTCTTGGCAAAGATGGCTTCTGTCTATCTTCATGAATTTAGGAGATTTTGGGGGCTCAACATCCCTTTTCCCGCGGCTGTACAATGAGGGCTTCCACTCTTAGTTTGCTGTTTTTCTTCCTTTTCTTTCCTCTTCCTTGGCTGAATCTGATGAAAGGAAAGGTGGTGCAAATGTATGCTGGTCCAAGGGATGCTTCTGACAGCATGCAGGATGGTATTCATCGGTTCTTTGGATGTCTCTGGCTTGGGACTGGTTTCCAGCAGCTTACTTAAGGAGCCTGCCATCTACTTCACGTGTTCTCTGTTTTTCAAAAAAGGCTGAAGCTCTTGTGGGCCTTTTTTTGGGTTTTTCTAAGGGCCAAGATGGCTTTCTAAGCAAATGGGCTTATTGGGCTTGATTTGGGCTTATTATTATTTTTGGTTGGGTTATCTCTTGGCTAGGTTATTTTTGCTTGGGTTTTTGGGCTATTTTTCTCTCTTGTGCTTACCCACATGTTTGGACCTAAGAAATGGGCTTGAGTCTCGAGGCTCCCAAGCAACCCGAGACTTTCCATTTCTTGGTCCATCAATGGGCCTCATGTTGATTTATTACCATCCATGCCACAACCCACTCAAGCAAGCCCCGGGTCTTTTTGAGTGGCTTGGGCCCACCTAGGCTTGTAGCGTGGTTGGGTGCGAGATAACGGCACGGCATGTTGCTCGGCATATTTTACTTTATCGCCCTTTTGAAGGATTGTTTTAATTTTTTAGCATGATTGTATTTTATCATAGCATGATAATTTGTTTATTTAGCGTGGCGTGTGGGTTATAACTTGCATGCGATAGATCCCTTTTTTTTCTTTTCCCTTATGAAATATTGTATTGGGCTGATAATTGTTCGGGCCCAATCCATGGATTTTTTGGGCCTCAACATTAGCCCCCTTAATTATAAGGGCCATGAACAGGTGCTGGAATGGGCCGAATAATTAAAACCCAACCCAAAAAAAATCAGATTTGTATTTGCATAGGACTCTTCTTCTTCCCGCGTGCAAAATGACGGCGTGCCATGATTGATCCCGGTGGTTACTTGCAGTTTCCAACGCCAACTGCCTTCCTCTCGTTATTTTATTATTTTCCTCCCTTTTATTTCTCTTTTCTTGCACCAGACAATAATTTCCAAACTTTCCTTCGCCTTTTCACGCTCCAGACCAAAACTTCTCTCCAACTATTTTTCTTGCGTTCTCTCTTGCCCTTCCACGAGGCCAGACCAAGGAAGAAAGTGCAATCGGGTAGGAATCACTCATCTCCAGCGGCTGGGAAGAAGACCCAAGTCGAATCCAACCCCATCGTTCCATCTTCGTTCCAAAGGAGCCCGTTCGTCGCTGCTGGAAAGGTCCTCCTCTGTGCGAATTTTGCCTTCAAATCCCTGATTTTCTTCTCTTTTTGGTGCATTCGACGTCATCCCTTGGAAGATTTAACAAGGTACCCTCCTTTTTCCAGTTTTCCTTTAGATGGATTTGGAGAATTTGTTGGGTTTCTCATACCCATAGATGTTGCCTTTTGTTTTGGCAGCCAAATACCCAAAACCCCTTTTCTACCCATCTTGTTTCCACTGCACCAATAGTGCTCACGGAGTGGGTGCTAGCAAGGAAGGGCCCGTGCCATTGTCTAGGTTTCTTCCTTCGTTGATTTTGCTCGAGCTGCTGGAAAGGTAACTTTTTTTTTTCTTTCTTGTTGGCTTGGGTTTCTCCCCCTTCTTTTTATTTTGCACGGGCCTCCCCTTTTGTGTGTAAAAGGCTGATTTGGCATGACGTGCTTTTTTGTTTATTTTTTGTGCAGGTACACGCATCTTGGGCATAGGTAGGTGCTGGAAACCCTTGACATTTTGCTGCTGGAACCTTCAAACCCTTCAGTCTTCTAACTTAGACTTTGGCAATAACTCTGCTAACTCTGAGTATTTTAGAATAGGTGTAGACTGATGCTTGGCCTAGGCTCTCTTTTTTTTTCTTTTCTTGAGAACACATGCTTGATCGATTATGGAATTCTGCGTGTGTTGCCTGTGGAGGAAGACAGAGTGCATGTTTTGTACTGCCTGGCTGAATTTTATTATTATTTTTTTTATTTTTATTCTGAGAAGGGACTTGCTTGTCCTGCTTGTTGATCACAAAGCGAGACTCTTACTTGTCATGAGCTTGAATTTTAAATTGCATGTTTGCTTGGATAAACTCAACTAGCCCCGTATTTTGCGTGTGCTGATTCTATTTTGCTTCTTTCCATGTTTCTATGCGCAGGTACCCATTATGGCATCCGGTAATCCACCATTTATCATAAGGGATCATCTTTACTCCGTAGATGACAAGTTGAAGAGAGGGAGACCTCCTCCTTTGCTTAAGGGTACCGACGAGGATGTAATTATTGATGAAGAACCAGCGCCAGAAGCTACTTCAGTGATTGACCCTGCATCCGTATCAAGGTGCTGCATAGAAAGGGGTCTGTTTCCGGCAGTTCCTTTGTTCTTTCAATATCCCTGCAGCACCAGCAAGGGTTGGTCGGAGTGGGTTGATGCTGAACTGAAGAACCCATCTACCCGTGATATCCTAAGCCGGGCAGGCGTGTTGGAAGCCATCTTTGCTTCTAAGGCTTGCGACATCCATATTGAAGTCAAGACGCTTCGACACTTGGTTAGACGGTGGAGCACTGAGACGCACACTTTTATTTGTTCGTGGGGAGAGTTCACTCCCACGCTTGAGGATGTAGCTAATATCTTCCATCTCCCACTTTGCGGCAGCCAAGATCCTTTCCATATTGCATTAACCGCGGAAGATGGGCCAAAGCTTGAGATTTTGCGAAAAGGTGCCCCGACCTCTCCTAGTACCTCTCTAAGATTCAGTAATTGGATTCAGTTTTTTGGGAACAGTGATCGAGACGAGCCGTGTCGCCTTGCTGCGTTTGTGTCCTTGTGGCTCGGGAGGTTCCTCTTTTGTGATTTTTCTCAGGACTGCTTGCATGGGAGAGTGTTTCCGTTGGCTTTGGCAATAGCACGGGGTAGCATGATCCCTTTAGCCCCCATGTTCTTGGGGCACTTATATCGCTTACTTGACCAGATTCAATTTCTTGAGAAGGGGGCGGCCGGAACCATGGCTGTGGAGACTTTTGTAAACTCCAGTTTTCTGCAGATCTTTTTATGGGAACGCTTCAAAGGGATAGAGGTATCTCCACTCCCTTATTCAAAGGCTGAGTCACTGGTTGCTTCGGACGAGGATTCCTACGTGCCGGGTAGTCTTCCTCTGATCTGTAGATGGTTCCGTCGCATGCAACGGAAGGGCCAAAATTTTTTAGAGCTGCTGGACGATGTTGAGCAATTTATTTTTCGCCCCTATTGTGCCTCATCAGAGGGCTTTAAAAGTATGCCCCTCTATGCTGATTCTGCTGCTTTAATGGAGGCCCTGGCCATGCCAACACAAGGTTGTCGGTTACGCAGAGAGGCATTGATGAGTGCCGCATGCCTCCCTCTGCCCACATTCGGTGATGACCACTTGGAGATTTCTGTGCATTATTCCCCTTACCGGGTTAGACGACAGCTTGGGTTTGACCAAGGTGTGCCCTCTCGTCCCAACCATGGAGATTCCTTGAGCTTGCACAGGGTTTTCTGGACTGGTGACAGCGTGCCGGGAGACGGCAGGCCTCTTGCCCTTGCTCTGGCCAGCCGGCAGCGCGTTGGTGGTCTCTCAAAGGCCTACCAAAATTATTGGAACCGCTGCTTTGCCTCGTTCAGCCGATTCCATGCTGCCCATTGTGATAGCTTGATTCCCACCATCATTCATCATGCCCGTTTAGTGTCGGAAGAGAAAGCCATTTCCTGAGCGAGAAGCGAAATCTGCCTTTATCTCCAAAAGCGGAGAGATTGTTGGTGACTTTTTCGAAGCTAAAGCGGAAGTTGGAAAAGTCGGGTTCTCATAGTGCCGGGAAGAGTGTTGCACATGGGAAACGGAAGCGTGAGGAAAGCTGCAGTGCCGAGAAAAGGCAAGCTGTAAAAGAACCGAAAAGGTTCATCCCCAAGGTAGCGGCAGGTGGTCCTCCCAGCTCAAGAAAGGTTGCCTTGCCCGAGTCCTTACAGCAGCAGCCTACAGCTTCCGGCAGCAGCGAGCGAGCAGCTCTCAAAGCTTCATCTCCTCACAGTAAGTATCGCTATTTGTTTGCTCCCTTTGTTCCCCGCTCTTTGCGTATATATAAGTATCCCTTTCATCTTATTTTGCAGGTACTTCCCAAAGTAAAGGCAAGGGTAAGGGGTTTTCTGCGACCCCAAAACGTCGAAGCATGCGTATTCTTGAAACGCGGTTTGCTAATACCCGAAAGAATAAGGGTGAAGACTCGGGACCCAAAGTAGTGGTGACGGTTGATGATAACAGTGATGATGATAGTGATGGCGATGGCGCTGCGGGAACTGAGGCTAACATTCATGAGCAAGAGAGTGCTCACGATACGAGTGGCATGGACGAGGACTTTGATGAAGGCCAATACGATAGTCACGACGAAGACACCTATCCGGCTTTCGGCACTAGCTTGGGGGAGTTCGATGACCCAGATACGACTCCCGCTTTGACTGGCGATCATGGACAGCGTGTCGATATTGAACTGGTATCAAATATCCTCTTGCTTGTTTTGCTTGGAATATTGACATTGCATGCTGCCCGTTGTGTCCTCTAGTTCATACTCCGTCTTTCTTCTGCAGGTCGTGCCCGCCATTGAAGGCACGATAGGTGCTTCATCGGAGGCTGATTTTGCCCTTCCCACTACTGTCGCTGAAGTTGTCCTGAGCCTTCCGGCAGTGCAACCTCCTCCTTCTCCTAACCCATGTACTCCTGACATGGCTGCTGATGCCTCTCCACTACTTCCAACAGTTCCTCCTCCTATTTCTCCAATTCCGAACGTACCTGCCATAGCTTCCGGCACTGCTCTACTTCTTCCAGCAGCACATCCCCTTACTCTCCCAATCTCGAGCACACCTGACATAGCTTCCGGCACCGCTCCACCTCTTCCAGCAGCACATCTCTGTGATAAGAATGTTGATGCTTTTATCGCAGGTTCCTCAAAAGGGCCTTCATTCGAGAAAGGCATGTCTTGGCAAGATTGGGAGAATTCCTACACGGCATTCAAAGCCTTCTTTGATGGTGGTGTCACCATTCTTAGATCCATTGATGAACTTCTTCCGCTTTGCCACAGATTCGATGGTTATGCAACATTCCAAGGCGCCCTTGTGTATCCAGAGACGGTTGGAGCCTTGAAAAAGTTCATGGACAAATACGGGAGTTTGCTGGAAGCTACAGATGTCACCTCCTCTTTCTCAAGGGGTACTGCCCTTCGAGCGCTTGGCTTAGTACTTCATGGGATGGACACCATGCAACTCCTTGATATTACAGATCATAAACTGCTCTGTTGGCGAGATGCAATATGCGAGGCCATGATTCTGGGCTTTCCTGTGGAATTTCTCCTTAAACTCGTGAAGAGCTTAGCACGTGCCGTTTTTGGAGCACGGGCCATTCGTAGTATGCAATTATCGCATGATTCCGATGAAGTAAAAGCCGCTGCAAACGCCTTGAATATTAAACAGCAAGAGTTGGAAAACCAGCGCCGGGAGATGCATGCCCTTCTTCTTGCTAAGGGAGTTTCTGTTGACAGCGCTGAGTGCGTGACGGAGGCAGCAGCCAGATTATCTCCTGGGGCTTCCTTTGTTCTTTTTGGACATTCCCCATAGCCTACAGGTACTCAGCTTATCCATTATATTTTTTTTATATTACGTATTCCAGCAGCAGCTATTTTTTGACACACATTTTCTTTTATCTTTTGCAGATTGCCCATCCTTGGCTTAGTGACCATTTAGCTTGGCTCATGATCCTGCTTTTCTTCGTGACTTAAGGGCGCGTGAACCTTCAGCAGATGCAGCTTTATTTTGCTTTGTTTGTAGTGTTGTTTTTTTTTCTTTTGAGACTCTAACGACTACGTCGTTATGCCTTTGTAATTTTGATATTAAACTACTGAAGCTTGTATGAATTTCCGGATGCTTGAGGCATGTTGCATATTTCCTGTGTAGATATGTATATGTACTGCTTTGTTGGCCAGAATTGTCTTTATGGACTGCTTGACATTTTTGACAGGTTGGATATCATTGAAAACAGGGTATATGCTGTCAAATTTTTTTTTTAGAAACCGAGTCTTCGAAAGCTTCTTTTGCATGGCTTATCTAGATTCTAAGCTTGACAAAATAGCTTCCCACCTTTCCCAAAGGGTCGATCCAACATGTGCATGATTTCTAGCCGAGCTCTATAAAGCTTCCAGGTGTTATATCGTATCGTTCCAGCATCTCAGAATTGCATGTTATCCTATGCCTTTATTTTTTTTTTTTTTTTTCTTAAGCGTGATGCTTGGGGACCCCATCTAAATGACTTTGCCCGGCATGTTTTACTGCTAAGTAGCATGTTTATATATATATATATATATATATATGGAAAATTTGATAAAGGGTTAATAATAGTAAAGTTTTGGAGACACAATATATATTTTTCAAAATATTCCTTCATTTTCATTGCAAAAGCCCTTGCTACCATAATGGTGCATCATACAAAAGTGTCTTTTTTTCAAAACGTGAAAATAAGACAGAAGGAGTTTATTTTTTTTTGACAGAGAGAGAATACAAAAGTACTAGGCATAAAGTTAACTTAGCAGTAATAGAGCTTGAGCCACTTCCCATTGACGGGGTCGGTTAGCGTGCCTTCTTTGACAGAGACCAAGCGATAATAGCCGCTGCTGTGAACCTCTTTGACTGCAAACGGGCCTTCCCATTGTGGCGCAAACTTGGAAGGTCCCGACACTTGTCTTCTCACATGCTCCGCAACTTTTAGCACGAGGTCTCCTTGCTTGAAGGCGCGAGGCTTGACTGTCCTGTTATAGGCTTGAGCTACGGTTCTGTGGTACAATGCTGTCTTCTTTTCGGCTACCGCTCTTTTTTCATCCAAAGCTTCAAGGTCCAGCAGGCGCCATTCCGAGCATGACTTTGTATCCCATTCGAGGTCGTTAACAGCTGCTGTTCTGGCAGTGGGGATGGTAATCTCTACTGGTGAAATGGCATCGGACCCGTACACGAGTGAATATGGCGAGAAACCTGTGGCACTTCTTGAAGAGGTGCGGTAGGCCCATAAAGCATCCGGCAGGTGAACACTCCAACCTCCTTCATACTCATAAACCATTTTGCTTAGGATCCTCAATAAAGTCTTGTTTGTGGCTTCCGCTTGACCATTTCCTTGTGGATAATAAGGCGTGGAGCGGCGATGCTTGATACCATAACCACTAAGTGTCGAGCTTACTTGCTTATTGACAAACGGGGTGCCATTGTCAGTGACAATCTTGTATGGGATCCCAAATCTGCATACAATATTTTCACGGATGAAATTGGCAACGGCAGCTCCCGTGGCCTTCCGCAAGGGAACCGCTTCTACCCACTTTGTAAAATATTCGGTGGCCGTGATGATCCATATGTAGCTGTCGGATGGTGGATGAATAGTCCCGATCAAATCAAGCCCCCAAGTATGGAAGGGCCAAGGGGTGCGCATGTCTTGCAGCAGCGTGGGAGGCTTATGACTTAAATTGGCATGAACTTGACATGTGTGACACCTCTTCACAAAGTCGTATGCATCATTCTTCATTGTAGGCCAATAATACCCAACACTCAGCAGCTGCCGGTAAAGCTTCTTCATTCCTTGGTGTTCACCACATTCTCCAGCATGAATTTCTTGCATGACTTGCTGTGCCTCTGACTTTCCCAAGCATTTTAATGGCTCACCATTAAACCCCTTACGGTAAAGAGTTGACCCATCTATGAAGTATCTTTTCATTGTCCTTTTGAGCTTGCGTGCATGCTTGGGATTGGTTGGCAAGACTCCATTGATGAAGGATGCCAAGTATGGAGCCCTCCAATCCTCCGCAAATGAGACGGTGAATGATTCCTCGGTGGAAGGTATTTTTGCACACTTGGGACAATTGGCTTGTATTTCAGCTGCTTGTTTCCTCATTTCTGGCCAGTAATAACCCTTGCGCTGCAGGCGCCGGTACAGGCTGATTATTGGCTCCAAATTGCAAGTGACCTCATGTACCTCTTGAAGCTTCTCCTGTGCTTCTGTTATCCCTATGCAGCGTGTCAAAATACCTCCCGGAAGGCGTCTGTACAGTTCCCCAAAGATGATCGCATAATCCTTCAATTCTTTGATGTTGCTTCCTTTGCCTATTTTTTCTTTCACAAGCTTCCTCCAGTCATCCTCTTCCAGCCGCTCCTCTTGAGCCATTGCTTCAACAACTGGGTGTCCTTCTTGATTACTGCAATATTGGGCTGTTCGTCAATAAATGAGAGCCTCGACCCCAAAGTGGCCAACGCATCAGCATATCTATTAGTGACTCCCGGGATATGTTCCAACACAACTTGTTTGAACGAACGAACAAGCCTTTCAGCAGCTGTACGATATGGTGCCAATGCTGGTTCCTTCACGGCGAAATTTCCTTGTAATTGACTCAGCACCAAGTTTGAATCCCCAATAATTTTAATTCTTTCGACACCGATTTCCCTTGCTGTAGACATTCCTGCAATAAAAGCTTCGTACTCTGCCGTATTATTCGTGCATGGGAAATTTAGCTTAAACGAGAGGGCCGTGGTTTGCCCTTCGGGATTGACAAGCACCACACCTGCCCCTCCACCCTTCGATGTAGAAGACCCATCGAAGTAGAGGGTCCATGGTTCTGCCTCCGTGACAACAGCAACCATTTCCGGCAGCTCCCCCAGAACTTCCTTAGAGATTGTTGATTCTTCAACTTCGGGAAATAGAGCCAACATGTCAATAACAGCCTGCCCTTTGATGGCTTTTGGAGTGGTGCAGGTGATATCGAAACTCGGACAGCTGTAGCAACCAACGTGCAAGGCGCCCGGATAATATTGGCCTTGTAAGCAAATATCTTACGGGATCAGACTTCACCATGAGATGTAGCTTGTGAGCAAGGAAGTAATGCCGCAAGCGCTGTGCAGCATAGACAAGAGCAAGGCACAAAAGTTCAGTTTTCGGATATCTTACTTCAGACCCCCTTAGTTGCCTACTTACGTAATAAATAGGACTTTCTTCCCCACTGTGATCATCTTGAGCAAGTAAGGCCCCAACCGCTGTGTTTGTTGCAGCCAAATAAAGCTTGAGAGGAAGCCCCGGAATAGGTGCTTTCATAGTGGGCAGCTTGGCGATTATTTGTTGCACCTTCTTGTAAGCTTCTTGGCACTTCTCACTCCATTCATACCTCTTGCCTTTCTTGAGCAATGGAGTAAAAGCACTCATGGTGGCAGCAAGACCTGGGATAAAGCGCCGAATATACGATAATCTTCCCATAAAGCTTTTCAATTCTTTTGGGCTTTTAGGCGGTGCAAGAGAATTTATGGCTTTAGTCTTTTCTGGATCCACATCTATGCCACGCTGGTGTACTTGAAACCCCAAGAATTTACCGGATGAAACCCCGAACGCACACTTCTTTGGATTCATCTTCAAACTGTACAGCCGACACCTTTCCAGCACTCTTCTTAAAACTTCTTGATGGCCTTCTCTGGTTTTGGACTTCACCACAAGGTCATCCACATAATCTTCAACTTCTTTTCCCATCATGTCGTGAAACACCGCTGTCATAGCTCTTTGGTAGGTGGCGCCAGCATTTTTGAGGCCGAATGGCATGACCGTATAATAAAAATTCCCATACGGTGTTCGAAAGGCTGTCTTTTCAGCATCCTTGGGAGACATCTTGATCTGATTGTAGCCACTAAACCCATCCATGAATGACAACAAGCCTTGACCCGAGGTCGAATCAATTAAGATATCCATGTTTGGCAGCGGGAACTCATCCTTTGGGCAAGCTCGGTTGAGATCTCGATAATCCGTGCATATTCTGATCACACCGGTTTTCTTCTTCACAGGGACAATATTCGCTAGCCACGTAGGATGCTTGATTGGTTTAATAAATCCGGCAGCTAACAACTTTTCAATTTCTACCTTGATTTGCTTCTCAACTTCAGGATGAAAATTCCTTCTTGCCTGCACGACAGGTTTTGTACCAAGCTCAATATTCAGAGTATGACTTACTAAGCTTGGGTTCAGACCAGGCATTTCCTCATAGCTCCAAGCGAACACATCTCGAAATTCCTTTAGCAAAGATATCAAGGCCGCCCTCTCCTCATTTGTTAAATGAACACTTATGGAAATGGGCCTCGGGGCAGAGGGATCCTCACTCAAATCAATTGTTTCCAGCTGCTCAGCTACTGCTGACGATCCATCTTGCATGTGTCTGGGTGCTGCCATTGGCTCCTGGAAAGCACAAGGCAAGGGTGCCTTGTCGTTGGAACTCCCACAGCTATTTGTTTGCATTACTTTTCCTCCATACTCGGGGCTTTCCCGTAAGACACGGTCAAGCCCCCAACCCCGTCATAAGCGGTACACGATACGTCCATCGGGCAGCGTCACCTTTGAGCATTGGGGATGATCATAGGCATGGTTGTTGACTTCCGAGTGCCTCTTTCTCTCTCGATCGACAATGGTGATGAGCTCCTCATTGCTTAAATCACGAATTTCAGTCCATGAAGGAAGGTAGGTCCCGAAATCCTTGGATGGATTGCTTCCAGCACCTGTGCATTCAGTGTAGAATTCTGCTTCAGAGTAGTGAGCTTCATCTTTGTTGAAAGGTGCTTGGTTTCCAGGTATGCGTAGCGGCCTCAGCCCAATCCTTCCTTTTACGCATTGATGATAGGTAGAGACCACAAGCTTATGCTTGTTGAGCCATGGCCTTCCAAGCAAAGCATGGTAAGCCACATCCACATCCACGACATAGAACTTAGTAAGTGACCGAATTGGCCCAACCTTCAAGTGTACTTGTAGATGCCCGACTGTGACCTCACTCTTATTCCCGAAACCACTGATGTTTGTTTGTGATTGGACAATTTTGGACAATGGGATACCAGCTGCCGTAAGCACAGACAGAGGTAATATGTTGACAGAGGAACCCGTGTCCACCAAAGCTCTCCTTATGAACACATCATTGATCTGTCCCTCCAAGTAAAGCGGCCTCCTATGGTCCGGGTATGGAACTTCCATGTCTTCGTCCGTAAAGACAATAGCATTGTCATTTCCCAAGAATGACCTTTGTGGTTGAGTTGTAAAGCATTGAGAATTAGACTCCTCAGAGATATTCATCAAGGGCTACAGCAGCTGCTTCTCTTGCTTGCGGCCCGAAGCCAAGTTGGTCAAAGAGTGATTTGAACTTTGGGTTTCTTTGAAGGACCTGTGAAGCTGTGGGCCCCTGTTTCATGCTTAAATAACGTTCCATCACACTTGTTTCAGCTTCCGTGATATTATGAAATGTCACGGCAGCTGCTTCCTGCTGCTCCGATAAAGCCCCCGAGTAGCGTTCTTCCGGCATGTCCAAGACAAAAATTTCGCTGCCTGAGTTGTCACCCCATCCATCAGCGAGTGGCCATGGTGTGTTGTAACTTGAAGGCCTCGAATATTTACACCAATATGCCTTTTCCATGTTTCCGCAAGGTTCCCATACGGCTTCCGGCGGCTTTGGGTCATTCCTCCAAGGGTGGCACAATTCATCATCATCAAGCAAATCATCAGAACATGTAATGACAGCGGCTACCTCCTTTCCCCTTCGTTTTGGCAAGGGGTCTTCATCAATGGTTTGCTTCCTAGAGGGAAGTTCAAGGACTCCCTCATGTATTTTGGCGTGTAAAATCCTCCTCAAGCTCTGACAGGCAGTGGTTGGATGCCCCACAAATTGATGATAACGGCAGTACCTAGGATCATTCTTTTCCTCTCGAGTAGGAACCTTGTAGGGTCTGACAGGTTTGATTACGCCATCAGCAATCATTGTGTCAAGGATAGCATGAAATTCTTCATCTTTGCATGGTAGTGGTGGATACGTCTCTCTATCCTTGCGTTTGCGCGAATTGTAGTCGCTGGATGGCTTGTCATCTATTGCTAATGTCTGATGCGCTTCCTTCTTCTCATTCCTCCAAGTCCTTTGTCCTGGTGGCCTGACGGACATGCTCGTCTTCCTCACAGCTTCCAGCAGCCGAGAAAATTGACTAATGCCAATATTCTCCAAATACACTCTATAATCTGCCACGATATTGCTGATGCAAATTTCAACAAGCGCCTCCTCGTCTTTCTCATCATAGCAATCCAATGCCAGGTCCCGGAACCTGCGTACAAAGTCCACGGGATCCTCACCATGCTTTTGGCGGGTGTTGTTGAGTTGAGTGGTGGTGACTCGTTCTTCATGCTGGAAATACTTCTTACAGAACCTGCTTGCCAGACTTTCCCAGGAATGAATAGAGCCTGGTGCCAACGTTGTATACCATGTGTAAGCACGATCAGTGAGACTCTTTGAAAATTCTCTAAGTCGAAGATTATGATCACCAGCATACGGTCCCAAGGCATCGATGAAGCGATTGACATGCTCCTTCGGGCTCCCCTTTCGTCCATCAAAGAGGACAAAGGTCGGTGCTTCATAGCCTTTAGGATATGGCTGCTGGAGTAAGCTTGATGGATACGGCGGCTGAGGAAGATACTTCCAATCTTCCTGACTTCGACTCAGCTCCTTTTCCAGCATGGCAACAACGTCCTCCTGAGTGACAAAAGATGGTCCCTTCTGCTCAGACTCCTTTCCGGCAGCAGCAGATTCCTCCTGTGGGTGCTTCTCATTCACTTCACTTGGCTTTGGAGCCGAATTTTGAGTTCTTTTATCATCTCTGCCATCTCCCTCTGGGTGTCACCCATAGCACGAATGGCTGCAACAAGATCTGTGAGGGTAAAAGTTCCCTCACTTGCACGTTCTTCTTCTCTAGAAGAGGCATGTTGCCTTGACTCTGAGTCAGCATGGCTTGGCCCATCCTGGGAAGTTATGTTGTTGCTTCTGGTCTTCTTTCTTGGAGGCATTGATGAAGGTAATGGCTTAATCCCCAGCAGAGTCGCCAATTTATGTAGGGGACTTTTTCTTCCTGCAGCTAACGGGCTGGGCTGCTGCAAAAGGTGGACTGAGGAGATTGCCCCTTTTCGTTTAGGTTCGAAAATTAAGCCTCAAAATACCTCGAAAGGGCAGCGAAACCTTAGGAGATATTTTGAGTAATCTTCACCAATGAGAATAATAGTGACTTACAGATAATTTTGGCATGCTTTCAGATGGTTTTTAGGCTCAGCATGAGTGGCATGAGGCATGGAGAGCAAAACCAGCATGGGTTTAGCACTAAGAGAGAAATTAGGCTTGGTTTATGAGGAATGAAAGTGTTTAAGTAAGGAATGAGGTATTTTTGTGAGGGATTTTGACTAGAGAAAGAGAAAAGGAGAGGCAGAGTTCTTCCGGCAGCTGCCAGAAGAACAAATTGGAGAAGAAGATGAACAGTGCACGAATCTAAGTTTTGCAAGATAGAGAGAAAAGCTTGCTCTCTGCAGGTTGTGAGTTGTGTTTGTTGGGTAGGGGAAGGCTCAATTTATAGCTGCCGGAAATCACCATTTTTCAAGAAACCCTAATGGCTCCTTCCTACTTTGGCTGAGCTTTTCTTCCTTTCTCCTCCCCTTCTCTGACTTCCCTTTCTTGGCAAAGATGGCTTCTGTCTATCTTCATGAATTTAGGAGATTTTGGGGGCTCAACATCCCTCTTTCCCGCGGCTGTGCAATGAGGGCTTCCACTCTTAGTTTGCTGTTTTTCTTCCTTTTCTTTCCTCTTCCTTGGCTGAATCTGATGAAGGAAAGGTGGTGCAAATGTATGCTGGTCCAAGGGATGCTTCTGACAGCATGCAGGATGGTATTCATCGGTTCTTTGGATGTCTCTGGCTTGGGACTGGTTTCCAGCAGCTTACTTAAGGAGCCTGCCATCTACTTCACGTGTTCTTTGTTTTTCAAAAAAAAGCTGAAGCTCTTGTGGGCCTTTTTGGGTTTTTCTAAGGGCCAAGATGGCTTTCTAAGCAAATGGGCTTATTGGGCTTGATTTGGGCTTATTATTATTTTTGGTTGGGTTATCTCTTGGCTAGGCTGTTTTGCTTGGGTTTTTGGGCTATTTTTCTCTCTTGTGCTTACCCACATGTTTGGACCTAAGAAATGGGCTTGAGTCTCGAGGCTCCCAAGCAACCCGAGACTTTCCATTTCTTGGTCCATCAATGGGCCTCATGTTGATTTATTACCATCCATGCCACAACCCACTCAAGCAAGCCCCGGGTCTTTTTTGAGTGGCTTGGGCCCACCTAGGCTTGTAGCGTGGTTGGGTGCGAGATAACGGCACGGCATGTTGCTCGGCATATTTTACTTTATCGCCCTTTTGAAGGATTGTTTTAATTTTTTAGCATGATTGTATTTTATCATAGCATGATAATTTGTTTATTTAGCGTGGCGTGTGGGTTATAACTTGCATGCGATAGATCCCTTTTTTCTTTTCCCTTATGAAATATTGTATTGGGCTGATAATTGTTCGGGCCCAATCCATGGATTTTTTGGACCTCAACAAAAGGAAATACAAAAAGTGGTGGATTTTGTTTGATTATAGACTAATTTTATGTCATGACAAATTTTTATTTCCCTGAGAGATTTTGATAGATATATTATTTTTATTCTCAAGATATGATTTCACCACTTCTATTACCATCATCTTATCATGGCTATCACCACCGCCACTGCCGCTGCCGCCACCACCACAGTTATCGTCGTCACTGACACCATTACTACCATCGCCACCACTCCCAACATAACCACTGCCTCCACCACCACCCACCGCGGCCCCCACTACCAGCCCCACCATTACCACCATCACCATCACTACCACAGCTACCACATCCACCACCCTAACTCTAACCATCACCCCCACTGTCACCACAATCATCGCCACCACCACCTCACTCTCATTGCCAACACCACTACCACCCCCACCTCCTCCCCCACCATCACCCACAAACCACCACCATCACCATCACTACCACAGCTACCACCTCCACCACCCTTACTCTAACCATCACCCCCACTGTCACCACAACCATAGCCACCGTCGCCACCATCGCCACCGCCTCCACCACCACCTCACTCTCATTGCCAACACCACTACCACCCCCACCATCACCACCACCTCACCGTCATAAACATTGAACTCTTTGTTTTTTGAGTGCTATAAACTCCATTAAAATCAAAAATAAAACTCTAAGAAACTCAGTTTAAATTTATACACGAATTGAGTCAAAATCTATGTGGAGTTAATAAAATTCAGTCAAACTCAATTAAATTCAATTAAACTCCATTAACTTCATAACCCTTTTAAAAACATTTAACAATTAAATTCAATTAAAATCATTTTATCAGCTCAAATCTCTTAACAATATAGAATACGTAAAGGGTGTGACAAATTGTATTTATAGTCGACATACCCACCCAGCCCAGTGGCTGAGAATTCCCCTTGCGATTCAAATCCAAATCAACAAGATTTGAAAACAAGATGACCAGACTGGGCCATAGCCAATTAAACCGTTGACAACTGCGTTTACTTGAGCTGTCACCATTTCTTCATCTCCATAACACTACAAAGACTTCACAGCTTTGAATTTTCTTTCAATTAATATTGATTATTATTATTTCTTCAATTTTTCCATTTTTAATTAGAAATTTAATTTTCCAATTGAAGAGAAACAAGATTCCCAGATAGCCCAATTTCCATCCCACCCAGTTGGCCTCCATTTTATCATATGAGAAAAGCCCCATCATAATCCGCAGTTCGTCCCTCTGTACACTACCAAAATTATTTTCACTACAATTTAAAAAGGCCCCAAATAAAAAAAGGAAATTGACGGAAATTTAATTAACAGAGTTCATGCTGCTTTTGGGCTAATTCCAAGCTTTTGGTTCCGGGTCGGACTCTGGATCATCTCGATGATCTCTTACTAGGACTACTACGTCATTCTATTCGGCTACTCGATTTTGCTAATCCCAATACGCTTTACGACGGCGTTTCTAATGGCTTCGGTGTGCATGCACAGCCCCGTCTGCTCAACCCCAGACATGTAGTTCCTCACTTCCTTTCTGATCATCTCCTGCATCACATCCAAGAATTCTGAGCTGAAGAACTGCTGATCGTACCCCATCTCACTGTTTTGGTTGCTCTGACGTGGCAGCTGGGCTCCCGCCACGGCGGCTGCTGCCTCTTGCGGTTGTTGTACCATCGAGGTCGGGCTCACCCCCGGGTTGGATCCGAACCCGGACGCCAAGTGATTCGACCCGTCACTCGAGTCGGATCCCGGCAGCGAGAGGCTGAGCGAGGTCGGCGGATCGACAGCCGAAGACGAGGCCTCCATCGGCGGAGCAATGAGGGGTCCGGTTCTCACAAGCGGCCTGAAAACTTGAGTCGGCGACACAATACCGGGCAGACTCGAATCGCTCATGTCTGATCCGGACGGGCTACCCGGGTTCAAATAGAGACCCGAAACAGCCGTAACCGCACCGACACTGGCGGATCGTTTGTGAGCCGGATGGGAATGGACGTCCGGGGTCAAATCTTCGGACATGGACGAGCATTTGCGCTTGAGCGTGGAGTTCCAGTGGTTCTTTATGGCGTTATCGGTCCGACCATTGAGCAAGCGAGCGATGGTGGCCCACTTGTTCCCGAACCGGGCGTGGGCCCGGATTATAGTATCGTCCTCATCAGGACTGAAAGGGCGGTGCTCCACCTCCGGAGAGAGCTGGTTGCACCACCGTAGACGGCAAGACTTGCCAGATCGACCAGGGATCGATTTGCTGATCAGAGACCAGTTTCTGGGGCCGTAGTTCTTCACCAGTTTCTGTAACGCTTCGTCTTCTTCGGGGCTCCACGGACCCTTTATCCGATCCGCTACTTTCTTTGTGGAAGCCATAGAAAGTCCTTAACCTTCTTCTTCTTCTTCTTCTTCTTCTTCTTCTAAATTATTTAAGCTAAAAAAAATGAAAACAAATCTAAGAAAAATAATAAAAAGGATAATTTAATTTCAGTTGAAAGTTTTGTACAAGAGAGAGAGAAGGGTTTAAGGAGGTGGTGGAGGCGGAGCCTCACCTTGTTCTGAGAGAGAAGGGCGTGTTACAGGTAGGGTATATATACGAAAGGATAGAGGTGACCGATTATAGCCGGTGCGAATGACCGGTCTTAGCCGTTGCGCGTGGGGATTCTTCCAGGCAAGGCAGTTACTAGCATACAGCTGTCAAACTAACACGCGTCGCTTCCTACCCCCTCCAACTTACACGTAGAAAATATAAGGGAGTTTCACTAAAACACCCAAAATGGAGGTTGAAATTATAAAAAAACCCAACACCCAAAACACTTTATAAACACACCCAAAACCCATCATTACACACACTCAAAACCCATTTATAAACACACCCAAAAAGTTGACTTTGGGGTTGATTTTGGGTGTGTTTCTATGTTTAAATAGTGCTTGGGTTTTTTATAAATACATGTGTAGGATTGGGTTTATTTATAAATTTCACTCCATCTGTTTTCGCTTTTATTTATTTATTTATTTTGATTATTTTTAAAATAAGAAAAACAAACAAACAAAAAAGTGAAAAAACCAAAATTAGCTTTGCCTAATTGCCTACTCTCCCCGCCTACTGTTCTAACTATTTCTTTTCCACACACAAGAATCTTGTAAAGTCATCTCAAAGCTGAACAAGAGGCTCCCAGACGATGATGATGATCAAAGGTAGGCCCACATCCTCAAGTTGAATGCATCTTGACTAGCCTCAATCATCAACGTCCATTTCATTTTATTTTATTTTCCGTATAATTTCTTATTAATTTGAATATTTACCGTTTAACAATATTCATTAAATTCAGTAACTATAACTGAGAAGTGAGAGGTAAAAACCGTAACAGTAAACAGTTGAAGGGCTGGGTTCCCACCACGTCTCTAAAACCGCGGGATTTAAATGTTGAATGACCGTTTTGGAAGTTAAACGGTGATTGGGGAGCGGACGTTAACTTATTATTTGTTTCTTAAATGCTTAATTTGAAAACAAACGTGGGGTTTAAGATAAAGAGAGTGATCTTATCGGAAATTTTTTAATTTTTTGAGAATTAAAATTAAGATTAAAGCTTAATCAAAAGAAGAGTACGGTTCGGTTTAGTTGGGAGGTGGGGTTGGAATTGGACGGGAGCGTAAGCGGATGGATTACTTTGACCAAAAGCCAGGCTGGCGAGCATTTTGGCGGGGAGAGGGGGGGATATTTTTTTAATGGGAATGGGAAACGGACGCACGGAAGTGTCGAGCTGGATCACAAAACGACAAAGTTGAGTAGCAGAATCGGGGGAGGAACGGTACTGAAATTCTGTCAGTCCAGCCTGTAAAACCCGGGCCCACTCTCCAGTGGACAGTGGCCCCTCCCCACCCCTAACTGCCTATTTCTCCCACCGACACGTGTCAGTCACGCTCCCCTGAACTGCCAAAACCGACTCCACCGTCTAACCAGCTTAATTTATTGCTACGTTGTTTGCTCCCTTCCTGGTTGCTTCGTCCGTTTGGACTTTGTTATGTTTATCTGGAAATTAAATTTGAATCTGGTGGAGGTCGTCTTAGGAATATTATAGTAACGTGTTACAACTTACAACCAATCTCATCATTAATAGAAATGTAATCTTCTATATATAAATTAATGCTTCAACAACAAGATAGCCTGGTGTGACGTATTATAGATAGTCTGTATTTCCTTTTAACCATAAACAAACAATATGTTAGTTGTCACTAACCTACTATCTAAATAAGAATTGAATTTAGGTACATTGGATTGTTGAAGCGGTTATTTGGATAAAATTTTCAATATGATCATAACACTGTTTTATTATACTTTAAAGTAGTAATGCTTCTTCAATAGTTCTATTTTACCCTCTTAATCTTAAATTTGACGTTTAGGCCTTTTAATATTTCAAAATGTGTCAACATGTCTAAGGATGGCAGCCCCCGTCACCGCCCCTATTCTTGATAAAAATTAATTTCAAGGAATTCCCATCCTTGTTTTCTTCAAAGGACTGCCTCCCAAACCCACTATGAATATCCGATTTTTTTTATTAAAAAATATTTATCCTACATTATAACACTTAAATTTCATCTTAGATTATCATTCAACTCAATTACATTCAATTGAATTATAAAATTCAACTCAACAACTCAAAATAATCTCAATTTAATTTGACAATACTAAAAAATATATATTATATAATGGCTATATATTAGTTAAAAATAAATACAAATTGTAATGTAAATATTTGCCAAATTATTAGTTGCGTGTGAGGGACATGAAGGCAGGAGCGTGGAAGTGAATTTGGGAAAAGAGAAACAGAAAAAACGGAAAAGCAAAGAGAGGAAAGCAACAAAAACAAGAAAGTAAAGAAAAAGAGGAAGGGGGGAGAGGAGGGTGACTAGTCCCCTATCTTCAACAGTTTCTCTCAACTTCAACATGCAAAATTCGTTTCGCGGGAAACAGCTGTCTATATGTTTTTTTTTAATCCACGTATGCACGCACACTGTTACGGTTACCCACGCTCTCTCACGTGCCAACCCGCACCGGTCTTTTCCCACATACCTAACCCTGTCCTTTACCCGTACTCCTCACGTGACCTCGTATGCCACACGAGTGCACCGCACGTGAGGACCGCACCTCCACACCCCACGGCCACCACTTGATGAATATAAAAGTCCAAAGTAACGGTCAAGTCCTCACCTGCCCATGGCCGCCTAGTGTTGGAGGAGCCACTAATTTATCATGCCAATTGCAATGTGAATGCGTTTTGTTAATTGAACGTCCGTCGTTTTATAGTTAGCCAAGGGCCCAAAGTGCGTGCCTCGCTTAAGTAGTGGATTTTGATTTGCTGCTGTTTTTTCTTTATTTTTTTTAAAGACAAGTTGGCAACAAAATATCCCAATTAGAATCATAATAATAACGAGGGATATTGTTTAATTAATTTGGTATGCTCATACATGCGATCCATGTGATTTGTTAATTAAGGTTGGAATTAAGTTATGGGTACGAATATTATTCCAGAATGTGGGGGCACTGCACTGGACCTCTCCACTGGTGGATAGATATACATATATAATTCATTGACATTGAATTGCACAGCTTTTTTGCAACACCATATGCTTTGGATTACCTTCTCCATTGGGTTTAATATCTGTGGGACAATTGTACTCGTCTTTTAGGTTTTAACTGCAACTAGACTAAGCTCAATGTTTTTGGCTCTGAAAATGAGAGGTTCGGTCTTTTTTCTCTTTTAGGCAGGAAAAAAATTGAGTCTTATAATAATGGTCAAAGAGTACGTGATCCAAAAATAACATGTCATAGAATAGAAAGACCAGCTATATATGTACATGTTGTCGTACCAGTTTATATAACACCGATTTCAAATGACAATAGATTTTCCCGAAAATTGGATAAAATCATAGAAGGATATAGGTTTACAACATGTTTATTTTTGCCGTACCCATAAGTTAGAGCATACGGATCTTTAACTGTACATTTTGGAAGAACACATTGTTTCTTATTGATTAACCTCCATCCATGATATAGTTATTTGGGTTAATTCGATCTTCTCCACTATTTTCATATATGTACGTCCAGTCGTCACATCAAGTTGATGGATAATATATCCCACTTGTGTTTTTAGGCGTTTGATGGTTTTGGATTTTTGGTGTTTGGCGTTGCGCAAGCTCACATGTATTGTCCCTTATCTGTAGTCCAGTAAACAAGTGCATGGGCCTAGTCATGCTTCACCTTCAAATGAGCCCGACCCAAATGGGCTCACACCCAGCAAGCGAAAAAGAGATAAATGTTCCTAAATGCTGCTAAGGTATCACTCAACAGTGTTGCCATGACGCTAGGCGGCATCATTCTGGCTAGGCATTATTTGAGCATTGACTTAGACCTTGCGCAGGCTTCGGGTCAGCTCAAATTCCAAATTCAATGATCCATTTATTTTCGTGTTTCTTTAATCGGGAGTTGAGATTTAAAAATAATTAAGAGAAGAAAGGTTTATTTGATGTGGAGTAAGATTCCTTCCTCCAGTGAAGAATCATATGACCTTGGCTAACAAAATCCCATATCAGAAGCAAAGCCTTTTGCTTTCAAAAATGGGAGGAGCTTCCAACTTTTGAGAGAAAGAGAGAGAGAGAGAGAGAGAGAGAGAGCCCACACCACACCACTCTGTCCCCACGATGCTGCTTTTCGCCTTGCTCTTCTTCTCCCTTGTGGCCCAAGCCTGCTCGGCATCTCAACCAACTACCCACCCACACCAACCACAACAACAAAAAACAGAGCGAGGCACGAAAAACATATTCATTCTGGCCGGGCAGAGCAACATGGCGGGACGGGGGGGGCGTCGTAAACGACACTGTCACAGGCATCGCCACCTGGGACGGCGTCGTTCCGCCAGAGTGCCTGCCCAACCCGTCCATCCTCCGGCTCAGCGCTGACCTCAAGTGGGTCGAGGCACGTGAGCCTCTCCATGCCGACATCGATGCGAAAAAGACCAATGGGATTGGACCCGGCATGGCCTTTGCCAAGGCGATCTTGGTGGCTAACCGCTCTGGCGCCAGTGGCGAGATTGGTTTAGTGCCCTGTGCAGTGGGTGGGACCAACATAACCCAGTGGACACGTGGTTCTTTCCTGTACAATCAGATGATCAGGAGAGCCAAGGCTGCGTTGAACAATGGCGGTACGATCAGAGCACTGCTTTGGTATCAGGGTGAGAGCGATACGGCTAACAGAAAAGACGCTAAGTCTTACAAAAACAGAGTGGAAACTTTCTTTGGGGACGTCCGCTTGGATCTGCAATCTCCAGCTCTCCCAATAATCCAGGTACCATTAATTAATTACTTAATTTTATTCATTCCTTTTCTTATCTAAAAATTATGTTACTTGGGTTTTCGATCTTTAGTTTCAATCTTGGATCAAAAAGCTTCATATCACATGCCATTTGGTACTTGAATCAAAATTTAAATAATTTATTAATTTTATATGCTTCTTTCTTATGTCCGCAGTAGGTAAGGTATATTTAATTTGGACCATTCCTATGAAAACCTAGTTCAACTTGGTATTCTTAATGTGATAAATATACATACATATCTAAGAGACATCCTTGTACGGCCCATCACGAATTGTATTTCAATTATCTAAACCGTCTACTTTTTATATATAATTTTAGTAGTTATTTCAAATCAAAGCATTTCCAAGCAGAATTGAAATGGACAGAAAGAATTGAGCATAGGTTAGGCAAGCATTGGTTTTATGAAACAAAATATTCAATTATATTTATTAAAAATATTCAATTACAAGTTATAGCTATCTCCGTGCATGCAACCCAGCTAGCAAGCATTGGTTTTATGAAACAAAATAAATCAAATAATGTCGTTCATTTTTGTGACATATATGTAGGTGGCTCTAGCATCTGGGGAAGAAGCAGCTTTCGTAGAGACAGTTAGGGAAGCCCAACTGGGAGTTGACTTTCTAAACGTGCGAACCGTTGACGCCAAGGGTTTGCCATTGGAAACTGATGGCTTGCACCTCACCACCCCAGCCCAGGTTCGGCTTGGCCAAATGCTGGCTGCTGCATATCTTCAATTTCTGCCAAGCTCCTCCACTGCCGGTACCAGTGATGCTCCTAGAACACTCTGTAATTTTGTTTCCAATTTGGTAATTTTTCTGCTTCAGAAATTTTTTAGCATAATCATAAGCTAATTTGTTAGTTCCTTCCTTCGTAGGGTCCAAAATTCAAATTGTTTGGCTTTAGGGTAAAGGCCAAACTAATGCCCTGTAACTCCATGCCATATATATCAATTTTTGGAGATGTGATAGCATTAGTGATAAGAGTCATGCACCCATAATCTCAATAATTTCCACGCGCAATTCACGGTAGCATATTCCTAATTATAATGGAACGAGACCCGAGTCTAAGGAAGGGCTACTACATATACACATATAGATCAAGATTATGACAGTTTTTTTGAAGTAAGTAGGAAGCTATGGCCTATTTATACATACGTGTGTCAATCAGATTTCATTGGAATGTTAAGAAGAGACAAGAAGCAAGAAGGATGAGCGGCAATGCTTTGTCTTTTTAGGTCACAATCTACCTACCGGTTGTTGAATAAACATCAATCTGGTCAAACACCGTGAATTTTGGAGGAAATTAATGAGCGGCAATGCTAATCAAATCGTTGCTTGGGTTCAAAAAAATCTAACAAAACTCTGCAGTCAACTTTCCCACCTAAGATATTAATTCAAGCTGCTAAAATTAGTTAATATACCCTTTCATCAATAAATTAGTATATTTAACCTAAAATCAATTGATAGTACGGAAAATTACCAAAACCATAATATTGCTTGTTAAATAAATATGGGATATTACTCTACACACATCATTCCCTTTTTTTTCTTTTTCTTTTTTTTTGTTGCCGGCCATTCTCCATTCGGTAAACGTTGTGATCACTTGAGCTTCACTGCCATGCCAAACGTAATTACCGCCCCATTTGGAAAAGTTGTGCTCAAATTTTCATCATTTACTCCACGTGAACCTGCAACCCAATATAAAATCACAAAAAAGAAAGATAGCACGAGCAATAATTACTGTGCGAGGCATGAAGAAAAACAACTCTGCCTCTGCGCACACAGAGTAAGCAAGCAGCAGAGTGAGACAAAACCCACATAGAAAATGGCCGTGGTTTTATTGGCTACTCTATTTTCTCTGTTGCTAGCAACCCAATTCAATGTAGGCGCTTGTGCTGGCAGCAAGAACATCTTCATCCTCGCAGGCCAGAGCAACATGGCAGGACGAGGAGGCGTCAGTGGAGGCAAATGGGACGGCAATGTCCCGCCCGAGTGCCAGCCCAGATCTTCAATCGTCCGACTCAGTGCTCAACTCGGATGGGAACAAGCACATGAGCCGCTCCACGCTGACATTGATGTGGGCAAGACATGTGGGGTTGGGCCAGGCATGGCTTTTGCCAATGAGGTTCTCAGAGTCAGGGGCTCAAGATTTGGGGGTCTTGGGTCTGGTTCCCTGCGCTGTGGGTGGGACGAGAATCGGTGAGTGGGCTCGAGGGACTCGGTTGTATAACGAGTTGGTGAGACGAGCCACCGAGTCAGTCAGGGACGGTGGAGTTATCAGAGCGGTTTTGTGGTACCAGGGAGAGAGTGACACCGTGAACAGAGTGGACGCTGAGGGGTATAAAGGGAATTTCGAAAGGCTTGTTATGGACCTGCGTTGTGATCTTAAGAATCCAAAGCTTCCTGTCATCCAGGTTTGCATCATTTGCCCTGTTTTTTTTTCTCTTAGTGTAAACTACTTCTATGTCCAACTGGCCTAACTCAAGCCTACACTTTGCTCTTGTTTTTTTACCCCCAAAAAAGAAACCAAGTTATTTAAAAAAATTTATGCAGGAAATAATACTTGTGCCAAGAATTTTTCTTTTCGGTAAGATTTGAAGTGCCAAAATCATCGCGGAAATGTATTGTCGTGATATGCATGGTGATTGTGGATTGCAGGTGGCATTGGCATCAGGAGAAGGGCAGTTTGTAGATGTAGTGAGGAAAGGTCAGCTTGATGTTAAGTTAGGCAATGTCAAATATGTTGATGCAAAAGGCCTGCGTCTGAAAGAAGATCACCTCCACCTCACTACCATATCTGAGGTCCACCTGGGGATCAAGTTAGCTCGTTCCTTTCTTAATTCTTTTGGGCATCACCTTTAATCTGATGTGCCAAAATGGTAACACTCTTGAGAAATGTACTCATGTTAGAAACTTCTTAAAATTTGCAGTTCCTAATTTGTAGAATATTTATTTCTAATGTACAACTATTATTTTTGTTTGAGGACGATAGTAGCGCAAGTGGTTAAGGCACTCCCCTCATCACCCCCAATAATTCTGGATTCGAAACCCACCCCCACTTGTAACTTCGACGACAACAAAAAAACTGTATTTTTTATTGTAGTTGTGAATACAATTTGGGTGTCCAGAAACAATTATTGGGTTGGCTCCCCATAAAATCATTAGTGCCCTATTTGAACCTTTGTGGCCCTTGGAAGATGGCCCTTCCTTCTTATGGTTATGGGCTTTTCAGTTCATTTATCCATTAGCAGAAAGTTAACGTCGGCAGAAGAATCAAAGTCCCATATTATATAGCAGGTGTAAGATTGCCATTGGCTCAACGATATACAAAATCTTGTGGTGAATTAGCCACCGTCACAAATTCACATGCTTGTACTGTGATAGACGATTCAGATGCGTGGACACAAAACGGACAGCTCACAGGGCACGTGTCAGCACCTGGTAGTCTTGAGGTCGACGAACTAAAACTATATGTATGTGCCTTTGCCCACTGATTTCATTTCATATAACTGTCAAAGCTGAATTTTGCAACATGAGTACCCCGAAAGTATAGAAATTTAACCCATGGTTTTCTTTTATGCCATATGTCTTTTATTTGTATTTGGATTCATTGTAGTTTTGTTGTGATTAATTAGGTTGGGTTTTGCAGGTAACTGAAGAGAAAAAGGAGCAAGGTGGAGTGGAAATCAAGGTGGTGGACACGGTTGATTATCGATCACCGGCAGGGGAAGACAAAAAACCCACAAAGGAGGAGGTGGAGGTGGTTCATGAGACTAAAGATGGGGCCAATTCAGGGACTGGAGGCGGCAGTGTCCTTGCTAGTGCAGCAGCTGCAGTTTCAAATGCCTTTCAGTCCGCCAAGGATGCAGTTTCTGGCAGTGCCAAAGATCAGAAGACCACTAAATGACTGAGACCATCTGATCATATCATTATCTTCATGTAACATGTTCTTCTTGGATTGGAATTTGGATGGAGAATAAAGACTGTTTGCATTTGAATGTTTCCAACCAGGCACTCAATTTTTTCCTTAATTGGTCAAAATGGCTTTCATAAACTAACCTGAAATGTTCAGCACAACACCATCATTTGGGAAGACATTGTCTTCTTGGAGCACCTGGGTTACACTTCAGAGCATCATATTCCAATAGGATAGAGGATTAGACATTTTTATTTGGCCCAATATAAAAGACAATTAGACATGAGCCAGGACACAGCCTAGAGTCCCTCTCAAAGGGATAAAAGGGGAAAAGGACAAGCAAAAACAAAACAAAAGGAAGTTTGGACATGTTTTGACATGGCATTGGCAACCATTAAATTCCCATTTTCTCTTTACTACTTATCACAACTCTCACCCCCTCCTTCTAGAACAAAAGAACCACTATCAACAGTTCCATCAATATTCATATTATAATGCATGATGATGGGCGCACTGTACTAAACTCTTCAGTACCTATGTGCCTTCTTTCATATGGCTTGTTTATCCACTATATACAGTTCATTTGCAAAGCTTATTCAAACCCTTTATATGCCCCTTCTCATCTTCTTCTAGGTATACACCGGTTTGTGTCCGATGCAACCCACTTTCTTAATAAGTTGATACAAACACAACCCCTTAAGTTAATAAGTGAAATAATTCAAATATTAACATGACCAACAAGATTAATGAGTAACACAACACGACTTGTTTCATATGTTTAGAATTCTAATTAGAGCCGGCCTTGATCCAAGGCGACCAAGGCTACAACTCGTGGCCCAATTTTTTTTTTTTCCAAGCCTATGTATATGCGTATCTAAATAAAATATAAAAATAAAAGAGAGAAGCCAAACCGCCTAGAAGGAGCCTTACGTGAACCAAACAGGAAGCCAAATCAATCACTTTTTTATATTCCCAAGAAACTTATTGAGGAAGCAAAATCATTTATTAATTATATAATATAATATAAAACAAAATAAACAAAACATGGGGAAATCAACAGACATTCTTAGCCCCAAAAAAACCCTTGCTAACGTATCAGACCTTCTCAGAAGTTCATGACACAAGCAATTTTCTGTTGTTGTGATTCTCGTCTTCTCCAACACAGAATTGGAAAACAAATCATCCACAAGCTAGAACAGTTTGCATTTCTTTGAATGTAATTTTTTTTTTATAGATAGATATAGATGTATAAATTTTGTAAATTGTAGTTTGTAATACATATCTTATTAACTTTTTTTCTTTTTATTTGATTCAACAGAAAACTTGGATGAGATTCTTGTTCTCTATGCTTGGATTATTTTCTTTATTTTTTTTTTTTTTTTTATTTTTTTTTTTTTTTTTTTTTTTGTTTTTGGTGGTTGAAGTTGTAGGTAAATGTGATGATTGTTTGCTTTGATTAATTGTGGAGGATGAAAAGAAGATTGATCAAATCAAGAAATGCTTACGGAGATTGGGGGGAGGAAGCATGTAGACTCAAATGTGTGATTTTTGTTTTGAATGCAATGTTTACAATGCGGGGTACTCTTTTTCTTTGTTTGGGGTTTTGTCCCATTGGGTTTTCCCAAATAAGGTTTTAATGAGGCCCCAAAGTGTTCTTCCTTATCTTTTGTAAATTCTTTAAATTTTAATAAAATTAATTAGTTAATATATTTTTACAAAATAATTGTGTTTCATTTGTATAAAAGGGCACACTTGAGAAAATTTGCCCTGGCCTTAGAAACCCAAGACCGGCTCTGATTCTAATTAGTATAAATAATTGGGTTTTCAATAACGACATAAGTAGAATGGATTTTACAAATAAGTTAATTATTCAAACATATATAAGACAAATGCAAAGAAAATGTTGAAATTACATAGTCAAGACCTTCAAAATAAAATAAGATAAAATATTATACCTTAATTTCTTAACAAGTTACTAACGTGGGTTAACACGAACATGATCTATTTTCTTAATAGGTTTATCAACACGACCTTTTAATACTTAACATGAATATTGAATCTTTGTGTGTTGCTAGAGAAATTAGCTAAAAGTGACAAATTGTTAATCGTTAGAGTGTATTGACTCAAAAGAAATCAACAAGATTCACTTATATGTTGAAAAAATCTGCTTCCAAATGTGATTTTGAAGAGATGATAATCATCGGACTTGATTCACATTCACCTGTTATGAAATAAGTACGGGCGTCGTCAGAGGGTATGAAGAAGTAGTTGGGGGAGCATGTGGACAGTAATAGCTTCTTATAAAGATCCAGCCAAGTTATGGCCTACTCCCACTGTCAAAATCAATCCTAAGTTGTCCAGAACTTATGCGTGGATGGAGTATCTTCACAATCAATATGGGGCCAACTCACTTCGTACTCATATGCTTTTCTGCTGTTTCCTTTTTCCTTTTGCATTTGTCATGAGAATAAAAGGGAAAACATTTAATTTAGTAGGTCAACTCGTTTTCAGGTCCGATCCTCTGGCTTTATCAGGCTGTGGTATCAAACAATTGGAAAAAGATAAATCACTATAACAATTTGACAAATACAAAGCCCTACAACTTTTCAAAATTTCTTCTGTGCGTTGATGATGAATTCATTTGGCAACTTGTGAGAACAAGAATTTTCTGGATACCCTACCAAAAATAATGCACATTTCTTTCCATCACCAAATCTTGTTTCTCATAGATTGCCCCAAAGAATTCAAATTTATTATCTCAACAAATAGTCCTTTTCATTTAATTCAATAATGCCTCCATGGAATTAGCGGTGAAAATGATGCAAGGTCTTTTAAAATCATAGACGCGTGTATGTGTTTATAAAGACTAAAATGTAGCAATGGTCTCTAAATTAAGACCCGACTTTACTTTTCATCCTTCATCTCCAAAAATAGCAAAAACCGTCCCTAACACTACTCGACATGTGATACACATTTTAAGGATGAATAAGACTTCTATCCAACCACCATTTTTTCTACACAATGACATGCATGTGCTACATATTTTAAGGGCAAATAAGACTTGTACCTAACCACCACCCCCCCTTATAAATGGTGATGAGTCTTTTGGTGATTTATGGTGTTATGCTAGCACACAAGTCGTTGTGTGGGGGTGATGGGAAAAAATTATTTCTAATATTTAATATGAATTTCTCAATTTGCTTTTAATTTTAATAGAAAAATGAAACAAAATTTATAGAAAGACCAATAATGCAACACGATATCTAATTGAAGGACCACAACAATTTTAAAAAGTGAAAGACGAAAAGTAAAGTTGGATCTTAGTTCATGACCATTGCTACATTTTAGTTGTTTATGAATGCTCAATAGTTCGTGTATTCCAATTTGCATATACCCTATAGTTTGGTGTAGGGGTGGCATTTTGGACCGAAAAACCGAAAAACCGCAAAAACCAACCGATAATTAACCGAAATAAAACCGCAATCGCGGTAAACCGAACCGCATTTGCGGTATTAAGAACCGAACCGCATTTGCGGTTGCGGTTGCGGTATTTGATATTCAAATATCGCGGTTACCGCAAACCGCAAAGTATAGCCGCACGGCTATACTCTACAGCCTTATTTCCATTTCAATTAATGCAACAACTTGTGCAAAAAAGAAAGGATGAGTAATCCGTTGAGATATCCAATGAAGTGGATAAGTACTTGATGGATCCTTTTGAAAGCCCCTTGAGCAAACAATTCAATCTCTTGAATTGGTGGTAAGGGAACCAAACAAGATATCCTATTCTTTCGCAAGTTGCCAAGGATATCTTTGCAATTCCAAGTTCTACAGTTGCTAGTGAAAATGCTTTTAGCCTAGGCAAGAGGATTGTGGATCATTTTAGAAGCTCTTTGCATCCTAAAATGGTAGAGACATTAGTGTGTACTAGTGATTGGCTTAGAGCGGACGAATTTTCCTTTTACAAGGAACCAACGGATGATGAGGTTGAATTCTACAAGGAAATGGAACATATGACAACTTGTAAGTAATTAGTTTATTTATGCTAATGTTATTTATGCTTATTCTTATAATAAAATGTATTAAACTATGTTGTTTTATTTGTAGATAGCATTGGTGCTCAAACAACAAAACGGGGTTCCTCAAATCCACTCACCACCAACACTTGAGTTTGTAACTTTAATGTGTAACATTGGTGCATTGCATTTTCCTTTTATATTGTAACTTTAATTAATTTTGAATTGGATTTTTCTTTTTGGTTGTAACTTTAATTCATTTTGCTTTTGGTTTGTAACTTTAAAGGATTTGGAATTGGAATGCTTGAGAAGTATAACTTTAATTGGAATGCTTGGAATTGTAACTTTAATTTTCTTTAGGTTGTCAATTTATAATATGCTTGAGGAGATTGTGAATTTATAATATGTTTGAGAATTTGAGGTTGTGTATTTATTTATTTAGGTTGTGAATTTATATTTTTTGTGAATGCTTGAGAACTTGCGGTTTTAAATCGCTAATTCGCGGTAACCGACCGCAATTTGCGGTTTACCGCAAATTGCGGTCGGTTTGCGGTTTGGAAAATCCTCATACCGCAAATAGTCGGTCGGTTCGCGGTTTGAGCAAAAATTCGCGGTTACCGAACCGCAACCACTCCTAGTTTGGTGTTTCCTGTAGCTGACCATTTATAAAATTAGATATAAGATGGTAATAAGTTAATAATAATGTAACTAATAAATAAAAGTTTAGGAAATTGCCTTGGGCTTTTATTTCAAGATTATCAGTTAAGTGCATGGCCCACTTAAACTACAACTTACACCTAATGTGGCATGCCTTTCCTGATTGTAGAGAGCCTCCTCTCCAGATACAAGCAATGCAGTATCCAGAACGCCACCACCAACAACAAAGCAAATCCAGAAAGAGAAGCCTAGATACCAACTATTTCAGTATCCAAAGCAACCCAGAAAGCTTTTCACTTTCAAAGTCCCTCACTGCTCCCAAATCCCAACCTCCATGAACCCATCCTCAGTTGCACAGCCCCTAAACATCCCAGTACAATTAAACCCGCATGCCACTTCCCCTTTGTTGGACACCGCTATGAGCCCGGCCTTCCCATCATCAAGCCTCTCTTTAATCACAAAGTCCACAGCCTCCTGTAGGCCCAGGCCCTTGTATTCCATCACAGCTGCCACCTCACGCGCCAATGTACCGCGAATGATGGCCTCGCCCTCTCCCGTGCACGAGACCCCGCACAAGTCACCCGCATAGGTGCCAGCACCAATCAGGGGTGAGTCGCCAATGCGGCCCGTCATTTTGTTCATGAGCCCACCAGTGGACGTGGCTGCAGCGCAGCGCCCCTGGTTGTCCACCACCACGCAACCGACAGTTTCAGGGGCATACACGCTGATGGGGAGCCCGTTCATGTGCAACGGGCTCTCCACACCCGAGCTGCAACTCTCCATTCCAAGTGGGATCCTGTAATCAAACTGCACGTGACCAAAATCAAGAGTGGTTTAGTGTCACTCATGGACCACACACACCATAGTATTAAATTAATTTAATGAAAGATTAATCAAAAGATAAATAGATACCAAGATGGTGTTGGCTTCCTTAGCCAGCTTGAGCATGCCCACATTTTCCTCAGTGATGAAATATTCATTTTCCACAAGCTCAACTCCCTGACACGCGACACCAAGTCCCATAAAGATTCCACAGAGAAAAAAGAAAGGAAGATCTTTGTCCAGAAAAATATGTATTAAAAAGAGTAATATTATTATTAAATTGTTTTTTACATCCAATATTATTATTAAATTGTTGGGTTAGGAGATCTAGTAAAATAATTATTTTAACAGACGTGTGGCACTGGAAAGAATACGTGGAATCTTCGCACTAGATTCCTACACCTGCTGAAAAAGACAGGAGTATTTTTTTTCATTTTTTAACTTTTTATAGAATCAAAATAAGACTTTGGTTCTTCGATTTGGTATTGATAAGTATAAGGACCGAAGTGTGTAAATATACAAACCTGTTGCCGGGCGAAGTCTTCGGCGCCGGAGAAGGCGAGGTAGGAATGAGGGGATTTGTCCATGACGAGACGTGCCAGCGAGATCGGGTTCTTAACGGTGGTCAAGCCCGATACGGCGCCGCATCGTCTCTTGGGCCCATCCATGATGCTGGCTTCCATCTCCACCGTCCCTTTCTCAGTGAGGGCCGATCCACGGCCGGAGTTGAAAAAGGGGTCGGTTTCCAATTCCCTCACCTATGTTACACAACAAAAATAGTCAGTGCCATTTTTGCAATACTCTGTTAGCTGTACACTGGTACATAAAAACAAAAAACAATAACAATAATAATAATATAAAAAAGGTCCAGCATGCATGATTGAGCGCCAGCTAGCAGAGTAAAATAAGGAGTGGACAAAGTAAGCATGCAAACTAATACAAAACTAAAAACTCGGAAACATAAATGGAAGGTTTTTTTCGTTATGTCCGGGAGAATTCTCGGGACATGTTTGGTTACAGAGAAAACCCACAACGCAAACACAAGAAATGAGATTTTTTTTTTAAATCAAACGGATTGAAGAATGGCAAAAAACAAAAAAAAGTATGGGATTTGATGAGAATTGAAATGTGGAGAGAGAGGGACGTACAACAAGCTCAACAACATCAATGGCGGCGAGATCGGAACGAAGAGCAGAGATGCCGAGATTGAGGCAGCGAGTGAGGAGTTGTTTGGCCTGTTCCTGACGCTCCATCGGGAGATTGGGATCCACACCAGCGCCGCCGTGCACAGCGATTGCCCACCCGCCCATTTTCTCTCTCTCTCTCTCTGACTGCCTGTCTCTCGCTCTCTCTGTGTCCTCTTTCTGGACTTGCTTTGCTGTCTCTCTGTTTCACTCTCTAGCTCTCTCTCTCTCTCTGTCTCTCTCGCTCTCTCCCTCTATGTTGAGGCTGCGAGTATGAAGGGGGCCGAGGGAGGTTTATATAGGCGCTGGCGGACTTCAAATGCCCTTTGAACCCGGATCTTAAAATTTAATTAAATTAGGTGGGGAATCTTCTGTTGGGCCCAAAAAATAAAATTGCAAAAATGAAAATTAGGATTCTTTGTTACAAAAACCGAGATAAATAAATAAATCGGGATTCCCTGCATCGCATTTGTGTCTGTGCCTCTGCGCACCACTTGTTGCGGGAGGTCCTAATCTGTCCCACATTCAAAAGGCGTCTTTTCATGTCCTAGTTTTAAGAGGGAAATGCTAGTAATTTTCTCTCTAATCTTTTTCTTTGAATCTTATTATAAACAACAAGAATACTTACTATACTAATTGTCACTAGAATCAGAAACATTGAACATGCAAAGGTAGTGTTGACCGAGAGGTAAAAGTTGAGCGAGTATGGAGTAAATTTTTACATGTTTCAGAATGTGTTAAATTTACCAGAGGATTGTTAAAAGTATTTTTATGTATCTATAATTTACTAATGATGGTTTGTCGTGAGATTTCATTCCATAAAATAAGAGATCATGATTTAGGGTTTAATTCACCGATATGCTTTGATGAGTTGACGAATTTCAAACTCATCAACTTCCCTAATCTGGCTTAATCGGGTACTTTGGCCTAGTCATGAACAACGCAACACCTCCTGCAGGTGGAGTTATTGTATTATAAGGAAAAACATAATTGAGCCCCGACAATCGTGCAAATAAATACAAAGAGCTCTTCCCATAATCTTACATTGAACGTGGGCTAATAATTTAAGGACAAAAATAAAGCCTCGGTCGACTAACCATTTTGTTGCTTTCTCCTTCTTGTGATATTTGTTTAGGCTTCCCCCTTTGCCATTTTTTTTTATCAAAGAGAGTTATTTTTCGTGTCTGGACCTACCAAATATTAAAAAACAATTGATTTTCCTCCTTTCTCGTAAACCAAACAGGATCTTGGTATCTTGAGATGTTTTCACGCCTAACTTTAATTGAATAATTAAATGTCATGATATTAGATATTAATAGCCCAAACCAAATATGCATGGTGCAGTTGTTATTTAAATTAAAGCGAGTGTAAAATTTCTAATTTCAAGTGACCTATGAATTTCTAATTTCACGTGACTTTCCTTCTTTCTACATATTTCTTTATAGCAAGGTAGGTGGGGCGGGCCTGGCGGCGGACCAAAATTAATTTCAAAGCCGGTGGTCCCTCCGATGCTGGATTTTTATATTCCCCACATGACCATAATCAATTTAATTATTATTTAATTATCATGTGATAATGAAATTATAAGAATGGTGATGATTGGCTAATCTTGCTTAGGCTGGTGACAAAGTGAGGATGTAGCTCTCAGATATGCATAAGGCTCATTCAAACATTTCAGCTAATTAGCGTAAAGACTAAATCAAATTGAAACTCTACACATATGTTCTTTCGCAAAGTCATACATATGTATGCAACTTTAATTTAATTTAATCTATGATTAGGATCTCAAGTTTCATTTCTATACAAATTTATTTTCAAAAAATTCCTGACCATAAGATTAAACAAATACTAATTGACGAAGATAGATGCACTCCCAAAGTTGGGGGACGAGACTGGGCACGTCAGCAACACATTTTAGTATTCATGTACATTGCACCCACTAATTCCACTTTTGTACGTCGTTTGTCTTTTTACTCTTCGGTGGAACATCAACAAATTATGATAATTGTGATTTGAATTTAAAAATCAGTTTCAATTTGTCATTCTAAAGAAAAATTAAAGATAAATGTCACCTAAAATTTTCAAAATCAATGATTTGTCATCTGACTTAACACCATCTATTTTTAAGGGTATTTTACTCTTTCCATTTTTAAGAAAAAATTAATTGAAAATAAAGAGACATCTCTCTCTTTTTCCCCACCGAACCCCACCACACCATCCCCTCCCTCTCTCTCTGTCTCATGATTTTTTCATTTTTAAAATACCATTGAAAATGGAAAGACTAAAATACCATTAAAATTAAATGGTATTAAAGTCAAATGACAAATCATGAATTTTGAAAAATTAAAGTGACATCTCATAATATTTTTTTTAAGATGACAAATTGAAACTGATGTATAGTTCATGTGATATATCTACAAAAATCCCCAACAAATTCACTAACATTTTTTTAATAATTATTTTTTCCAAATTAAGATAATTCCAGACCCCAATAAATCTTGAAATGTAGAATCTTTGGTAAATATTAATTTGTCATGAATATGTTAATAAGATAATTTGACAAACCTAAACTTTTTATTTTTATTTTATTTTATCAAAGTGAGATAACTTCATTGGAACAACAATGTCATTGTACAAAAAGAAAAATTGGACTTTAGTAATGTAACAAGTGTGGCCTCATAACAATGACATAACTATTTTGTTTATAAGTGTTTCCAAACCTAATTATGCATACATAACTGCCATCAAACTTCCATGCTTTTGATAGATATGGCATTTGTGTCATTTTTTTAGTGTTCGTGTCGTTTTCGTGTCAACCTGCTTTTCTTAACCGGTGGACACAACACAATAAGAAAACATATTGAAAATGTTAAACACAAACCCGTTACAATTCGCGAATCATACGACATGACACGATAATCTGTTAAGAATTTTTTATTTTTTAAAGAAAGGAAATTTTAAGCAATTAAAAAATCAACCAGTGCACCAAAAAAAAACACACACACACACACAGTCCATAGACGAGCTCGAATGTATGATTAGAGATGCCCTGCGAGTGGCCCTCAAAGGTTTGGGCAGTGGAGATGGTAGGAGTGGAGGAGGAAGAGACATCGGGGAAGGTGAGGGAATGGCGGGATCAATCAGTGAGGGAGGGAGACAAAAGGAGGAGGTGGCTAGGATGACTCATGGTTTTGAAGAGAGAGAGAGAGAGAGAGAGAGAGAGAGAGAGAGTATTGAGAGAATCGGGGGAATGGGGGAGGAAGAGACAAAACATAAGAAAGAGATAAATTTACAAAAATGCCTCTGAACTTAACGGGTTAACGAGTATTCGCAAATTGACACGACACGACACGATAGCTTAACGGGTGGCTAATGGGTCAATATGATATCAACACGACACAATAACTCATACCCAAATACTCAATTTTTCTTGCAAATTTGCGTCGTATTAACGAGTCGTGTACAATATTACCACCTCTAGCTTTGGGGACGAAATCACCATTTAACATGAAATTTATGATTGGGCAATGATATGTGAGACAATGCTATGTGTGTACAAACAACCCAAGTATTTTTTACCAACTTTTTTTTTTCTTTCTGCCGACCTGTGTCCTATAGGTGTGAGATGATCATGTGGTGTACATGTACTTTTTGGTTTTCAAATGTGAGGATGTGGTGCGGCCACGTCATTCGCCTTGTACGTACCTATATCTATGGTTTATAGTTCATCTTAGCCTAACTTTGGTATATAGGTGGTAATTTCGTTTTGGCCGTAGTTAAAAATTGCTGCATGCATCCACATTGGAGTACGTAAACATTAAACATTTATTTTTGAGATAGGTTAGCTGGTTATTTGCCCCCAAACTTGTACCTAACTCTTGATTTACTCCCTTTTTTTTTTTTATAGAAAACTAAGAATATGAACATTTTTTTTTTGGCCAATTTCCCCCCTCTGTCTAAATCCACAACATTTCATCTAATTTGTTGTTTAAAATTGAGAGCAAAATGGTCATTTTGTACATTAAAAATAAAATAAAATAAACAAAAAATTGAAATACTCTCTCTCTCTCTCTCTCTCTCTCTCTCTCTCTCTCTCTCTCTCTCTCTCTCTCTCTCTCTCTCTGTGCAAGCTCGTGTAGGGATGGGGGTCGTTATTTGGCAATGGCTTGAAGGATAGTGAGTGAGTGGTCGGCGAGGCTGGGGTGGGTGGGTAGGGATTGGAGTTTGGGGTTGGGGCAGGCCCCTGGGAGGAGGGGGGGTGGTGTGGGGTAGATAAGAAATTGAGGGGGGTTTTTGGGTTTTTGGGGGAGGGGTGAAAAACTAGAAGGGGTTTATGGGTTTATGGTTGCTAGCTGGGGTTTGTGGGGGAGGGGTGTTCATGGGAGAATTGGGGGGAAGAAAGAAATAGGGGGGTGGAGGGTGGTAAGTCATCGCACATACGGTCCAACCAATTGGGAGAGAATCAATAGATTCCTTTTTGGGAGCAATTCATCTTTCCCGAACGTAGCATACAACTCTCTGTTGGGATGCCGAGAGGTCAGAATAATTGGTGTCAAGATGCCTTTAAAGTTACAAAAAAAACTTTAAACACAAATCAAATATGACATGAAACAATAACCTCGTAAGGTCAAAGACCTAAAATATGTCGCATTCTAAATTCCTGCTCTACCAAAAACACCTAATTTGGTTGCAGCAGCACCGTTTATTTTCTTTTTCTTTTTTTCTCTTTCTTTCTTCTTCTTCTCTCCTTTCTCTTTTATTTTTCCTCTTCTCAATTTCGATTTCGCTTTCTCTCTCTCTCTCTCTCTCTCTCTCTCTCTCTCTCTCTCTCTCTATCTCCCGATCTATCTTTATTTCCCTGATCAATGTCGTAGATCTCCTTAGTCTGGAAAATAGGGAGATGGGTTGAGATGGTAGCTTTGAGGGATTGAGCTAGGGGTGAGATTTTTTTTCTTTAGTGTCTTTTTCTTCTTCTTCTTCTTCTTCTTCTTTTCAATTTTTGTCTTTTTCTTCAAATTTTTTTTCAAAATAATAATGTTTTAAAATGATTTAACTGAAAATTGGATGAAATGTTGAGGATTTAGACGGTATGGGGGAAATTGGAGAAAAACAAGAAGTTCATATCC